AGAGAATAGCCTTAGACATCGCTGGACCATTTCCAATCACTGATTCGGGCAATCGCTACGTTTTAGTGGTTATGGATTATTTTACAAAATGGCCGGAGGTCTTTGCCATACCGAATCAAGAGGCAGTAACTGTAGCCACGAAGTTGGTAAACGAGGTATTCACCCGATTCGGAGTGCCCTTGGAGATGCACAGTGATCAAGGACGGAACTTTGAATCCCAAGTTTTTCAGGAAACTTGTAAACTTTTGGGAATCCATAAGACTCGAACGACCCCTTATCATCCACAGTCAGATGGAATGGTCGAACGTTTCAACCAAACATTGGAGCGACACTTAGCAAAGGTGGTTGACAGCCATCAGAGAGATTGGGACACTTACATACCTCTCTTCTTGCTTGCCTATCGGACTGCTGTACATGAAAGTACCGCAAAGACGCCTGCATTTGCAAATTTTGGAAGGGAATTGAGATTACCGGCAGATCTTGTATCGGGCTGTCCACCTGGCGACTCTCGCACCGAGTTTAGCGATTACATAAGCGAGTTAAGGGCAAAAATGTTGGACATTTATGAGCAGATCAGGGAGGCCGGTCTTCAAGCTAGTGATCGCGCAAAGACGCGCTATGATCGACGAGCCAATTCTGTTGGGTTTGAAGAGGGGTCATTGGTCTGGCTTCATAATCCAGTCAGAAGGAAGGGAAAATCTCCAAAGCTGCAACCGAGTTGGGAAGGTCCTTACGAGATAGTCACGAAGATCAATGACATTACTTACAGAATTCGGAAGTCTTCAAGGAGCCCTTTGAAAGTTGTCCATATAGACAGGTTGGCGAGGTATTACGGCAGCAACGATGCTCGGGACGAGCGAATCTAAGAGGGGGGCAGTGTGACAGAAAACTCTTTGACATCATGACGTCAATGGATGGTTGTCAAACGTTGCCTAGAGATTGTAAATTTCGTCGTGAATTGTCAACACGAGTTGGTGTAATCGGTAAGGCGTGTGGATTACACCACAGAGACCCCGAGTTCGAGTCCCGCCGTAAACATGAAGTTTTTTAGTTGATGGAAGTTTTGTCGAACTTTCTGGAATATTTGAGTGAAAGTAATGAAAAATTAAGGAGCGAGAAGGAGAATAAATAAAAATGAATAACGAAATTATTGGAAGGTTCTGGAGGCATGACGATCAAAAAGAATAACGAAATTGAATGTTCTAGAACCTGACCGGGGGTATATAAGCGGAACTGCGGCTCACCGCTGGCAGTTGAGTTCTAAGTCCAAAGCGATTCGGAAGAAAAGGAAGAAGTGAAAAGAAGAAAAGTGAGTGAAATAGTGAAGTACAGTGAAATAGTGAAGTGCAGTCAGTTAAGTGAGTTAAGTCAGCGTGAACAGTGAACGGCAAAGTTGTGTCAGTCGGCCGGACTCTGCTGGAGAGGAACGCCGATAACTTATCCGTATCCGTGGACGCTGTCACTTAAGTGCAATAGAAAGTCTGAAAACCGGTATTAGTGTTTAATTTCATCCAATCCCGTAACCCAAGCCCGCATAGTTAGGAACGTGACGACAGGCACGTAACAATACCATTCCTGAGAAGGTAGTTAAGCCCCTTAACAACACCATGTTCAATAACCAACAATGGTCCTTCCAGCAAGACTCGGCGCCGGGTCATAAAGCTCGGTCCACGCAGTCTTGGTTGGAAACGAACGTTTCCGACTTCATCAGAGCTGAAGACTGGCCATCGTCTAGTCCCGATCTTAATCCGCTGGATTATGATTTATGGTCAGTTTTAAAGACTTGAGCTTGCTCTAAACGTCATGATAATTTGGACTCCCTAAAACAATTGGCAGTGAAGAATTTTCCCATGGAAAGAGTGCGTGCTTCTATTGATCACTGGCCTCAACGTTTAAAGGACTCTATCGCAGCCAATGGAGACCACATCAAATAAGCTTTTTATGTTTAAAATTATTTTATATTTATGTATTTAACTTACATACTGTAAAAGTAATAAATGTTATTTGCAATAGAAAAAATATTTTTTTTATTTGTTACAGTATTTATGGCTAGACTAGGTATATACACTTAGGTACATGACGAAACTCAACACTGTGCTTTTTTCACGCCGATTTTTAGTGAGGTCGTCGTCCATCCTTAGCTAACATACATAGGTCACCGGTGCCCTATGCGGCGACAAATATCGCCCAAGGTTCAAATTTACTTTATAAAATATTATTTCTTTTAGAAAAGTTTGCTGTGGAAAAGAATCAAGTTATTTATTCCATTTAAACCGATTTTACTTATTCAAATAAAATACTAACCTAATAGCAAAGCAATTGGAGCGTGTTTGGCATGACATTGGCTAGGTATAGCAGCCTCCTTGTGATCACTTGGATGAGTAAAGAATTAATTAATGGTACGTGCGACAGCGTCCGACTAGACAATGACACTACCCCGATAGTTTAAAACTGTAATAAATGTCATTATAGTTCTAGGAACAGTAACAATAACTGTTTTCACAAAAATATATTGATACTGGAAAGCTAAATTACATTAGTAGGTAGGTATTTCTATACTAATATTATAAAGAGGTAAAATTTGTAAGTTTCTAATTTTGTAAGTTTGTATGTAGGGGGTAATCTTTGGAACTTCTGGTCGAAGTGCCAAAATTCTTTCATAGATAGACGGATAGATAGCTATAATGTTCCTGAGTGCTTTAGGCTATAAAACATCACGCTACGATCAAATGGAACCGAGCAGCGGGTGCAACCGCGCGAGAGTAGCTAGTTGGTTTATATTTTTAGAATCAACTAGCCACCCGCCCCGGCTTCGCGTGCTGATACCTACTTTTCTCCTCTATTTAATTGATGTTGATATACATATAAACCGACCTCTTCAATCACTCTAAGAAACCCGTATCAAAATCCGATCCGTAGATTTAAGCGCACATATGGATATACATAGAGACAGAGAAAGCGACTTTGATTTTAACTATGTTGTGATCAAAAAACACAATGTAGGTATCTTAATTTATTGGATGACATACCTAATAAATGTGTCTCCAATTGTGTAATTAGTCCTGTAATTTCATAAATACAATAGAACTAGACATAATTTATCTATCATCCTATTCTAAATATACTTATATCTACATTGCGTAAATCGTAAAACATTTAACTCTAAAACACCCTTTTATGAAAGCAATCAAATTTCTTCTCTTCCTTAGGTGACGAGAGAAGGAGTGTCAGACTCTTACTGACTAAAAACCATGCCATTTACCCCTTACATACAAACTTACAAATTTTACCTCTTTATAAAATTAAAGCACTAAAGTTAATAGCACTCAGGAACATTGTAGCTATCTTTCAGTGAAAGAATTTTGGCAATCCGACCAGCGGTTCCAAGGATTACCCCCCACATACAAACTTACAAACACACAAACTTACAAATTTTACCCCTTTATAATATTAGTAAAGTTATGAAACAACCACAGTGTGGAGTTTCACCGTGTGAGAGTCGTTACCGGAGCTCCAATCCTCTCCCTATCCCAATTTCTAAATCCCCAAAAGGTCCGCAAAATTGTAACTAGTCCATGGCCTGCGTTGATTGCTTACCATCAGGGTAAGCTTAGGTTAGGTACAGTTTGCAGTCCTCTCACATACATAAACAATGACGTATTTTTAACACTTCAATCCACATGAGAAACGATTGTTGTCTAAAAACTACTTTCACAATAATAATTTAAACAGACTCACCTGTGTTTTCATCGCGACGACGTACGCGACCACTAAATGAGCTACAAGTTACAACAATGCACATCAAACTAAGTATTTTAAAAAGTAGCCAATTAACTGTTCACGTGTTTAATTACAAATAATAATAATAGATGCGACCGTAAGTTATTGCTATTTAATTTCTATTTAATTGTCATTCAATTTGATGATATATTTGTTCGAACGCATTATTAGTAGCGGCCGTACCTACCTAGATATTTGAAAACAAATATAACTGCACAATTGACGCAGTAGAGGAGCAACCGGCTATTGAGTTACGGGACGTGGTTGCGACTCCCGCTTGGAACCATTATTTATGTGATATGTTATGTCAAATGTTATGTTTGTAAATACACACATGATATTGGAGAAAACCAGATAAAAGTGGAAAATATAACATCCATTTTTCATAAGTCAAGCATTGCTGGTCTGGTTATAGTACCCAATGAGCCTTTTGGCATAGATAGATATACTTATAAGGCCTGTGTGCTATCACTAACCATATTTAAAAAATACTGTACCTTACTTTTTAGATGGACAAACTGTTAACACAGTAAAAATATCATATATCATATATTATTATCGTAGATATTATTACCTTGCTGTAAAAGTATATATATATCATATCGCTATCTTCAACCTAACCCGGATTTTGTGTCGAAACGCTGGTTGCAACATCTTGCAACTTCTTACAGTAATAAGATATACTATATATATGAATGTAAACCTCTTTGGATCATTGAGGCGAGATCTTGTATCTTATGATAAACTACTAAGCAAGACAAGTACCTTATGCCCTGTTGAAATGTTAGGCGATTGACACTGCTGTTTAAGTGAGTTGTGAATATTAAAATTAACATAAACAGCTGATTCATATTTAAAAGTTTATTAAGAGTGGGTGAACTCGAGCTTCAAAGTCAAAATTCATAAAAAGACCAGATTCCAATAAAAAAAAACTGTTTATACTTCCTCTATGACTACAACGAATGCATAAATCCAAATTAACTAAGGGCTGACTTTTCAATAGTCAGATAAATGTTATCTGAGGAAAAAAAATGTTGTTGTCACTGTCTTATACAAACATTGTGACGCGACAGCATCATAATTATTCCCCAGGTAACTTTTATCTAACCATTGAAAAATCAGCCCTAAAAAAGAAAAAAAATAAGAAAACAAATCCGCTGTTTGTTACTATAGTAGATACAAAAAGGAAGGTTTGTAAAGCAATGTAATAAAACAAAACATTTTGGTAAAAGGCTAATTTATTCAGTCTCAAGAATCAAAGTATTTACATACTGTGTAATATAAAACTAACAACTATTTACAATATTTACAGACCCATTTACTTATAACTATACTTATGTTAAACTAAAGCTAGGATAAATCGGAAACCTTTATGTATGCCAAGTCGTACCAGTAACAACATAACAGACAAACAGAATTAAAAACATTCGGGAATAATAAATATATTCAATGACCACGAATAATCTCGATTAAATTTTGTCACATTGCCTTTATCAAAATATATATCACTTATCTCCGTTAGCATTGAATAAAACAGTAAATAATGTGTGAAATAACATATAAGAACTTTTGATATGATACAAAAAACTGTATTAATTTCAAAATATTCATGCAACGGTTAAATAATTTATATAAAAGTTTGTAAAACTGATTGATTTGTAAATCTGCCTCCAAAAAAAAGTAGGTAATATAACCTGCTTTTATAAAAATGAAGTATGTCCAAAACTGAAGGAAATGTATTGTCGGAATGACGAAGGATAGTTTATTTATACTTTTTCGAAGTCTTCGTATGTTTATGAATAGGATTTGGTGTAAAAATGTAATCGTAATGTCTAACAGGTTTGCATTTGTCAGCAAAATATGGCTTCTTTATAATGGCTGCTATTTCAGCAGGAGTTAGAGTGTCGTCTGGACAGCCACAGGGCTGGTGGTGGGGCGGACTTGGACCAGACGAGGCCGACGATATGGATGAGTACGACGAATCGGACGAATCGGAGGAAACGGAGGCAGACCTACACACCCAACAGTTCGGTTAACTACATATAGATGGCACCACTCGTACAACAACTTTATATTTAAACTTTTCTAATGTTTTGAATTAGATTGTCAATATTTCTAAGAGCAGCCTAGCTTTAGACGTAGTAATATTGTCAAAAATGAATAATTCGGTTTTGTAGAATAGCGCCATCTATGTTGCTAAGTTGTAACCCTACCTACAGTTTGACGTTTTACCTGCATTCTGTCGTAGTGATGTTACTGGATATAAATTGATAATTAGGAGTAGGAACTAAACTTTCCAAAGATGTTAACAATACACAATCTATTTTAACCTTTCAATTAAGAATTGTACGAAATTTCAATAATCCTTCTCCCTCCCAAACTCCCTGTCTCCTCAACTCCTACAACCTACCGTCTTTGTTGCCTTGGGATGGTCGTGTCGGAGAACCGAATGGAACAGTTCTGCACGGCCATGTTGGGACGCAAGAAGTCGGAGAGGCTCTGGGCGGTGGAGGGCCGGTCGAAGGGGAAGCCCATGGCGCGCCGGTCTGGGTACTTGCGGTCGCGGATGCCGCAGTACGACGCCGCGTCATTGCAGGAACCTACAAGGTCTTGCTCGATCTGCAATTGAAGTGTTTAGGCTTAGGGAGGTGTTTTATGTAACAATTAGTGTGAAGATTACTTTGTGACAGAAACTAAAAGATAGAAATAAATATAAAATGTAATAAAATCATTTAAATGGCTCTGATCCTAGGCCTCATAGGTCAGACGGGGCCTTAAAGGGCCTATGTTCAGCCGAGGTTGCGGGTCAAGCGCAAAAAGGTACCGTGGCTTCGTGGTCCACCCGACCATGAGAAACTATATAACCAATTTTACACCAATCTTTACAAATAAAATAATTGCCTACTCGGAGCGTAGTTAACATAATGAAGATATGAGTACGTACCCTGTCCTCAGCCCAATTGGAGACCATGGCGAAGAGTACGACGGGGTACCCCTGGGGGTTGCCCTTGGCGATCAACATATGGTGTGGCCACCCACACCCACAGAAGTCAAACTCCGCCGACTCCGCCGTACCTGGGTCGCCCGGCCGGGCAGACTGCGGGGGACAATGTACTTGGCTATTTACTTATTCAAATGTGTGAGGTAAATCATAAGGGAATTAAGGTAGAAAAATATTCAGCAGTTATGGTATTACAAGTTACATACGAAATAAATTTGAAACAATTCCTAAATAATAAAATAAAATGAATACAAGTAAGCAAAATACTAGATCGACGTATTTAGGAAAAGTTTGTGTCCATCAGAAAATTACAGACAGAACCTTTATTTAAGCAGTTTTGAATGAGAAGATGTATGTACCTGGTCACGGAAGGTCCTCTCGTAGGGGATGGTAACGGAGGAGTCCACGCTGCGGTGACGGATTGTGTTGTTACCCGGACGTACTGGAAGTAATAACAGGGATATATTATTACTTTACTTTCGGTAGCTTTTCTTCTAGGAAGCGGTAAGAAAGTCGTAGATCCACACTTCATTAAATCATACATTCTAAACTAACATTTTCAAACATTTTTGTGGAACTCGGGAGATGCGTACATTCAGATCTGACCCTCAATATGAGAGATTTTAAGTACAACGCAAATAAATGCTAAACTAGAAAATCACTATTTTACTATTCAAGCAGTTTTTCTACTGACTAAATCCAACACTAAGGATAATAGAGCGATCTTCAGTAGTGGGGCATTACTTACAGCCAGCGGTGAACTTGTCTAGTTCGATCATGGCGCGGCGCTGCTCGTCGAAGGTCAGCGGGGCGCCGCGCTCGTCCTGTACGGGCGCCATGAAGATACGGACCGTGCCCATCACGGACTGGCCCGACGTGTTGTTCACCTCGATGCTAAGGGGGGGAGACAATTCATCAGCTGATTCACAGTATAAAAATCGAGACAACAATTTCATGTTTTTGTAAGGGGAAAATCGTCAAGTGACTTCTCCCGTCCATAGTGGAAGTGTAAAACTCTTACTGTCTAAAAACCCTCCCGTTCCTTCTCCTGCTCTAGGCTAAAGCCGCGGTGCCTGATTGTGTTTACCCCGCAATTTATCTGATCGCAAACAGTTGGTGGGCCCTTAACCTTCTGGGCACCCACGATATATATGTATGTTGATAAAAAGTAGCCTGTCCTATTGTCCGGAGTGCATCCTATGCATGTTTGAATAACAAACATCCAAACATCGTAATTTCCGCATTTACAATATTAGTAAGAAGTAAGCTACTGACACGTAGTTGAAGTCCTGATGCTGTAGATGCGTGAACCTGGCGAGCACGGAGCCGCGCGGCGTGAAGTCGAGCCCGCGTCCGAGCTCCACCGTGCTGAGCTCCCAGTGCGTGCCCACCGTGTTGCGCCCCGCCGCGCCCTCGATGCTCACGCTCGATACACGAATGCCCGGGAAGTCCAGCTGCGGGAACCGGATTCATCATGGTACCACCAATTTCCAATTATCGTATTAAGCGTTTTAATCAACATCAATATGGATCATCCATAGCGGATTATAGAGGGCAATAAAGTCGTGTAATCGCAAACGAATGCCATTTTACAACTCAGATACTCATATGAAGTAGATCATACCTCTAATTCATTCATCCAATTAAGAATTAGCTAGTATCACACTATTGGATAGGTACTCATTTTTTACAATTACAGTAATTGCATAAATTAAACAACTTTACATTAGCGCCATCTAGTGTTTAAAAAGCCGTAGCCCCCATTGGAAATATTATAATTAAGACATTGATTAAATATATTTTGTATGTCTTCAAAGAAATAAGTAGTAGGTAGGATAGAAACCTTGTCATCTCCGTATGGGTTGAGCTTGTACTTGTAGAGCTGGAACAAGTCGTCGATGTACGAGTGCCAGCGGTAGAACACGGGGTCGCGCATGGCCGTTGCCGAGTCACCCATCACGCCAAATTGTTCCTACACGAAAGAGAAATAAAGATAATCAGGATAGCTAGAAACTATAAGTCCAGGTTTCCTCAATATGCTTTGCTTTATCTTACCGTAGTGGCGTCTAAATCACATTGCAACTTGTAAGGTAAGGTTTCGAACCCAGCTCAAACCCTATAACCCTAATATATGAAAAGCGGGAGCTATAACGTCTGGGCCATCGTGATGTTTTTTTTTTTATTCTCACTTTACATAATAGTGTATTTGAAATGAAAGCTTTTAATACCATAGAGGGTGGCTAATATGTAACAAAGGTTTTTCTCGTATTTCTTAAAAAAAAAATTATGTAATTCAATCTTAATGTATAGTGGATTGGAAGGGTATATTACCAAGTGGCGATGGTCAGGATCGTGCGAGTAGGAGATGAAGACATGTCCCATGTTGTGGAGGTCACCGTAGTACCCGCGGTTAGGGCTGATGATGGACGACTCCATCATGTTGCCCAGCATGTCGATACCGCGCTCCTCGTCCAGGGGGATTTGGCGCCCGTTGGGCTGGGGGCAGATTAAAAATAGGTTAGCTGAAATCCAAACAAAAAAATATTAATCGAGTTCATAAATACAAGGAATAAAGGTCATTTTTGTCCGTGACTCACCAGAGTAACGGAGAGGGTCTCGACAGCTTGCACGAAGCGATCCCGCCAGGTCTCCAGCTGGGACACGTCGGCGCGGATCTGGTCCACGGGACGGTCCAGGTCGCGGATGGTCGTACCGGCAAACCTAATGCCATTATATTGGTAAAATGCGTACGGTAACATATACCCTACATGATGTTGAAGAAGGGCACTTCCAATCTAAGTAAATAAGGGCCTCATTTGTTACTGCTGCCTTAAGAATGAAGATTATAACTCAGGAATTAGATTCAACCATTCAAGTTCTGCACTATCTACGTTCCTTATACAGTAGGAATACCAACTCAAACGACAAATGATAAAATGTAAGTAATAGCGTATACTTTAGTTTACTACAGAAATCTGATTTAGTTTTCTTAATGATCAGGACAGAATTTTAAGCACAGATATCGTTAGAGCATTTTGTCTAAAGAACTACAAAAGAGAAAAAATTTACTAATATTGGAATACAACTAAAATTGCTACTGTATATACCAGGGCATAATTATGTAAGTAATAAGGTGTATACCTAGGCGGCCAGGCTCTGCTGGCGACCTGCGAGTCCAGCTTGGGGAAGTATCCCTCCTCGATGGGCTCGCGGAAGTTCTGGAAGCGCACCACGCGGGACAGGCCGTTGCACATACGCTCCATGTTGTACCTAGAATATTTTACAAACAAGATTATAGAAAGGCAACACATAAACTTATAAACTAGGAAACTTTACTTAAACTCCTAATCGATCTAAAAACATATCAAAAGTGACAAGATTTGATAAAAAAAAAACAAATTCCACAACAAAACGTAGTTTCTTTAGTCATTTGTTTGCGATAAACTCAATAACGCCTCAAGAGAATTTGATGCGATATCACCTATGCATATACAAACATTGTTCAGAAAGAAAAAGTCTAATGAATGATGAACCATATCACTTTTTAAGGGTAAAATCATCAAATGACTTCTCCCGCCCAGGGAGGGAGTGTCAGACTCTTACTGACTAAAAACACCACCGTTTCTTCTCCTGTTCTGTGCCGAGGTCGCGGTGCCTCATTGCGTTTACCCCGCAACCCCGGCTGAACATCAGCCCTATGGGGCCCCGTCTGTGGTGGTCTATTGGCTCTTTAAGACGCGCGCGGAACGCTGCGCGCCGTACGCTCGGGATCACTAACGTGCTAGGAAGAGCGGAAACTGTGAATACTAACCTGGCAATGATCTGCTGGTGCATGTAATAGAACAGCTCTCCACGCCTGTCCTTATTGACGATGGAACGGTCAGCAGAGTCGAAGGGGTACACCAAGTGCCAGTGCCAGTGGTGGAGGTTGATGCCAATGTCCTCGCGGAAGTAAGCCACGCGCTGTTCAGGCTCTGAATCGTTGGCCGTGTAGTTCACTGGGATTGTTACTGGCATCTGATCAGAACATATGTCTTAATCAGTAATAGAAGGGACAACATAAGTGTCAGTAATATAAGTGTGAGAGAGCCATGCTTCACATTTTTGAAACAACCACAAAGTTGTGTTTTGCCTTGTGAGTAAGTTTACCTGAGGCCCAATCCGTCCCCTCCCCCAATCCCTCAATCACCAAAGCACTAATCCCAAAACGATGCCGTAACTCCTCCGTTTATACGGGTATTCAAGGGCGACGCTGGTTGCTTACCATCAGGTAATACGTCTATTAATTTGCCGTGCTATCACATAATAAAATATTGTAAGGCAATAGATCGTTAGAGCCGACTGGACTGGGTAGCAGTACTAACAGTGCTACCAGAAAAACCTGCACCTTTTCAACTCTTCAAAAGACATGATTATGGAAAACATCACTTACTAGGAGGTTCATGTTCTAACAGTGAACTAAGAGCCTATTGATGTTGGTTACAAAAGTTGAAAATAAACAGTATAGGAGCAACCACTTACCCTGACTCCTGATGTGACGACGTTGCTGACTTCCCTGGCTTTACGGAACACCTTGGGGTCCATGAACTTGTCGGGGAAGGTCTCCGCGAAGGTCGGGATGTTGATTCCTTTAGTGTCGGGCCTGGCGGGTTAAGACGACGTGCAATTGTCAAACATGTTTGTACTTTGAAAGATAGGCCTTTTTGGAAGAGGTACACCAGTATGATTAGGTGCGTATAAGGTAAACCATAGGTACTATATGAAAAGAAAATTCTTGCTATCCTGGAAGGGTTATTTTTGGATCACTGCTGTGCCAAACGTTGAAGTAATAATCAAATTCTAATTGAATTAGACTTAAAGGGTATTAGACCAAAAAATACAACTAACCTGTGCAGTATAGCGACGGAGAGGCAGTAGTTGAACATGTAGGGGTTGATGCGCAGCTGGCAGAACGAGCAGACTGACTGTAGGTCCTCCAGATCACGCATACCTGGAACATTCAGGACATGTTTTACTATAGGCTATTAGAGAAGAAACACCCTACCACTCAAGAGCTCCAGCTTAAGCTGTGCTCTGTACCTCATAAGCATAGACATCGAAACCTGGACAGAAGAAGTAATCTGATGTCAATTTGCTTTTTTTTTATCTAGAAGAAATTCTGAAATCTATACAGCCAAGAACAAAAAAATGATGAAAGCACCAAAGATGGACTCACCCATGAAGATGTCAATGAGCTTGCCCGCCATGACTCTGTGTTTGGGCACGAAGAGAGAGAACTGCTCGTTGTAGGGCAGTTCCATGGGCAGCGTCAGGTTCGGCAGCGCGATGTTACGCACTGGGATAGTACGGCCGGCGTCATCTCCGAAACGGTTGGCGATGGTGCTCGTTAGCTGCTTGTATTTCTCCGGCTAGAATGGTCAATTAAGAGTCAGAAACCAACTTTCACACAGGCATAATCTTAGTCTTTCCTTGCCTGTTCTAAGGGCAGACTATGGAACTGCATATTTAATAGATCCATGGCAGCTGGCCTAAATAACCTAAACGTTTAAAACGCAATCTCTAATCCACCTGTTTATATAGCAATCCACTCTAATAGAAAGAGAAGTCCCATAGTCCAGCGGTAGACTATTAGGAACTGTTGGTATACCTACGTATTATAAAACTCATAAACCAATCCTCAAACTTAATTCATTAAACCCCAAGCGAACGCTGAAGTGCCCGCACCTATTGTTCTTAATCTTCTATCGTGTCTCGAATTAACAACATTAAAAGGTTAAAGTAGATAAAAAGTTCTTACGTAGTAGTGCTCAGGTATCTCAAAGACAGCCTTCTCATCTCCCTTCTGCATGAAGCACGGCTCCGAGGGCCGGTCGAAGAATAACAACAGGTTCTTCTTTGGGTCCGACATCTTGCATACTGGAATATCACATCAAACAATAACTCAGCAGATAGATCAGGGATAGGTGGAGATCTCTCCACAATGGCGACGGGAAACAGCAACTTTTCACCTCAGGGCCTAGCGCTACTTTACTTTCCGTTACCCTGATTGGCCTACTCCAAGTTAAGCAATCAATCAGAGGGCTAATTGCGATAATGTTTTATTTACATTAAATTAAGGGCTGTTTGCTTCATGCGTAAAGCAAACTCGCATAAAGAACTCTCCGTTGTGAGTGTGTGTAAAAACTTAATACAATATATTTTGACTGACCAGGGAATCGAACCCTAATCCTTACTGAATAGTCATACTTATGATCCCTTGACCAAAAACTTAAAGAATAGAGTTCAGAAATTGTGAATATATTATAATAAAACATGTAGGTACCTAATTACGTACATGTAGCTACGTACACCTACATATACAAGTAAAACATGATGCTAATACTACCTACATACTCATATACAAGTAGGTACCTACCCTTACACAATATGATTCTCAACAATAATATAATTAATACAATACTTAAGCTTCAATATCAAGTGTCGTAAGGTACAGTAACAATATATGCATGATCCGCATACTAACGAGGTAAATGGACAGGTAACGTTACTGATAGTGATTACCTATTCCTGTATGGACTGTTATATGATATATTAGAAGCAGGAAATGTAGGTATCTATGTACCTATATACTGCTATCAAGCATTTCCTAGCCTGTAATAATGGATCAACCCTATTTAATTTAGATTAACAGGACAGTATTCAGACTCTTTGTCCTTAATCAAAATTTCGAATTTGAAAAACGAATAATCTAAGAATTTTAACGGTCATAAAGTCTCCATGGCAGCTTATGATGGATGCTTTGTATAACTGTCATGAGAAACACTACAACAATAAATCAAAAACCAGAAAATACAATACAACAAAATTAAGTAATAAAAACAACACTTACCACAAGATTTTCACTAAAAGAAAACAAAAAAATAACTAAATAAAATAAAGTTAAATAAAACTATGTTGGTTTCAAGCCGTGAGTACCACGGCTCGACTATGGTCTTCCACTGGTTGATGCCATGTTTTATACAGCTCCAGTGCACACGGAGACAGGAGCCAGGAGTCAGCTCGTGTGCAAACTTCGTGCCATGCGACCTGATAAGCCAGGGTACAGGATATTCGTGGTCAGTTTATCGTGACCGCGGTGATAGGAGCCCGAGTGTTACCTAATTGGTTTAAAGATAAAAAATACAAGTTTTTGATCGTGGGATCGGTTGGTCCCCTTCCTTTTTCTATAGGTGAGGGCGCAAATGAGCATTCGAATCACCTGGTGGTAAGCCGTCGGCGGCGCCCATGGATGTTCACTTGTCTGGTGCTGTACCAGACAAGTTGCACGTGCATAGCCGATCTTTTGGGAATTTAAGTTATTCAACGATTTGGGGATTTAAGATGGTACTGATCATAAGAATACTTATTAGGATAAAATTGTCTTTTTTTATCTTGTTGAGTACTTAAATGAATCCTACCCCTATGCCCCTAATGTGGTTTCACCCGCTGCTCGGCTCCATTTAATCGTAGCGTGATGTTTTATAGCCTATAGCACTCAGGAACATTGTAGCTATCTATCAGTGAGAGAATTTTGGAAATCCGACCAGCGGTTCCAAAGATTACCCCCCTACATACAAACTTACAAACGAACAAATTTTACCTCTTTATAATATTAGTATAGACTATACTAATATTCTAAATGTGAAAGTTTATGGTTTATGTTTGTTTATTCTTTCACGCAGATGCGACTGAACCGATTTGGTTGTAATTTGATATGTTAGTAGGTGATACCCTGAATTAACATATATAGGTTGGTTTTTGGCGGGCGAAATCGCGTACGGAAGCTAGTATATGATAAAACAGTTTATTTGACAAAGTTTCGTACCAAAAACTTCATACTGTCAAAAAAAGTTGTTTTATTTTATCTACTTAATGCTCCGTAAAATGAGTAGTAGTAAGATTTATAGATACATAGCTATAGCCACACAGGTATACATTATTCAATGTCAAACGTCTAAAACATTAACAAAAGTACTAAATTATGTTTATAGTGTAACACTGCGGTACTACTTGCTATAAAAATGTATAAAAATCGATACTTGAAGTAGCTAGTACCTCCAACACTGTGAATACACGCTCCCCGCATGTCACAGTGGATATTTTAATACAAATAATTAACCTGTGACCTAGGCCGGCTCCAATAATAGCATACACGCAAGTACATGTATCAGGTACTTAATTCAAGGCCAATCACGTGTGTCCTTATAAAAAAGTAACAAAAGGCTTTGTGTCACATTATTAAAACGAATCCTTCAAATGGCACCTCGCTTTTTAGCACTTGTGTGATTTTTTTACATTACCTACTAAATCCGCCCGGGTTGCCACCCTCAGCACTTGAAAGGCACATCGGGTCCTTGTAGACCTGCTTCGGTATCAAACTACTGGGTGGGGCGAGAAATAGTGTCAGACTAATCCTGGCCGGGGCTCACTGTTCATAATTGCGCTTGACCCACACTAAACTTGGCTAAAATCCTAAGAATCAGGAACCAATTTATACTGCAGTGCAGTCGAGGTTCAGTGTTACTTTTTTCTTTTGCAACGCGAAGACATTCACCTGGTGGATGGTAAGCAATCGGCCGCTCATTGACACTCGCATTACCAAAGCAGTTACGAGTGCGGCCGTCAGTGCGGCTACGTCTGAATCGACGCTTTTTAAATTAATGATCCTACCTAAGTACCTAGTTACAGGTATGACCTAGGTGCCTATTCAGTTATGGATACCTACCCACTCCAAATAAATCTAATTTTTCACTTTACCAAATTAATACAAAACAATTGAGATGAAGCTAATTCAAAAGGGAGTTTTTTTGTGAGGGGAATATCATCAAATGACTTCTCCCGCCCAGGGTAAGACGGGAGGGAGTGTCAGACTCTTACTGACTAAAAATCTCGGCGACGCTCGTCTGCGCGCAAACTGTAGGTAGACGCGCGCGAGCGTCTTCGCTTCCAGATCCCACGGCGGTGAATTCAAAATGGAGTGAAGGATACACGTCGTAGGGAATACATTGCCACCTACACACAACGGAAATGTGACGTCACACTGTACACCAATCGACGACGCGATGCATCGCCTTCTAATATTTTTATCAATCTAGAATTTAGGTAACAGGTGGCCAGAAATATTAGTCACCTTTATTGCGTGGCGTAAAGAATTTGTGTGATTATTTTATTACCTCTCTATCTATTTATAAAATTGCCTAATATCTAGTTATGTAGTTCAATTCTCTAGTAAGTCGAAAAACCTTTATTTTAAATAGAATGTACTTACACCTAAGTAGACCTTATTGATAGTGTTATTCCTCATAATAAATAAATAAATAAAATAAAAAGCCTTTTATTTCTTGCGAAATTAATTACAAAGATATGAAAATATTAAAGTTATTTAACAATGGTTCCGTGTGCATTGTGACAATATTATACATATTTCCTATTAGTATTTTTTATAAAAGTTAAGGAAATCATCATTATAGGTATAAATTTAATTACTGATTCATTACAATAATAAAATTTAAAATAATTTCAATAAATTAAATTACAATAAATTAAATCAAATCTAATCTCAATAAATTAAATTAAATTACACTTACAATAAATAAAAATTCAATCTAATAGTATTTATTAAGTATAAGGTGAATAACTCAAAATACTTCATGCAGACATGCAAGAACCCCTCTTATGTGAGGGTGAAGGCCTCCTCCAGACTTTTCCATTTATCCCTATTTTTGGCAACTGTTTTCCAATTTTCACCAGCTATCTTTATAATGTCGTTGTCCCAACGAGTTAAAGGTCTACCTCTCTTTCTGATTCCTCTGGGACCCCGCCATAATGTCAGTCTGTAGGTCCAACGGTCATCGATTAACCTAGCTACGTGACCAGCCCAACGCCACTTTAACTTTTGTGAGAAGTTTAGGACATCTATCAGTTTAGTCTTTTCCCGTATGATATTGTGTGGGATTTTTTGTATTTTTCTAACATTTGTAATGCTTCTTTCCATAGCTCTTTGGCAAGTTGTAATCTTATTTTTTACACGTGAGGTGTATCTGTATTTCCATGTTTGACAACCGTAGGTTATAGAGGGGAGCAGGCATGTATCCATTAGTTTTTTCTTTAAATTCATAGGCGTTGATCCTTTTAATATTTCTTTAAGAAATATTCCTCATAACACCATCAATAAAAAAATTTAAGTAACGCAGTATTTTTACATGAGTAATCAAGTCGAACTCTGAATGAAGTAATGACGAGGTGAATTACAAAACCATAGACACATAAATCACTTTCTACCCTGCGGTATTAGAGGCTACACCCATTTTGTCCAGTCACGTTATTTAGGGAGCGACCCTGTTGCTAGGCAACAAATTAGTTTCTATCTATCATAAAAGTTAAAGTACAAGTCTGAAACAGCCAGCAAACAGAACGGTAACCTATTTAAAGAGTTTCCGTTCAAATGTAGGGCCTGTAATCTCATTTCGGTACAAGCCTCTTACTTCCACCCGATAACTTGCTTACCTAGCCGCTAATAAGCTAAAAAAACGCTTCACCTCGCACCTTGCTACAGCTGTGGCGATTTACAATTTAATTGCTTTCAGATATGCTATATCAAGGTATAAAAAAATCATTTAAATGTGCACACTACTTATAAGATAGACTGATAAAACGTACCAAGGTGGCTAGATACCTAAATTTAAATAGGCATTAGGTACTCAGTATATTTACATTATATCTGCATAAAATTAAGTCGCTTACTGGTAAAAAACCTAATATAGTTCTATACTAATATAAAAAAGAGATACTTTTTTTAAGTTTGTATGTAGGGGTTAATCTTTGGAACCGATGGTCGGGTTTCCAAAATTCTTTCACTTACACATAGCTAAAATGTTCCTGAGTGATATATGCTACAAAACAAAACATCACCCTAACGACCAATAGGAGCCAAGCAGCCGATGAAACCGCGTGAAAGTTGCTAGTTCAATATATATATATATATAATACTAACATAGTTGTCTGTTACATGCTCACTGAACGATAAAACACGAAGTTACCTAGCTATGCACACACGCGGATTTATCGATTTCAGGTGAGCGCTAAACTGTTACAAGCTCAGGGTTATTGTCGATCGTCATAGCGGCATAGTAGCGGCCCTAATTGACCTATTTAGCCAACGATGAGTAAATGCAAAGGAACACTATCTTGTACCTCGGTGCCTATATTTTATTTCATAAGTATAGCAGCCAATTACATGGATATTTTTTAATTTTATAAGTTTACAAAAGTAAAACGTTAATTTGTAGGTTGGATGACCGTTTGATGGTTTTAAATACAAATTGAATTAAGAACCTCCATTAATTAAACCATCCTGTTACGTTTTGCAGAATTAAGCAGTTAGGTTTTTTAAAGGGAGTACCTATCTAGCTTCTAGTTGGGTCCGGGGTTACGAGTCAAGGCGCAAAATGTGGTGGATTTCAGTCAGTAGGTACCTAACTACCTAACTACCTAGGTACCTACATCGATGAGAGAGATTGATGATAATCCTCTCAAAATAAAGAAGTAAAAAAACATATATGTCTTACGATAGCCATTACATACAATTGAATATTTCACATATTTACAAGTTACTCTAGTATTTTACAAGTTGCCTTCTTATGTTGTGGCAAAGCAAAGCCATGGTATTTGTTAATAAACGCATGCTGCCAACAACGTGACCATGACATTGTATAATTTAAAAAAAATAGCATGCCTATTTAATCAAAATGCAAATACCATAGTAATTAGGTATACTTATGTATGACGTCGTGCCTACTCAATTTACATAATACCTAAGTACTGGTAACCATAGGAAGTTTATAGGCAGTGTTTACTTAGAAACGTGAATAGAAAGAAATAAATACCTACCTCTAAATAGTCTATCTAAATAGTCTCATAATTATTTCAAATTTTGCTTGATAGTTAAATATATAAACTATGGTATGTTATAATGTATACTTAGGTACAGGTATATATTTTTTGCAACAACATGGCTACTAGTTACTACTTATTAGTAGGTAACAATGCAAAATGGAACAAATGAACAATATTACTAATCAATTAACAATTTGCTGAGTAGCGCACAAGGTTAGAAACGTTTCGCTTGTTCTAATTGACTAGTATCTACACGAAGTTATTTTGTGGATGGGCTACAATTATAATGCCGAATAATGTAAGCTAACCACCCTCTCAATGTTAAATCCTGACCGCCAGCTTCGCCAGCGGAGCTAGTTCGAAGCTATTATCTAAGAGATGCTCCATTCTTCTAGAAGAAGAGCAGCCAAAACACCAGTCTGGTGCATCATCTCGTTCGATAACAAGGCCTTATGAAACAAGCAAAAAGAAATGGTTGGTACCCGCAGCACCAAAGGATTTATGGGTGAACAAACAAGCAGACGAATCTCATCCCGTCTGTCCCATTTTGCAGTACACTTAATGCAAATACCTAGTTGCGCTCCCCTGTCTGCGGCTCCATGATCTTATTCCTATTGTTTACAGAAACTGACCGGGCTAAGTGCTCAGTATTTGCTATTCACCTGTCGCTCAATAGGCAGGCAGGTAACAAGGATCGTTTTCAATTCACTTGCACTATTTAAAAATACTAATAATAATCACTAATCAGCATGTTTACACATTAGGACTTATTTAGTAACAAGTACCTAGGTACTAAACGCTTAGCTACGAAGCCCGTGTAAACCGTACGTTATTCCGGATAAATTTTCTGTTCCGGGTCTTCCGGACTTTCTTTACGTGTTCTTTCGCTGTCAGTTGAGGTACTAAATATTAGAAGTTAGGTATCAAATAGTAGCAAAAAGGTACTAAATTTTGGTATTTTCTAAACATCAAATATCTCTCTTGGTCCAGGGGTCTTGACGCTTACGGTTTGCTGTTATCGCAGCGGTACACCCTTCTTTGACAAGTGATTGGAGACTGAACTGCGTTCTCACATTCCTGACGCAGGTTCTTACCGGATACGGAAGCTACAAAGGTAGGTTTCAATCCGCGCGAGGTTATTCCCGGGTATCAGTTAAAACCATTTTATTCTAACTAAAACATAAGTAGGAACATCAAAATAGTCTGTCAGTCTGTTCGTCAGTGAAGCTAGGTGCTCATTCCAATTGTAGATTCTGATGGAGAAGAACGAACAAGAAACTACTACAATCATTGTGGGGACCACCCACAGGACCCGGTGCAGCATGGCCTCTGTGCTAGGGCTGAGCACCACCGTGTCAGGAAGTTAGCGACCTCTCGCGCTCAACCTTAGTCGACGCCGTGGTGCAGCGCAAGAGGAGAAACTGAGAAGCAGTCTTGCTGCGAAGTAGTAATGTCCGCAAGAGGCGGAGCGCGTGAGGGAAATATGCTAATCACGCTGCAGTCGCGACACTCCGGGTATCAGGAAACGAGTGATCTTCGGCCACCGTAAGCGCGGGACCGTATGCAAGGGTAGTTCGCCGCGCCGCCAGAACCGGGTCTGGTTCACACAGATGGTGGACCACAGATGAGACCAAATATGTTCAGCCAGAGGTTCGGGGTACAGTCTGCTTCACATAGATCTATAAGTATTCTAGCCTAAAAACCTATTCTATCCGCTCTGTTATGTGTCTCATATTTGGGAAGGAAAACAAAATAAAGAACTGTTTGGTTTGTAAGAAAGTTTAATAAAGAAGTATTGAAAAATATTTTCACAGGGTGTATTAACAAAGAAATTAAACAATAAATTTAGTTATATACTAACATATGACTTTTACGCTATGCTAGGTAATAAGTCTAGGAATAATTAACTAAAATTTTTAATATAAATACACTAGAAGTGAATGTATTACCCAAGTCAATATCGATTCTTAAATATAGCTAACACAGTACAAACATACATCGAGTGCGCCGGGGACTAAGAAGTGAAGAGATTCGACGCAGTCCAGCATCGTTAAATAAACAGTGGGCTTGAGGCTAGTCCTAGTCGCGTGGCGTGCCGCACACACACAGTCACCAGTACCTGGCACTCTCTCACACACTCACATACTGACACACACTGACTCGCGCGCCGCCGGCGGCACGCGGCCGGAGGCACTCGTCGCCCGGTAATACTGCGTCTGTGCTAACAACATAAAATTTTGAAAGGGCACAGCCCCGCCTAGCCGCTCTTGAACAGCAAGATGGCCACTTGGCCCAGGTAGAAGTAGATGAAGTGGCGTGTCTCATGCGTCACATACGAGCCAAAGTTGCGTCCCACAATGCAATGCCACGTGGGATTGTACTTCTTGTCAAACTCCTTCTTGATGAACGCTGCAATGTCCTGCAACAGACCAATGCACACCTCAGCATGTGACCAATAAAAGTACTTAATAAACCTAACTCAATTTAATAATTCATTATGAATATGACAGGTCATAATTACCCATTTGGTATGTACTTAATTAACCATTATGAATTACATTAACCACAACAGGAAAACCTCAAGTTTATCTTTCGTGGGACCTGCTCACTGGAGCTCATCGCCATAACATTTACTTTCAAACAAAGCAAACATTGTATGGTATACAAATCCAAATTATTCTGAAGTACATCTATGTTATGTGGCAAAAATGCTGGATAGACTTACCTTTTCAATGTTAAACTTCTCTAATGCCTGGGTCGCGCAGTCCACAGCATCCTGCTGCATCTCTTCGCTCATGTCAGCATTTTTGATCACCGCCTTGCGGTCGCACATCTTGTCAGCTATGTGTCTACACAAAATATACTTGTGGTGAGTGACTTATCATAAACTTGGTTTTCCTAATTACATTTGACATTTGATGCCCTACTTTAATATACAGTAAATAACAATAAGTCGCAATATTAGATAGTGCCTTGTTTTTCCACTATCTTATCTTTCCCAAGTCAAGTAATGGCATGTCTCTGCCTGATATGATGACGAATGAAAGCATTTCTGTTCATAACAAATCTTCATAATTTTAGAAATATGTTTTGGTTACAGCTGAAACTATTATGAGGGATTACAAACTATGGATGGCTGTATAAATTTCCTGATCGAAAGCAGCTAGGTACTTGTTGCAATAAATCATCGATAGCCTTAGTGCTAGAGGTTATAGTTCCTGAACCGCGTCGATAACATTGATTTTCTGTGCCCTCAAGGGGGAAATTGCAGATGGTTGTATTCAACGACAAAGCGCTATAAATAACTACCAGAAAAGGTCAAGCGCAAAATCCTGGACATAATGCGCGCCCTTAACAAATGAAAAACCTGCCTAAAAATGGGCCCAATGAGGGATAATTCAAACAGAATTATGTTACTTGAGGTACCTACGGTACCTACCTGACCTCTTCCACTATCTGCGACGGCAATTTCGTGGTAATTCTAACGGAAGCACTAGCACTAATGCCCGTCATCAAAACTGATAGGGAGAAATTAGGAACGAGGCACCGACATGTAATTTGGCCTAGCGATTCAAAAGATAATGATAATTCATCGTATCGCAGATTATCACTATAGAAACAACGTGGTTAAATCAATAAAACCATTTCGTTGCACATATTTGCAAATATTTGCAGAAAATAAATTGTTCCGCCTGTAGACTTTCGCACACCATTTTGTGAATATTACTAAAAATTATAGGAAAACATTCACTAGAAATATTTAAAATAAATAACAATAAATAAATAAACACTAAAATAACGAAATACTCACTTTGCTTCGGGATAAAGAACAAATTCTCACGTAAAGATTTTGATAACCGGAGATTCAATGCCTACTTTCCAGAGGATTCTTTCACAGGCTTCTTTCAGCAAAGATTTCTTCTAATTGCGACAGAGGGCGTTCCAAATTCAAACATATTCGAAATATAAACTTTATGCCACATTTTCAAACATTTTATTTTTGGCCAATAAATATCAACACGTAAAAAAATGTTCTTTTTATAATTTTAATAAAAAAGGTAAAACTTACATTTATTAGAAAAATAATATTTTCTGTTTGATCTTAAAATTAAAATGTCTTACTTATAGTGGTGATTTTGTGTGAAGTTCATTGCATTAAATACATCAATATAGTACCCTTATGCTATTTAGTTAATAATTTAATTTTACTTTATTTTGATTTCGATAATTTAGGACGAATTAATAAAAAAAAATAGATCCATAGACACAGAGCGTCTGCTGTCAAGTGAAACCGCATCCGTTTCCTTTCTACTTGTGAGCTGTCAGTAACCGGACCGGGTTCATCGAATCAGAATTGACGCCATATTTGATAAAGTACGCGATTGAAACGTTGAAGCGTTACCTAAGAATTCACGAAACTAACGCGAAGTTTCTCTCAATTTGTGCATAAAATAAATCAAAATGTCAGGTGGAAGCAGCAGCAACAGAAATGAGTGCAGAATATATGTCGGCAATCTCCCTCCCGACATAAGGACAAAGGACATCCAAGATCTATTTTACAAATTCGGCAAAGTAACATTCGTGGATTTGAAAAACAGAAAAGGACCACCATTCGCTTTTGTAGAATTTGAAGATCCAAGGTAATAATATAAATAAGTATGTTTTTTTTACATTTTGGGGTGTTGTATAGATAAAATTAACGAACTGAGAAAGAAGTAGTGGTATTTTTTTTTTTGTTGTGTACATAAGTTCAAATACAATATTATCAAGCGCTAAACATTTAGAGTAAGTATTTAACATAATTCCCAATGTTATTTCTTTAACCTGATACAACAAATTTATAATAAAATCTCTTCGTACAGTGATGAGCAATGACGTGCATGAAGCAGCCATAATGAATTTGTAATTAGAAGAGGAGGGAAAATGAACATTCTATTATTTCATTTTATATTAATGTGTAATTCAGTCTGAGTATTGATCTGGACTGAATTACTTTTGAATATTGTTGGTCAAGTGTGGGTATTATTATAAAAACGAGTCCACTGAACACAGGATGTAATGTCACATGCATTTAGTAGCAAGGTGATAAGTAATGAAACCAACAATAACTGTATTCTAGAGATAAAGTGTATGAAGTGTGTCATACACATATATACCCATAAACATTAGTTATGACAACAAATTTATACATCCATAAAGTTATCCTCATAAAGAATTATTGAAAATAATAACCACTCTAAATTTAAAATCTCTGGACAAGACCTGGATCATTTTAAGGTTTCTTCCTAATAATTTCATATAAATGATATTCAAACATGTAATCGTTATTTAATTTACCTATATGTATTTCTCCTCTGACCATGTGTTGATTTTATGTAATATGTTGGAAAAATATTATATATATAGATTATAATATATCTTATATAAAAATATGGTTAGTGGGTAGCCTTACGGTTATCAGTTCTACACATCATGTTACAAGCAAATACAATTTCGTAATCACCAGTATTGTTTACTCATTTAATGCTATTACTGATAAAGAGGCATTTGATGATAAACAAGCTGTGTTGCTCACATTATAATTGTCTATAAAGTCTTGTTTATCCCTGACAGTCAGTCATACAGATATTAGTTGATTTTAAACATTTTTTGAAATGTTAAAAATCAACTATGAAAAAATATCACATATTTTTTCTGGAACTAATAAATGTTTAGTCAGTCTGGTCAGTCCTTTAGTATCATAGTGACTTCAAACTAAACAAATTAAATATTTTCTTAGTCAAACTTATATATTTACATACATAAAACAATACTTATAGTTCCATCTCTTTGAAAAATGACTTTAAAAGTTCAATTTGTTTACAGAGACGCAGATGACGCGGTCCGTGCTCGCGACGGCTATGATTACGATGGATATCGCCTACGCGTGGAATTCCCGCGTGGTGGAGGCGGCGGTGGTGGCCGCGGTGGACGTGGAGGCCCAGAGCGCTTTGGAGCACGCACTGCTACAAGAGGACCGCCAGCACGTCGCTCTGAACATCGTGTACTGGTCACTGGATTGCCTCCATCAGGATCCTGGCAGGATCTTAAGGACCACATGAGAGAGGCTGGCGATGTCTGTTTTGCTGACACCTTTAAAGATGGAACTGGTGTTGTAGAATTCTTGCGTCATGAAGACATGAAATATGCTGTTAAGAAACTAGATGATTCTAGATTCAGGAGTCATGAGGTGAGTGGAGTCATTAGATTTAACAAATTGTTATGGTCCTTGATATTTATTCACTTCCCCTAACATTTAGAATTTGTCCCTATGTATAATAATGATCATTAGATAGTATCACAATAGTTTCGATTCCCAAAAACTAAAAAGTCCATTAATGAGTTCAAAAGCAAGGTAAAATGGTGGCTTGCCTGTGAACACACATATGCTAAACATTTTATTGATCTACCTCCATTACAAGGGGTTTCACCCCAGGCATGGCTACAACTTATAGAACAATGTCAATGACCTTTAATTATGTAACCATTGGAATATTCATTCAATGACAGATAATGTAGTATTTTTTTTTTGTAAAGTTTTCATCACTTTTATGTGCCAAGGAATATGATTTATGGATAAATTTACTAACTACATATTTTTTTATTTTGCTAACTAAAGTAGGAATAAAAAGTATACTAAGCCTTCCATATTATATTCTACAATTTATTCAAAATTAAATAATCAACTTTACCCTTACACTACTTACTTATACTTACCCTTACCCTTATACTTACCATGAATAATATTCCATAAAGACGTCATCAAGATCAATATGTACATTATTTTGATGGTAAATGCTATTGTTATTTTTTTGTCAGGGTGAGGTATCGTATATCCGCGTCAAGGAAGACTACGGCGGTGGCGGCGGCGGTGGTGCTGACCGATACAGCGGGGATCGAGACAGGTAAGCCAATTTATTGTAGCCCACTATCTAGTAACAGAATTAACTTCATATTAATTGAAGAAGTCCATATGTCCCCTTATCCATGCTTTCTTTTTACTTTTTCAAGTTAGGGTTGCCAACGAGTTTTCTCGTTTCTTTGATGGTAAGTAATCTGTGCTGCCCATGCCCATCTGGCCCATCTGGTGAGTTTCACAGATTTCCTATCAAAAAAGTTTTTCTTTTTTTTTTCAATTGCGACTTCGGGACAGTTTGGTTTTCTAACATACTTTTGGAGTTTGTGTACATGTTCAGCAATGGACTGAAATGGGCTGAAAATGAAGATGTTTAATAAATATATGTTTGGTGCAGGTCCCGGTCGTACTCCCCGCGGCGGCGCGGCTCCCCGACGTACTCGCCGGTGCGCCGCAGCTACTCGCGCTCCCGCAGTCGTTCGCGCTCACACAACTACTGAGACAGGTCGGTACACACCACTACCACATCCTACACCATCCCACTCATATACCTACATCAATTATAAGGCGAATACGACAGTAACCCATCATGGGAGTAGCAACATAAAACATTGTAGACTCACATTAATTGTGCATCTATATTATAATGTTCAGGGTGTCGTTAGTTAAAGCCAACCTGCTTTGCACAAAGCATTCGCCATCTTTTGGTTTTATATATAAATATAATAATCACTAAATAAATATAATATGCAAGCAATTTAAAAATAAACAATAGCAATATATTATTATTATTATGAAACACTATTATTTACGTCTGTGGTATAAAGTCATTGCTCAATTAAGCAAAAATAAATTATATTTAAACAATAATACAAATTGTAGACTAACGGTTAGTTGTCTTTATGTGAATTAACATTTTAAGTCAAAAACATGTTTTTGTACTTCTGAATTTAAAATATTTTGGAAATATTGTCACGCAAGCCACAGCTATATTTACAGTAATGGAAGGATTCACTGGATATAGCAGTTGTCAGCTTGTTGAAAATAACACTGGACTACTCAGGACTTTTCCAAATAATTGAAAATATCTCTGGACTTGAGGATTTGGATTGTAACTTAAGGATTTGGATTTCATATGGATTCATCAGGTTTGCGGGACAGACATACTTTGGCAATGGTATCATTGAGTCTTTAGCTTTATCAATATTCAATACTCTTTGGTTTGTTTTGCCTTGCGTATCTCGTTTGTTTTGTGCTTAATATCAATAAGTTCTAAATATTTAAATCTTAGACAGAAAGACTGATTTTTTTTTATCTATTAATATTTTTTTATTTCTTTTATATTTTAATTATAATAATCATAAGTACAATTATATACACATTTATCCTGTACTTACTAATTTTTTTCCTCAATTCAAATCATTGTTTTTGAGTTAGTCTGGATTCAATGAAATCTTTGAATCCAATGTGGAAGCAAGTAATTCTCAACCCTTATTCGTCGTCGTTATCATTGAGCACAGATTAGTAACCACATGGAAACCCCATTGACATGCAGCCCTCTCGGCAGTTTGTGGAATTAGTGGTCGATAATAATGGACCTGCATGTGTGGTTCCCATGTAGTTAGTAGTCGTGCGGTGGCCGGGTATGTAAACTTAAGGTCTGTATTTCGACAGCGGACGGAGCGACGGCGCCGGCGCGGCAGCGGACAGCCTCACGTAGATATAAGACATAGATGTACATTACACTGCGGGACGACATCGCTGCCACGTATACTGAGCTAGCTTGTGTGAAATGGGGTAGATAGGAGCGATGCTGGAACCGTTTTTGACTTTGAATCACACGGTGTGGTCCTATATGATCTCTAAATTATTTAGTAAAGCTAAATTTATCAACTGACAGCAACCTAATTCAGTGTTACAAATGGCCTAGTGCGTTTCTATCTACGTCGTTTTACTGTGACTGTGTAACCTGTGGGGTACACAGATGTCGCCGAAGTAGTGTAAATTTGAATTAATATTGGGATTAAAGGTGCGCAAGCCGTGTCGTCCGGCGCAAGTCCGCGCCGCCGCGTGCGCCCCCACTCGCTCGTACTGTCGGGGGTGACGGGGCTCAGGCCGCGACGCGGACGACTCGATTACATTTACAAGATGACTGTTTATAATTAAAAGCATTTTCTTTTGTTTCATCCTCTAATGGAAATCATTGGATGTGCTTGGCTGGAGGTGTGAGTCAGGATGCCGTAGAGGCCTCGCGTGTAGGATCGGATCGGATCGGACCGCACCGGCGGATCTCTGGCGGACATTTGAATATTTGTCGCGTGGATGTATTGTCCCTTTCGGATGTTGGATTTGGTATTGGATCGTACGATCGGAGCGGCCCGGCGCGGCCGGCACCTCGCACCTTCCGCGCTGGACAGGATCAGGACCTTTGGGTATGACATTCAAATTAATTGCAAAATAACTTATGTTGAGTGCACGCTCGGTACAGAGTATTAATGTTTGTTTGGATATCCTTAACTCACACTTTATTTGCTTCTCGATGTCTGCCGTTTATTTCCTAGACGTAGGACTTCGGTTCAATGACGATTATGAGAGATATTTTCTATTAGCTTTGCTCATTAGTGTGTTAGAACCTAACAACTCAGTGTCATATATAAATAATTAGCATGCTTTACGAGCTTTTCATACAAACCTACCTGCGTGACAGCGATACAAGATGTGTGTTTGAATGGATGACCGAAATGGATATAGTTTTAAAATTGACATGTAATTGATACGGATTGTAATTGTGAGATGTGATGTTAGGAACACAAAGTTAAATCACAAATGTATTGTAAAGTGTGCGTCGCGGACGCTCGATATATCATAGATATAATGTGTGGACATACATATTGTAATATAGGAACTGGATCAGCATTCCAAAGACCAACGCACTTTGATGGACTTAATAAATTCCTTACAAAAGATTCACTGAATTTTATTTCTTGGCTACAATTCCCTTAACCTCACCTGCTTGTGAGAAACTTGTCATGCATCAGCACAAATAAAGAAAGACTACACAATATAAATAACCAAATTTTAATGACTTATATTTACACCTAAACATAAAACTTAACAACAGTTTGATGGCATTATATCTTGAATCCGGAGTGTATAGCGCATGTACCAAATGTCAAGTTCTCATAGGTCACCTGTCGGAAGCCAGCGTCTTCTATCATCGATTTAAATTTCTCCTGTGCAAAACGAATGTGTATGTTAATTAAGCAAGCTAACTAATGAAAGTCTCCCCAATACTGGTGGAGTGTACTGTGTAAATATAATTCTAATATGTGTACCTGATTGGGGAACTGTCTTATGCTCTCGACGAGGTATTGGTATGGCTTCCACTGTCCTACAAACAGTTGACCCAACACAGGGATGACTTGGAACGAATATTGGTCATATACCCTGAGAAAAAATAAGTAATGGTTTTGTATAAATACCAAAAACGAGTTTTTTTTCTACAGGCATTGGAATAATTTTATTTTTGATCTACCATTCTTCACTAGGTCCGGCGAACAATACCTGGACCTTTACCCATGCAACAAGATATAGGTTACACCAAATGGATACATTATGCTGCCGCCAAAAATACCCGGATGAAGAGCAAGAAGAAAAGCAATAACTAAAACTTAAGACAGCCTGATGGTAAGCAGGCACATCTTGATTTTACATACCACTGGAGTGTATCATTTGGAAGTTGACTAAATTCCAGACACATGAAGCGACCACCAGGAGTCAGGACTCTGTATGCTTCCTCCAATACCTATAGAGCAGATAAACGTTACCATTAAGGCCAGGTTCACACGGCAACTATTCGATTCGATATTCATCGAGGGTTGACCTTCGGTCAAGGAAATAAAATCCTCGATCAATCCTGTCCCCATATTGACAACCGACTGATGCAACGCACAAAGGCAACTGCTGGGGCGTACGATTCTCGAATGGGCGAGTCTTGTGAACGAGACAACATGAACATATTCGATAATATCGTTTCGAAACGCGGCCTCTCGGTTGCAACTTTGCACGGTATACAGTAATATATTATTATATAATATCGGAGACGGGATTTTCCCGTATGAACGCCGTGCAAACAGTTTTTAAGTTTTCATATATATTTTGTTGGTACTCTCTACTCTATTCGAATAAAATCTCGTATGCGGTAAAATAATCACCGTGAGAACGTGGCCTTATTGCATCGACGCGATTTATATTTGGTATGTATGCGAAAGAGGACGACCACGACCCGGCACTAAAATTCTAGCAAAAGTAGCTACCTAATAAAAAAGGCATGCTACCTTTTCAATGTGAGTGCAGTTTCTGATTCCGAACGCGATGGTGTACGCGGTGTAGCTGTCGTCGGGCAGGTCCAGGCGCTCCGCATCAGCACACTTCCAGTTTATGTCCACTCCGCACGACTCCGCCGTGTAGCCTAATCTGCAACACCAAGTAACTCAATAAACATAACTATCTACTGCTAAGTCCGCATCGCGTATCTGTTCGCGATAAACTTACAAAATATTGGATTAAGTTTTATGTGGTAATTCATTCAGAATAAGATAGGTAGAAAAGGCTAAATGTAATGTAATAAAATCATTATTACCGTAAAACGGGGTGAATAGATGTTGGCTAATTTTCCTAGTACCTATCTATTCACTCCTCGAATTCTATTCACCCCATTTTACCATACATATTATGCACATTAACCTGCTCTTCCAGGGTCGATATTTTTAAATACTGTTAATTTGACATTGATGACTTGTCATTCAATCCATATGCATATTCAAGATTCACAAGAATGAGTGTTGTTCTGAACTTTTCACCTTGCCATCATAATTCCCTAAATAAGTAAGTAGGTACAGACATAGGTGCAATCAACTGCAATAATTTTATTAAAGGTCAGAATTACCAACACAATTACTGTTTACAATAATAATAATGAGTGAGTTATCATCATTTCAATTATTAAAAATCTATCTACACAAACTTAGCATGTTTATAATCTATCCTTAGAATTAAAAACAATTGAGTGTAGTTCAATTATGAGTATGTTAAATAAATGAAAACATACTTTTGTGCCCTTTGCTTGCCAACATCTAGCATGGCCTGGTTGATGTCACAGACAGTCACACTGCTGTGTGCTCCTTGGGATGGGCCTAGGTTCTGCAAGTACTTTATGTATCTGAATGCTATGTCCCCTGGAATGGGATGTAAAAAATAAATAAGTAAATATGTAGATATACATACAAATAGAATCTTAAGAGGTGATTAATTAAGGTATAGCGCTTAGACATACTACTACATTGTATAATTTAAAATGAAATGGTTATCACTTCTAAACTACAGAACATAAGAAGAGGAAAGTTTTTGGATTAGTTCAGTAGCTAGACCAACGTTGGATAACATAATAAAACTGAAGGGTCTCACCTGTGCCACCAGCCATGTCCAGCAGTTTAGTTTCCGCCCTGGGTGCCAGGCGGCACATGAAGATATCCTTCCACATGCGGTGGATGCCCATAGACATCACATCATTCATGAGGTCATACCTTTCTGCTACAGTTTCGAACACTTCGTGAACTGAAATATTATAACATGATAGGAAGTTACAGGAGAATATTTATTCATGAACAGTGCATATCTTGGTTCATAGTTAAACACTATATTTATATTTAAATATTTTTCGAAATTTTGTTTGCTTGCCACATAATTAGGCTGTCGTAATAAACACAAGTTATTTACAGACTCTGAATGAAATGATCTATTTATCTTGTAGTAAAAAATGATGAGAATTAAAAGAACTTGAATACATTACCCTTTTTGGTTTTTTCCTGTTCATCAACGACTTGGAATCCGAAATGTGTCTGGCCGGGTTTCATTTCTTCCGTCGCATTGCCTTCTTTGGTAGATGTTTGAGTACTCATAACGCGGAGCCTTGACGCTTGCTGCGTTGCACATCGTATATTGGATAACTTAAGTATACCCGTTCGTAATGCCATCGTTAATAACTAACTAAAATATTTGAAATCAAGGCAGATAACCAAGCAAGAATGAAGAAATCGCAAACCAGCTGATTCTTTCATGGAGAGTTGACAATTAAAAGTTGACGGATCGACTTCTCTGTCAATGTTACGTCATATTCCGTATTGTTGCTTTCAGTTTTATTAACTGTGTTTAATAGATTGTCCTCGTCTCCCTTACTAAGCCCTTCAATGAATTCATTTAAAATTAAATACCAAGAATATCTAAGTTGCATCTAGAAAACAGAAGCGTAAGCTTTTATAAGTTATGAACAAAACCGTAAAGGTCCTTGAACAAAACGTAGTTGTCAAAGACATAAATGTGGGTTGCCAACCAAGAGATTTTACCCTTTGTTTTTGTTTACGAAAATAAAATAATAATCGTATCGTAGGATCTTACACTATCATTATATAATTGCTGTGATATTTAAATGGATTAACATTTATGATAGCTGAATATTTATTCAACAACAATAGACTGCGTAGAATAAGTCATTTAGCAGGTATTCGATTAGAAAGACACTCATAAACCGGTGAGGGTAATTTTGTAATCGAAATGGGAACACTGTAAAACTTTCACAAAAACAGTAAATAAACAGTAATAAGGTGACTCAAATTTATTAGGAAAATAGATAAATACCTAAGTAAATAGGAAGTAATGAACAAAAATGTGAACAAATTCTGCTAAGGTTAACTTTCATGAGCCCAAAATGTCTTCGTCTTCGTTAAGTAATAAGATAAATAGTTCAAAATCCATAGGTAGGTGCCTACTTGATTTTTTGTCAATAAAAATTTTAGCGATACTGAATTGATAAAAATTATAAAGGTGATAGAAAAGAAAGTAGATCATAAATGTGGTGTCCTATTCCACTGCTTACATACTTTATAAAATTATTAAGATTTTTGTTACCTATTTATAATGGGTAATCTATTACAAAAGTTTATGTTCCCAATTTTCTATTATTATGTATATCTTTAGACTATGTGGAGCACAATGTTGAGCATTACCAACAACGCTACAATTGGGACTGCGGAGTGTCCTGTGTCCTGATGCTTCTGCCCCTGGAACAGAGAGAGGAAATGCTCAACAACTTTGAGGACATCTGTGAAGATGAGGGGTTTAGGCAGTCTACCTGGACCATAGACCTCTGTTATCTATTAAAGAGGTGGGGTTATTAGCATTATACCTATTTTTTATGAAATAGATGAGGTCAGTATACATTTAGATGCATTACCTGATGGTAAACAATGTGCGCCACTCATGGACACCTGCAATAACAAAGAAGTTACTACAGGTTTGTAGCTGATGATATGTTGTGTATTACAGATTTAATAATTTATTATTAGGGGATTTGAGGATTAAGGATTGGGCCTCCAGTAACCTCACTCACTGGATTCACACCAGTATTCTAAGAAGCTATGCATGATATCACTCCCGGCGAGCCAGTCATGTCTCACACACATTTAAAAATTGCACTGCATTTAGATATGCAGGTTTTTATAATGGAAGGAGAGCTATGCTTCGGTGTGTACGGGCCAGCTGGGAATCTCTTGTTAGCTCGATACGCCCAATCTTAATTTCCAATTGCCCTGGACGCTTAAATAAGTGGCGGCTTGTCCATTTCCATTTTTAAATTTGACTGAAACTAAACAGTGGAAAAAAGGTTTTAATACATTATAATTACTACTACCTATAAATAATGTTGTGTAGATTTGGCATCAAGCATGTCATGTACACCACAACACTGGGAGTGAACGAAGACTGCAAGAGACATGGATACTACGACAGAATTATTCATATGGTATGCTTTTAATGAACGATACTGACTTTTTTCAATTATTTTAACAATACATATTTACCAATGTGGTAATTTTGTATCAGGACCGTGACCGAGTGTTACGTCGGTTCGCGGAGGCGACGTCCCGCGGCGTGCGCGTGGTCCAACAGTCGATGCAGTACGGCGCGCTGCGGGCCCACGTGGGCTCGGCCGGGCCCGCCATACTGCTCGTCGACGCCACGCTGCTCGTCTGTGACCTCTGCAAGCATAATAAATTAAAAGCCGAGTTCAGGTACCTACATAGATTGACTAAGTATACTTTGCCTTCATCGCATCTGAGACTCTTTGATCGTGGCTCGAATATCCGTATTATGATTAGTGGATCAAGAAGCGCAGTATACTTAGATTTTTCATATACCAACATTTGATGTTCAGCCGGGGTTGCGGGGCAATCGCAATGAAGCACTGCGGCCTCGGCCCAGTGCAGATGAACGAACGGGGGGTTTTTAGTCAGTAAGTGTCTGACACTCCCTACCACCCGACCCTGGGCGGGAGAAGCCATTTGATGATTTTCCCCTCTCATAAAAAAACCATTTGATGTTGTTGTAACTGTAATTTCTCTGTATTTTAGGTTTTAAAAATAATGTTTTACGCTAGTATTTTCTTCTTTACTTTTACTAAAATAAAATTTCAAATAAATTTCAAACAAGAGTTGCTATTTGTGAGTGTCGAGTGCCGTCAGACCTATTTCCCTACCAAGAAGCCAACCGTGCCGCCAATTCACATAATCTAACATTCAATTAATAAGTGCAACTTACCCTGTACTGTGCAATTTGAATTTCTTATTGTTATCTTTAATGTTTAATAAATGCCATGTCTACCTGCAGACGTTGTTTCGGAGGCAGTTACACGGGTCACTACATCCTAGTAGTGGGGTTCCGGGGCTCCAAGCTGTTGTACCGCGACCCCGCGCTGTCCCCGCGCCTGTGCGCGGCCTCCGCCCCTCGCCTGCTCCGCGCTCACCGCGCGCCGGGGACAGACCTCGATGCCATACTCGTCTACAGGGACTACAGGTAACAAAGACATCGGTCGGTGCCACTCATATGTAGCAGGGATCCTCTTTGAACGTTACGAAGAACATTTTTGGTCATGACAAAGCTAAACTAGTGATTTCAAAAGGAGGAAGTTCAGTCTTCGTATGGGTGCAGAAAAACGGTAGAAAATTCAGAAACGTGTTTAATACCATCAATTATTGCCATAATTATTGTCATTTTCCGTACTACTACTGTGGCCCCAGCATAAGCAGAGGGCGCTATTGTCGATTCTGATCCTACACCACACTTACGCATTATTAGACAATTTGTTGACATAAGTAATAAAATAACAAATTCAGCAGATATGCACCTACATAGTAGCCAGTGTCCTGTTGTGATGCATTCTATCTAGTAATTTAAAACTAATTTAAATAAAGACTTTTTAGTTATAATAAAATATGTAGCTAATATAATAAAGATTCTTGAGTTATCTATGTAGTACCTACAATTATTGATTTCTAATTTAAGTACTAATATTTGTAATAAAATCGCAATTATGTCAATTAATGATAAACTTGAACAGTTTTTCTTAGTTTCATAGTTAACGTTCCATTTTAGGATAATAAATAATTATAAATAAAATGTAAATGTGACATGTGCCTTTATATATAAATATTAAGTAAGTATTTTAATTTATAATAAAAAATTGACATGTATGCAAGTTATGACAATATATTGATTTAATTTTAAAATTTTTGTGTTTCTTTTTGTATTTTTTTTTTGTTATCATAGGTTTAATATCGTTATACCTATGATAACAAAAAAAAATACTACTAATAGTAAATTAATGTGAAAATATAGTTAGTTTATTTATTTTCTTTTTATTTCATTAAAGATTACAGTGTAAGCACAGATGTGTTTGATAGATTTCCTTATGTAGTACTTAATCATTTATTTAAATTGAAGTCTTATTTTACGCACTGAATATATTTTATTAACTTATTGTGGCTGTTTGTAATGCTGTACCATCTCCATAGTCATCATCATCATCATCATCAGCCTATAAGTGCCCATTGCTGAGCAGAGGCCTCTTCTCATACGGAGAAGGCTAGAGCATTACTCACCACGCTTGCTCAATGTGGTTTGGCGATTTCAAACTACAGTACAACTATGGAGAAGATAGTGCATTGATAACAAAAATTTGCCTATCTGTTAATCTAGTGTATCAGAGAGATTAACAGAAACATTCACACATTCTCACAAAGTTTCACATTTATAAAAGTTACTTATTAGTAGGATGAAAAAATACACAATACGAAACAAAACAAAATAACTCTAATACTTACTTAAGACTTGAGTGAGTACAAATAAATTAAATGAGTGATACACACAAACAATCAATAATTAACACACTTTCTACACATAAACATGTAATAATAGGTAATTATCAAGAATCACTATACTGTGTAGTTATTAGCTTCAGTTAATTATACTTGGTTATACCGCACCTAAATGAAAGCAATGTACTAGCCGACTAGCCCCCGCACATCAAAGTATACCAAGATACAGTGAACTGTCAAAACTGTTCAATTTTTTCAACTCTTTGAGAAAACTTTAAGTTGAAAATGTAATAAAAGAAATCTGACAGATAGGAGTAAGATGGTCAATGGTCAAATGGAAACTTATTTATTTATAACTTTAAATACTTTTAAGTAGTATTGATAATAAGGTTGAAAAATATTGAGAAATAATTTAATATGTCCAGCCTATTCATAAATCCTTCAATCTTCAAATCAAACCATAAAGTTTTTGGTAACGTCTAAGTCTTTTACGCCTCGGCCGCACTCATCGCGACAACATTCGGGCGATAAACTTCGACTTCGGGCTACGGCGAATGTTCGCGGCCACATAATTATGTCTAATATACGAAGTTAATCGTCCAAATGTAATCGCGATAAAAAATCGCGACTTTAGTGAAAACTATTAACACATCCTATTTGACACCCTTCGATGTGCGAGAGTCTACCGACAGCGGAGCGAAAAGCCCGAAGCTTTGCCCGAAGTGCCGAAGGGTTCGCGAATACTTGGCTACACATATCGCGATTACATGAATATTCGAGTTATCGCAATGAGTGCGGCCGAGCCGAGGCATCAGTGTGAACAGACCCTTAACTGGGCATTTTGAACCAAAGAGCAGAGAAATCTATGATCTGTGTCTATTTTTGTCTATTGCTGGGAATTTACCACGCAATTTGAATGTTTTGCCATATTGGACTTTGAGACTTGAGTCAAAAGATGTAATGTTGTGTAACGTTGTAGTTTTGATTGTAGATAGGGATTCAATCTTACACGTGTTTGTTACATTCCATGGCCACGCTATACATACCTATACCAGACGAAACATTATAGCCTTATTTACATGATCCTACTTCCTATTTAAATATAAAGGCAAAAGTTTCTAAGAATGGATGTATGGATGTTATTCTTTAATTCAAAAACGACTACATAAGCGGATTTCTATAAAAATAGCACATGCAAATTATATTCTTTGTATTATCACATAGGCTTGCTACTTTGCATGAACTTAATAAAAAATGTAGTAATTTGATACTTTACAAAATTAAAATGTGTTATCTTAATATGTGTTGGTCTTGGTAAGCGCACTCAACAACGCCTGGACCAATTTTGCTAATTCTTCGAAGGTTCTTATCAAAGAAAATATTTGAAAAGTAGAGGGGAAGATTAGGAAAGAGTGACCTTTGACAGCGAAAAAGTTAGACCCTTGCGAAGCGGGGGCGGGCCGCTAGTACATAATATTATTTCTTGTATGTACCTACTCAAGAGGTAATTGTAATAACCCCAGTTCTAAGACCCGTTGTTAACTAGTTGCTTATTATACTCTATATTAATTATATGCAATCAGCCTATGAAAACTGGTGAATTCACAAGCAAGGCGTTACAAGTAAAGCGCTTTCTAATGATACCAAACACGGCATATTTATCTTAACTTTATTTTTTTACTCTGAATGTTTTGTCCTCTAGGGGACGCCACATTCGATTTTCTGATAGCCCATATAGCCTACAACCAGCGGAAAATTAAGCTGTTTCTAATGATATGTCATTTGTCGAATTCTGATAAGTAATTCAGAAGTTACGAGGGAATAGATGAACTTTCCCTTCGTTAAATCACTAATAAACACTTCAATATATTTTCAACTTTATTAAAAACTAATACAGTTGAAAATGTATTAAAAAACATATATGCCAGAGTAGCGTGGACATTATTTTATACCTACAATATCCTATATTGTAAAATAAGACGCAGGTACTCCCCGCGCGATAACCCAGTGTGCACGGGACTACCCAGTGCTTCCGGGGCTGCCATCTAATATGCTTACTTATGTATAAAAGAAACGAGCTTTTTCTGTGCCTATATCCCTATGTATGTATGCTTAAATCTTTGAAACTACGCGATGGATCTTGATGTAGGTTTTTTATAATAGATATAATGATTGTAGAGGAAAGTTTATATGTACCTATAATAAAAACATTCATCATTCTTGCCTTAATTGGCTGGCTTGAGTGGAGATTCGCAAGAGTAAGAGTTGAAGGAGATTCGGGGGAAGGGGAATTATCACATAAAAAATATAGATATTCTTGAGGTTTCTCGTTATGATATACCTCATACATGATATACAACGCTGTAATGACATCACGGTTGACGACGATGATGATTATTGATGATACACTTAGTATACTTACTACTAAAATAATTATAGCGCTGTTTGCTATAAAATAACATGTAAATTATATGGTATTTACGCAGGTGACAGGTGCCAATAAAGGTAATACATACAACAACACAAAGTGGGAGTTACCCAACCAGAGACATTTTGAAATTATACACTGTTACACCCCGACCATAAACAAAATATAAATCAAAGCCATGCAACTGTCTCTCTCGCACTATTTAATTTTTTTACGTTTGTACCATTTTTAAAATAGAATTACCGATTATTGTCTCTTTCTCACTGCTTAAATAGATACTGATGTTTTATTAAAATAGAAAAAGAAAATTGGTACCTACACCACTTTCTATTGAAGGAATACTTTCTCGTCTTGGGACATGTTATACCTAATGTAATGACAATAATAAATAAGCCACCATTTCAATGCTTGAGTTATTTGAACCCAGAATTATGCAAAGACAGGATTAATGATTTATTTTTTTGTAAACAGATTGAAATTGCCCAAACCTATACTGACTTAGGTACAAGAGCCGCCGTTGCTAGAAGCTCGCGTAGTTGGTATTGCACAATAATATTTCATTTTAATGAATGTTTTAGCAGACATTTTATGATTGAAGACATAAACAATGCTTCAATATTATATTGCGCAACATTTGTCTCCTTTACCTACTTAAGTAACCTACACTTAGGTACTTACTCCTGTTACGTACCTACGGTGCTTAAGCATTCAATAAACGTAATTCAACTTCGTAAATTTTATTGTTTTAGTGCATTAGTCATTTGTTTACAAAATAACTTTTGAGTTTCAACACGTGAAATCAGTGACCGTACTATCGATTTACGGTGACATCTGTTTTTAGCCTTGGTCAGTGGATGTTAAGGTTTATATTGCTTTGGTAGTGATATTGTAAGAATTTTGTCAAGCTTGTAGGTTGAAACAGAGAGCGAGTCTGTGATGCAAGTTGTTTACTGTGAAGCTGGCGGCCGCGTGGACCGCATTGTGGGACTGAGCTGTGTCGGAGAGTGGCCAGTGTAGTGATCAGTGAATAAACGGACAGTTCATTATTTTTCTTAATAATAATAATTAGAAGTTATAGGAAGAAAAAAATACTTTAATAATCTTTGCTTTGTTTCGGAGTTTGATCTGTAACTAACTGTTTCTTGTACCTATCGCATTCGCAACATTAAAGTTTAATAGGTAAGTGCATGCTGATTTTTACCGTGTACCTACTGAATCGACTGATTTAGTTTCATAAGTGGTATGGTCGGGAATGCGGGTATAGATATCGAAGTCTTTGGAGCAATCCTAGGTTTAAGTAAAGTAAGTATTAGGTAAGGCTCAACAGGGTCGGTGTTCAACCGGGGTTGCTAGGCAAGAGCAATTAGGAATCGCGGTCTCGGCTTGGAGCTTGGAGCAGGAGTAGGATCGGAGTGGTTTTGTCAGTAAGAGTCTGACACTTCCTCTCTTACCCTGGGCAAGAGAAGAAAATTGATGATTTTGCTCCCATAAAAAACAACAAAAACGCCTTGGTAAAACCAGTTGTTTAGGTACACGAAGACGCAGTGGGTAGGTATAAGCTAATAACACCTTTTTATTATAATATGGCTGACTTCTGTGTTAAGTGTTTTTACTCAATAGTCAATACTTTATTGCGTTCCATCATGTACATTAGGTGTTGTGTCTGACTGCATCGACCAACGCATTTATCTTTATTAAGTACTTAGATAAATATCTTCTAAAAGTGTAATTAGCAGGCAGTCAGTCCACCGGAACACCCTAATATAGTTACTTAGTCTAAATCTGAAAAAAGAAGATCCAAAGTACGTAAGCCTGATGTGATATTATGTTTTTCGATATTATCTCCGCGCCTAGTTTTTATACCTACAGGAAAAACGAACTGTAATCTCAAACATTAAAAATAAGTATAAGATACGTTCCAGGAATTAAAGAACTCGCATAGGCACCGAAAACAATGTTCAATTGAGAGAGTAAGTACCTACCTAAGGGTTTTACTTACTCAGATTTAAATCGTCTATAACCAAAGAAACATCTACAATTTACCTACAAGGAGGTATTACCTGTTTTATTGTCAATTTAAATGGTGGTGAAGGCGTCGTTGTCGTTGTAGTTGAGAACGGTAGATACCTATCCAGAAACTTGTCTTTCAAGTGTTCTGAAGCGCGAACCATGTTTGAAGCCAATCCCTAACACGTCGGCAACCCGCCAGTACATAACTCTTTCGTTGTTGCGGGTGTCCATGGGCGGCGCTGATAGCTTACCATCAGGTAATCCGCCTGCCAGTTTGCCGTCCTATACTATTTCACAGTGTCGTTTTCATCTATCGATCTAAGTATGTAACTAAATTTAATTATTACTAAAATTATCAAAATTTTACTTCTTACTTGGCAAGTTTTCAAACCCGACCAAATTAGGACAAATCCGGGTAAACCCCTGGCTGGCAGCCCTACCAATAAGTTGTCTTCTGATGTTTCAACAATGAATTCTTAGTTGTAAAGGTGTTTTGCTTTACTTAATCACATCCCGCGTGTTACTGCGGGGAGATCCCCAACGTTGTAGGTACTCAACCGAAAAATCTTCAAATATAGACTCAAGAATTTCAATATGAAACTAGTTTTGCTCTTCACATCCGCCTTTGTTTATAGGAATTTAATTTAAACATCATACCTAGGTACCAATTTTGAATTCATTGGGTTCAATGTTTACTTGCACATTATACATTTTAAAACTTGAACATCCTTATAGCCCTAGTATTGAATACTAAGGTACCAACTAGTAGTAACTTAATAGGTACTTAAAAGTAATCTTGTATGGGGTTTCCCAGAGGATCTTTACAATCTAATATCTAAAGATATACAATTAATTAATTAGAGCTCTGGGCGTCTACTTAGGCATAGGTACCTACTTAATAGAATAGGTCTTTTGATACTAGAATACGATTTCCGAAAATATTCCGTAAATCAAGCACCGTTTCGACTTACGAACAGACAGATAGAATTGTCGTTAGCTCCACGTGTATTTACTCATGTTATTGATAAGTACTTACTTTGCGTAGGTAACTGAAGTACACAGCGGCTATGGTATAAATACTGCAATAAAGTACGTTCCGCATTAGTTTACTAAATCCATTCATTCACCATGGCTCTCTTGTATAGTTTTTTTGTACTGTGGCTGACCAGTACTGTCGGCCATTCATCCTTATTGCCAAGAACGGTGAGTGCATTTTAACTTAGCTTTTATTTAATTAACTAGCTTACTTGCACGGGTAGGTATTAAAGTAATGTATACCGGGATTTTTAAAACAACAGCTCGACTAAAATAGGCAAATCTATACAGTACAGTTTTTAGACCGAAGCATTCAGGAACATAGTAGCGTACCTCTTTATAATAGTAGATATTGGAAAACCCGATTTCTAGGGACAGTTTTTGATAGGGAAACCGAAGAACACGATTGGGTTCAAAATCAATGTAAATGAGTTGTAATTAAATATGTTGGTAGATGTGTTCCTTCACTCGTTATCTCATCTCATCAATCGGATCGAATCCCATAATCTATTCGATTCGATTGATGAGACGACAGGCGAACGCAGTAATGCTGTTTGTTTCGTACTGCCGAATGTTTTAGGCAGGCGATCAACTTTTTATACTGTCTACGTATATACATATGTATATTTGTAAAACTCGTGACAATTATATTATAATTATGCTGTCTAATGCAACTGTTTGCTAAATTAATAATGTAGAATACAATTTAAACTCAGTTTTCTCCAGCAGGCAAGTTGTTCATTTTGTAGTCTTCATAATTAACAAGAAATCATATTTATAACTGGACTATTTGTGATATTCTTGGTTCGATATCTGCTTACCTAGTAAACAAAACATTGTAACATTTAAATACATGTATACCTAACTAAATACCTCCTACCTACATCTGTACCTACTTGCCAGGGGAACCCTCCGGGGTCCGGGTAGGTACTATAGAAGTACTGCGTTTTCCCGTTTGTAGTTCGTAGTTGATCCATTGTCTTTTAAAACAATGCAAAAACGATAGCCACAGCAGCAGGCATAGATAGCCAGTGAAAAGGGCACTATTAATTATCTACCTAAAAAAATGACCAACTTGAAAGTTACATTTAGGAAGGTAATTTTTGTCCCGCGTTGGATGATCTTCAAGGATCCCCCTCGCCTGAGATGAAGAAAGTGACCGTCAGACTCTTACTATCTTAAAACCAACTTTGGTGCCTCGTCTCTCACGTGGGCGTGAGGGTGCGGGAATACAATTTATCCGCAGACCCCACTCGTGGCGGCCTGCCCCAATAGACTCCACTTCAAGATGAATGAACGTGCCACCTCTCACGATTTGTTTGACGGGATGACAGCAGACTTCTTTAATTCCTGTGTTCCTGGAGACAAAGCAGGTTCTGCCCTCCTCCTACGCCCGGTGCGTCTGCTGAGGGCTGAGGGTGGGAAGGGGATTCGTGATCTTCCTTTCCTTTTCCGCAGCCTCTTTCTGCGTTTCTGATTTTACAATTTTTATACTTTGTTATACGTATATGGTAGGTACTGTGGCTCTCGATTTTATTGTTTGACGTTTAAATGGTAATTTAGTTATAGTTATTGATTGTAACTTATTAACAGGTGAGCTGATATCAATTAACATTTTACTGCTTCTTTTAAACATAGCAGGAAGTTGTGTTGTACATAACTAAGTATCATCAATATAGATGCGACACAAATCGTATTTCTGGAAATAATTACAGGCAGTGTCACCTTCGTAGAAGTCAATAAATAATGTTATATTAGCGTGTTATTATATTACTCGTAGAACAATGTGGAGTGACGTTGCACCTGTTATCAGTAAGATGGCGTTATCAATGCCGGCCGGCGCGAGGTAATTGTTTCAGTGCTGTTTGACAACCTCGCGGACGGGGTACACTACTGCTGAGTGAGTTAATATTCTCAAACATCGGGTGCCTTAATAGATTACAATATAGTGAATACCTACTTAATATTTTCGAAGCTTTGAAATAATAAGGTAAGACCGGTTACTTTAGAACATGATAAAAAGTACATGAATCAGTGGTTGATACCTAGATATTTGTGATTTATTGATAGTTTACGAATAGTCATTAGTATTTTAATTTTATTGTCATCAGTGATCAGCTAGTGTAATACATTTCTAGCGTTAGCAACGAGTTTATAGAATTCAATGTGACATTACCTACGAATGCCGGTTAAAAAAGGTCAGAATAAGGAAAAATACTTAATCAAAATAATGATTAGGTAACAGCGTAACATAATATAGTTATCTATTATCAAAGTTATTAATTACTAGCTCTGCCTCGCAGTTTTCCTCACGTAGTTTATAGCCTGTGTTCACCCGGAATAGTGTAGCTGCCCAACAGCGGAAGATTTTTTCGAATCGGTTAATTAGTTTCGTAGCTAATTCAATTTAAACAAACAAACAAACAATCAAATATTTCCTCTTTATAATATTAAGTAGTATAAGGACTTCGATGTCTTTAAACAAATAATTAGTGCATTTACTTTGTGGAAGCCTTGCCAAAAGGACAGAGAAGACATTGTTAAGATCATCATTATTATTTTGATACCTCTTAGTATTATGATCATCAGTTGATTCTATTGAAGATATGACGCGTATCTACGACCTAAGGTTCGAACCACCAAGCCAGTGATTGTAGAATACTAATTGATAATGGTTCTGTAATCACCTGACTGGGGCAAAGACAAACTGCAACAGTCCCGTGACTGAGCTGTCTATGGCAGCTTGCACTGCAGTTGGAAAGGAGCCAGCTGGACATGAAGCAATCAACCCGCTTCATGCAGCAGGATCACCTACTCTCGTGTGTCTAAAATCCGTTTTCAACTTTAATATTCTTATACACATTTGTAAAGTCACGATATTTCTTTATTTTCGTAAAAAACAAAAATATAATCGTCTATTTCCCGACCCGGGAATCGAACCCAAGTTCCCTTACTCGAGAGACTCACTTGTAACCCCTTTTTTTGTTTTTTTGTGAGAGGAACATCATCAAATGACTTCTCCCGCTCAGGGTCAAGCGGGAAGGATTGTCAGACTCTTACTGACTAAAAACCCCCCGTTCCTTCTCCTGCTCTGGGCCGAGGTCGCGGTGCCTCTACCCACTTGTGACCCCTTGACCATTAAAGCAGCTTCTATGATAGTAAAATCGAAAGAAAAAAAATACATATTGAAGTAGTGATTAGGTTGATTTGCTGACCACTGCTCTTTTACATACTTTTATTATTCTGTTAGATATAGTATAAGCTACTCGCTACGTCCACCCCTTTCCACCAATGGTATAGGCAGGGTCATTGTAAATTAAATTATACTTATCAACCTACAGCGTAAATAAGCATCACTTACGTAATTTGGTTATATTTAATCCCCCACTAAAGTTGTTAAACTGTATATCTATGAAGAGATAAAACTAATTTACTACAGGTAAACATTCAGTTAGAAACCTACAATAACACATTAGTCCTTGTTAAAATATCCAAATTTCAACCTTATTGCCATATTGTAAAATTGAAACTCTGTCAGCACCTACTCGCTATGATTACTTTCTTTCAATTTTACAAAGAAAATGTGGAAGTCTCTGGAAATGGATTAATTAATGGACATTTGATCGAATTAAGAAATAATTAGTCAATCAGTAACTACGTTATCTACGGGAGTGGCACTAGATTGTGACAAACAAACAAACGGCAGATACTGATAACGAGCCACTAATTTGTACAATCAAATCTTTTGTTAGTCAGCTCTGTAGCATTGAGGATAATCTATAATTTTACTGGACAAGTACTAAGATATAACTACTTATTTCTGTATCACTGGACACTGTATGTAAACATCTTGATCGACTCGCACACGGAAACAACTACGTGATGGAAATCCGGGTCTGCGGGTATATTCCATTTTGAACAAAGTTGCTTCCTCTGTCACTAAATCCCCATGTATCTGTGTTACCTATGCTTATCTTTAGAACATATTCAACGGATTTTGATGCAGTTTATGTTAATAGATAGAATGAATAAAGAGGAAGGTTTATACATAATAGGAATAATTACATTTAAATTAAATTTCGTATTGGTAACATTTTGTAGGTACTTATAAAAATAATCATCCGATGACTACCAAATGTGTTATTATAATAGCCGACGGATCATCAGATAGGTACTTAGAAAGCAATCAGCGACACCCACAACACCAGTCGAGTTGCAAGTGCAATGGATTGGAGATAGCTTCAAACTACTTACTTAATAATTTAACTTTATTATTTATTCTTTCTTATACAGGTGACAACGATGTCGAAGCTCACAGGGTTCCCAAACACGAGCACCCCGGCGGCAGCAGGGCTGACGTACCGCGGCATCGTGGAGAACATGAGCATCCCTGCAGAACTGCACGAGCGACCTGATGGCAAACCATACGCCACCTTCGGAGACGTTGTGCCCATCCACTGCTGCACCCCTGAGCAGGTCACTTACCTAATATTATTGTGTTATCTACCCTACTCACTCGTATACAGTAGACATATTGAAATTGTCACTAATAACCATAGAATGAATCGTACTTTGCTACGATCTCCAGAAAACTTATCAAATAAGACTAGATTGGATAAAATTGAATGGTCATCATGATTCAATGACATTGCAGGTGGAACATCATCGCAAGACGACGCACCACTACTGCGACATCTTCACGGACGAGACGCTGGCGCCGCTCGGAGACCTGGTCTACGTCAGGATCGATGAGAACACTGCTGAGAAGGTACGTTAGTAACTAATTATCTTCGTACCTTGTCCTGGTTCGAGGTGGCCTCCTCTATAAATAAAACCCGCATATTTCTAAATACAAACCAATATCTGAACGGTTAAAGTAGATATACTAAGTGTTTGACTACAATATATGTGATGTTGCTGCGATTTCCTGGTTGGAAAATGTGCTGATGAATTTTTGTTTCTAATAAAATTATTAGGAAGCAATAGCTCGTCAAACCAATTTATACGGTAGCCACTCTAGCCAGGATCCCAAATCATCTTAATTTATTTAATCAAAAATGTCGAAAGCAAATGCCATTCGCTCTATACATATAAAATACCCCGACAATCACGAGATTTTGTTGCTTGTGTCAGGTATTCATCAACCGTCGGCAGCGCATCCTGGTGGTGTCGAGCGACGGCGTGCTGGCGCAGTGGAGGCTGGCGCCGACGTTCGAGTCTGCCAACGTGTACCTGGCCGGCACCCCCATCGTGGACCAGGCCGGACACCTCGTGTCTGTCGTCACCGCCAAGTGGGGCAGGCACTACGCCGTCTCTGCTCTTGAGGTATGACAACATAGCCTACTTATATTTCAATTTAACATGTTTTATGCTTGTTATGTGTGACTTGTTAACATGTTTAGAAAATCAAATGGCTACACTAGAATATTCTCCTGTGTCATGGGTACAAACTCACATTTTACTATTACACCCAGATATACATATACACTACACCCAGACCCGGAACAACAATTTGTGGACCACACAGAGAAATATGTAGAGAGAATTAGTGAACGCGCACTTTTATGAAGCTCGCAATATTTATGAAGGAATAAATTGTAGTGGGCATATACCACCAAGGTTCAAACTTCACTACATCTATATGCCAACCAACTCAGGAATAAAAAATCTATTTTTTTAACTTCCAATTTCCAGGGCGAGGGAGGTTACTTCGACACGTCACTTCCCTGGGAGAAGCGGACCATTCCGGAGGGGTCCTCCGTGTACGGCAACAAGACATTCCAGTCGAGAGACGAACTGAGGGAATATGTGGCCAGTCTCCCGCCCCCAGGCACCCCGGCGGCGGGGGAGGCGACCCCCCTGGTGTACGTGGGGGGCACCCCCCGACTCGTGCTGGTGGCCCCCACGGGGCGCCAACTGTCCCACCACTACCTGCACGGGGTTATAACCTCCGACGTCGAGTACCTGTGACCTCCTCACTCCTGTGTTTACTATAGTAATATAGTACTTACATAACTTTTTTATTGATATTCTAAATCCTAATTAAGTTTTGTTAAACACATGTTGTTTTGTCATTGCACTCATATTCGTAAGTTTTATAAAAGTGAAAAATGTTTTATTAAAATACCTACTATTACCACGTTATACTCAAGACTCATCCGTGGTGAGTACAAATCTCGTGCAATGAGAATCGACTGCGTAGTACGTTTTTCTTTCATCCCCACTGGGGGAGAGTTTAGTCCACTCCCCTGTCCCTCCACTGAGGGTGAAAGAACAACATACGACGTACTCGGTGCTTCTCAATGCACGTCACTTGTGAATTATAATGGACCAAGTACATAATGCGCAGGCATATTTATTTGTGTGTCTGTAATTTTACTGATATCATCATAAACAATATTGTTTCTTTTGATAGTACAAACATTTGTTATACGTTTCTAAAATAAATAAATGAAATCTTTTATTTCACATTTTATTTATAAAAAAATAACAAAATTTTATAGGCACATAATATTATTTACATTACATAACAAATTAATGTAATAACTTACACAATAAAACATTGCAACTAAGTATATAAAAACATTATATACAAATTAAATAACAAACCTTATCACATACGGAATGAGGTTCAAATTAATAATTTAAGAACACAGACTCCCATTACCATTTACCTAACTCGTCCAAAAATAACACCTTGATACTCATTATACATTATAATAATATCTTATATACATACACACATAATGCACTTATTTTTGGCAAACAATAAAGTCTAATACCACGACCGACATTAATAGATAAATATTTTCATTTATTGTTCCAATAACATTCTGTGAAATATCAATGGAGAAACTTTAATCATGAAATTAATTTACTATTTCTTTGTTTATCAGAAAGCAAAAATCTACTAAGAGATCGGGTTTGTCCAATCAATGTAGCGTCAATACAGTGAACGTCCAATTATGTCAAACTCGCTGATTCACTAGTGGATGAAAAGGGAAGATCCACATTAACGCCATCTAGTGTGCAAAAAACGGTAGCACCCATTAGATCACTATCTACATATCAACCTCCGGGCTTAACCCGGATTGTATAATGATAATTTTGGTTACAACAGCTATCTAGGAGCATGTTCGTGTACTAACACGTATGTATGTGTTTTATAATAGGAATAACGACAGGACAAACAAAAATGGAATTAGTTCTTGAATTAGAAAATGAAAAACATTACCTACACTCCTTTTTTGTCAATGGGCACTCGCAACAACAGAGGAGTTGCATGACCCTGTCGGATTTTGAGAATAAGGAATTTATGGATCAGGGAGGAATGGAACCATACTTAAAATACTTTTTTTTCGTATATGAAAGTAATACTTTTATAAAATGATTTAAGTTTATGTGTATACGGGCGTTATTCGGCGCTCAGTATAATATTTAGTTCCGCAAGAAACGAGAAAACGCAACTAATATTTTGAATTAATTTAAAAAACGGTCCTTAACATGTAAATAAGTCATCATCCCTATGTTTTAGTCTTGTGTCGTACTTTATTAATTATAAAGACGATTTTATACAATTCATCAAGACAAGGTCACTTAGTAGGTCAAGATATACATTGGTTGACTGTACAGACCTACTATTGCATAGAACTTGACTACCTAGTAGTAGACTACATTTGTAAGAATGAATGTGACATGGCACTAGTCAACTAATTAAGTTCCTTTACAATTGAAAATATTGGATACCTATAAGATATTATTTGAATTTATTTCCAGACTCCAGCCTCCATCCTGCGGTGATTAAGAAGTATAGCATTAGTAATGCAACAAACGCTTATTAAATAATGTAAGAAAGAATTTGTATGTGAAACTGATTAAAAAAGAGTAACCATGCAGTTTCTTGCTCGTTCTTCTCCATCGGAATCTACAGTTTGGAACGAGCAAATAGCTTCACTAAGAGGACCGACAGACAGACACACACTTAAATCTTTAAAATTTTGTTGAACTATCAAAAGGTCTGTAAGGGTCTAATTGAAATTAATGATTTTGACTTTGACTACCATTTCCAATTAATCGATAAAAAAATAATTATACTTAGATAATGTTTTCACATAGAATATAACTATAAAAAATAGTTTGTCCAGTACTCACAATGAGTGTGATGTCAGTAAATAGTGTGAGGCCCCAGTGTGTCAGTCGATGTAGAGCCTGACGAGGCCGGCCTCGCTGGCGGGCAGCGCCGTCACCGGGCACTGCGGCCGCGCGCGGACCTCGCGGCATATACACGCGTAGCAGTACACGTAGCTGCGGGGGTATACTTAGTTACACCTACAACTTGCAGGGATCCATATTGATATTATTTACCATCAGCCTATAAGTGCCCACTGCTGACCAAAGTGTCTCAGTGGTCTCTTCCCACACGGAGAAGATATGAGCATTAATCACAACGCTTACCCAAGGCGGAATGACGATTTCACACTTATTAATTGAAATTATTAATCCAGGTTTCCTGACGATGTTTTCCTTTACCGTTTGTCAACGGTGTCCAGAAGGTACAAGGAACAAACGGTACTTGCCAGGTATCGAACCCGCACCGCACTAAAATCCGCCCTACTTCCATTTCCTGCTCTAGGCCGAGGCCGCAACGCCTTATTGCGCTAACCCCAAAAACTCAGCTTGATTGGTTACCCTTGTGAAGGAAGGCGGGCGGCTAGCAACAAATCTATATAATGTACAATATTCAGCTCACCCAGACACCGGCAGCACGGTTGGTATCTTCCACGACTGCAGACATATTGGGCATTTGTTCTTCCAGCGCACCGCTCGCTCGTCTCGCTACAAGTTTTACAACGTTCAATAAGAAGCGCTCAATTTAAAGTGTCTATTCAATATTTAAGTATTCATGCGTTACGGCAAATCTGTCTGAAAAAGAGTAACCATGGAGTTTCTAGCTCGTTTTTTACTCTTTAAAAAAATCTTCACTTTTCCCGACGTACATAATACTTACGTTATAAGCGCAGATAGGATATTTATCATTTAAAATTCTAAATAAAATAGCAAGTAATTAACATAAACGAATTAAATAATTAAGAGAAACGGACCCAATATCGAACCCTGGGGAACGCTCTTTTTCATCTCAGATCCTTGTGAGTTAGAACTGTTGACATGTAACTATCTGCCGATTCTTTAAATATTATTTTAATAGACGGAGCGCGGTGTGTCTATTTCCGTTATGACCGAATTTCAGCAAGTGTCTTATGTTCAATGCAATCAAAAGCATTCCAGAGATCGCAAAAGCATTCTGTGCTTCCTCTCAAGTACTAAATATATCCTTCATTAAAGTGACTATTATTTGTACAACCTTCAGTGAAACCGTATTGGTTGTTGATGCAAGATGAAATGATTATCAAAATTATGAATCCTCCAAGATAGTATTAACTTTTCAAATTGCATTCTTTTTGCTAAGAACCGGCAGAATAGACTTTCACTTATTTGATTTGACATGGATCCTAAGCAAAAATGAACAATGTGGGCATGGTAAACTTAATCCATAATTCAGGCAGTAATGTGAATATTAAATGAAATGGCTGTCATACTGGTAATCTGGTCTAAACATAGTGGTATAGATGTACCTGTGGCGGGGGCGGCGTGGGTAGCGCGGCGTGTGTGGTGGCGCGCGAGTCCCACCAGCGCAGGAACTGCACGACGAAGGCGCCGTACTCCACCGCGCGCAGCGCACTCTCCCCCACCAGGGGGAACCACTCCGCGCCACTACCTCACCACACACTCGTTACTTCACATCTTACACTCTCACTCGTCATGTTTTATTTACGCAAATGGCATGAGAGATAAACATTACAGGGCTATATTGAGAGGGTCAAAATATGATGTTGCTATTTTATAAACTTAATAGTTACAATAATGACAATAATATTGTTAAAAACTCATTTTCATGAAATTAAACAAAGTACAACATTAGGTTTTGGTACTTTCACATTCAATAACAAAAGATTCCTAAAAAGCTAGGCCAATTACGGAAATACTTTGAATTATAATTATCCTCTTTTTGAAGTTGATAAATATTAATAAATTATTGGTAAATATTAAAGTACATAGGTTCTATAAAAATGTTATTCACCTAAACTGTCCAGTGAAGAGGTTCCGCACGAGGTCCCCCCAAGTGTAGGGCGAGGGCGGGCGAGGCGGCGCGGGGCGCAGGCTGAGGCCGAGCAGCGCCAGCGCGGGCGAGTGCGAGGCGCCGCGCCCCGCCACGTACCGCGCCGCGCACGCCGCGCGACACACACGGGACAATACGCGCGCCGCGCGCCACACGAATACGGCCGCGCGCCGCGCGCTGTCCGCTGACGACTATGACACCAATATATTGCTCTCAATAACCCTTAAATCATACTAGTCAGTCTAATCCCACTAGTAGAGTAAAATCCCTCTTTAAGAGTTGTTAGGGAGATGACGTCCTCACCTTTCACTTAACGCAGATGCTTACCGGCCAAAGATAGCTGTTTCGGATTTAACGAGAAGAAATGCCCGAGTGCCGACACTGTAAAGACTATCCGGAAAACACGGTAGAGCATAGGGTGGCGGTGTGCCCTGTTTTGGGCTCAGTACCGCCGAATCCCCAGGGAAGTAACTGGCAACGGCCATCGATTTAATTTTGTTGCTTATAGATGCATGGATTTAACTGAATTTTGCCACAAGTAACACGTAGTAAAAGGGTAAAAAAAAGAGTTCAGAAGAAAAACTCTGGCATAATAGCCCTTATAACACAGGCTTATGCGCTAATAGATCAATTCACAAATCGCTAATAGATCATTAACAAATTCGGCATTTATAAATGCCAAGTTTAACATTTGATTGTTAACAGCTGCAATTAAAATAGTCTATTAGAACTCACGCTGTTTTAGCGCCATCTAATCTATCCATCTATCTCTCTTTGTTACGTCGTCGGTAATCTGGCACTGAGTATGTCAGTAACTAGATATGACTTACCTTACCAAGCCGTCCATCCTCGTCGTCCTCCCTCCAGCGCTCTACGATGGCCTCGATCCTGTCCTCGAGGTAGGGTACGAGCACGAGCAGCGCCAGCGAGGCTCGCTCCAGGTGCACCGGGAGCTGCTGCCCCGTCGTGAACTCGTTCGTGGCGGTCGGCACTCGCAGGAGGTCGTAGAAACTCTCGGAAAATGAAGCCGCTGAAATTTAAAAGAATTATTACACAATAGTGCTTTAGTTAGAGTTTGGTACAGAAAGACTGTATACTGTATACAAAATATTGACTGCAAAATTTAAAGAAACAAGTGTCAAGCACAAAGACAACGAAACTCTCTACTTCTATCAGTTTTAACTTAATTAGTAAAATTATCAAGTTTAAAATCTATTTAAGAACTTTTTACATTTCAATTTTTATTGTTTAGATTAAGTACTCTAAAAACCTGTTGGTAAGATTAAAGTAAGTTGGTGTGTTTACTTGGTACATTATATAAATATAGATAGCTCACCATAGTGCTTGAGGTAGTCGTACTGCAGGCAGGTGTCAAACAGAAGATACAGCTCATCATACCAGCGCAGGCACCACCCAAACTTTGTGGGATATGTCACTGACAGGAACTAGAATATAGATAGAACTAGTTATTTCTTGAACTAGACCTAATGCAATATAATGCCATCGAGGGCTAAATATTAAGCATTAATCCCTTTATTGATATTTTTATTTCTTCTTGTTTTTTTTTTATTCTGGTTAATATTATCGTTCTGTTTTGATATCAAAATTCACAAAAGTGTTTTGTACTATGACTGGGTTGCAACCCAGTCATAGTACGAGTCGTAGTAGATGGTTGTAAATTTTCATTATCATAATATAAAATTAATATATTGACAGAATAGCAATATTAACAACCATATCTAAAAAATAATAAAGATAAATTATGTAAGTATTCTTAAAATAAGATAAGTAATGTAAAGTACATAAATAAATACACTACTACATTATAAAATGTGGCTTTTGTTTTAAATTCTTTCTAGCTATCTTTGGAATAATTTATTTACTTGCTTACAGACAAAATGTGTGTTCCTGTTTACTTTAGCCTCAGACCATCGAGTCTCATTTAGTTTGTGTTTCTAACTTTTTTAAATACACAGATAAGTTATGTTGTGTATCTCTTATAACAAGATTATTAGTAAAACAAGGGAACAGATCTGAATGGAATTTGCCAGGAAGAAAACATGGGGTACTCTTTAGCCAAGCGCTGCGGGCGAAGCTTCTAGCAGAAACTTTGTAAACCTACAAAGTATAACGAAAGTGAGTTGTTTCTTTCATTATACCTGATTGGCATATTGTTTAAATAAATTACAAACAACCTAGTTTGACCAAGTAAATCAAGAACCAAGTTATCATTAATTTTGGTCTGTCCTTAAACCTAATGAGTTCTATCTGAGAACAAAACTTTTATTGCATATTAGTTAACTAGTTATCTACGGTTTTTTAACATTTATATAGCAATAGCTCGTTATTAGTCTCTCTCTAGGGTCAGTGGGTCGTCTTAGGGGCTTAGTTTGCTGTTACTACACACTAGTAACAGCAAAGTGTGTGCACTATATATACAGCTGATGGCATACCTCTACAACTTTACGTAGCGCAGGTTTCACGGTGGATCCGAGCGCCTCCTGTGCCGTCACTTGGAACACGGTCGGCGTGCCCTGCAGCGTCCGCGTCAAGTGAGCCGCGTACACCGCCATCCTATTTTATATCACAATTGGCTGCTAATAAACTAACTCTACAAACTACAGTCCACGGTCCATCAGAGTCCAAGTTTCAGTTTGTTTATCATTTTCATCATTTTCATGTCATTCTGCAACAGCACATGTTATGTCACTGTCACTGTTAATATGAGTTGTCAATGTCAAGTGTGACGCGTTCTGAAATGAATGCAGAATAATTAAATATTTCAAAAACACCGTCGCGAAACGAAGTACAATATTTGCATGGAAACGTGGAAATGATATGTGTGACGTTGCAGCAGCTTTTTAAGTTTAAGGTGAAAGAAAATATAATGAGAAAAACTTGTAAAAGCTAAAAAAAAATGAAATTTGCCTTTTCACGCACACAAGGCGTGATTCATAGCTGGCGCACCAAGCTTGGAAGGAGAACGCCTCGTCACCGAGGTCGAGGGGGGGGGGGGGGACTGCCAGCAGCAGAGGCCCGCACCGCTCCACCAACTCCATCTTCGGACACAGCTGAAGACGCGCACGCACACTCCATTTAGTTCTACTAACATTGGACTGCTCATTGAGCCAATAATGTATTAATTGTTACAATCCAGTCCTTAAGAATTTAAATAAAGTGCTGCCACACACGTGCTGCATTTTATAGATTAGTGCAAACTTTACAAGCTGTGCAAGATTTAAAGCTTTAGCAAGCTAAGGGACCTTTTCAAAGTTTTTCAGCAGTAAGCAGTTATAGCCTAATGATGGTGTGTACCGTCTTTATGGAATCATTAAGTAACCAATGAAAATTGAGTAATGTACTGTACTGTAAAAAAAGGACTACCTAGCACTTGTGCATTCTACTTTTTTTATGGAATATACATATTATGCAAACAAGCAGACGTATCACCTGATATTAAGTGATTAGCGCCACCCACGGACACCAGCACTGCCGGAATTTTAAAAGAACGCACATTTCTTGAAGGTTTGAAGATCGTATTGGTTCAGTAATACCGCCGACGAAAGGTCATTCCAAAGTTTTGCTGTGTGAGGTACAGTTTCGCTAAAATCGCACAGTTGTTAACTGCCAACCAACTATATGATGGGGATGATGCTGTTTTCTCGTGGGTCGATGGCTTAGGGATGCGGCGGGGATAAAACCGAGCTATTCCTCGAAGCGCTCTCCGGTATATAGGCGATATGCGAAGCATAGCAAGGAGTCAGACAGAGAGAAAGAAGCCAAAGTGTCTAGCCGGATTGATAAATCAGGGCTGTCAACGATTTGAACGGCTCGTCGCTGAATGCGGTCGGCGATACGGCGATTCAACGGCATAACGTTAACATGCTTTATATCTATACTAATATTATGTAGGGGGTAATATTCTTTTACTGATAGATACCTAGCTACAATGTTCCTGAGTGCTATAGGTTATAAAACATCACGCTACGACTAAATGGAGCCGAGCAGCGGGTAAAACCGCGCGAGAGTAGCTAGTACGATTATATTTTCAATACAACAAGCAAGCTATCTCTCTAATAAATCGACCTATAATAAAACAAAGGTAAATAAAAACAACAGAAATGTAATAAAATATTTGATTTATTCTTACAATTTACATGTATAATACACAAAATCCTTATCAACAAAAGCATTAATATAGCACCTACAATACAATGTAACGAAGCGCATGTTAATGACTGTGCAGTGTTACGTCAAGCTGATGCCTGTGATGTCTTTAAACATGTTCTTGCACGACAACTGAACACAGAAACTAGCGATCTCAAATAATATCAATTAAAAAGTCACGAGCGACGAGGATCTATTACAATGTCACATACAACCATAAACCTAGAATTTATTCGACATAGACAAAAGATGTTGAATAAAAAATCCCGCCAAAAGTTTGAGATCGTAAAACTTATTCTTATGTACAAAAACATTCCGCTTAGTCTAGTGCAATATTATTAAAACATTTTGGTCCATTTATAAAATAACAAAATAAAATATAACACAGCTAATGTGTGTTATTACTAAGTGACTCGCGTTTATGGCTTATACGATAGGAACGTTTATAAACTTGAAGCTCGTTCTTTTGAAATGCTTCTTACGTTACGTAAGTTACTTTGGTGACAACTCAGTGTAGCAGCCACATCGGCTTACACTATGAATAACTATTTAAAATAGGACCGGCAGAACTCACTGACAACCAATGTCATCAAATTGACCAATTGAACTTGTTAACCTAAGTCTGAGATACCCACACAGTTATAAATATCATCCTTAACCCTATACCATACATGTGGCCTCACAAACAAACAGATTAGCACTTACTTTTTATCCTATACATTGTGTGTAAACAAAAACTGTAATAAATATAATTGGCAAAGACAATATTGCCACATATAATATTTTAACAGGCAACACTTACGGGTTAGGGCTTACAATGTGTTGCCAGTTGCCACAGTTTAGGTATCACGAATATTCAGCCTAGTTACGAAGAGGGCTTACGTCGCATTGAGTACCTACAATGTCCCTTGACATTTCTCTTCAGTGTATATTTAACATAGTAACAAATTATACTAGTTCTCAACAACATTTTACTAACAACTTTTTCATGAGGGGAAATCAGAACACATCTTTAAGTACGAACTAATATAAGTACTTAACGAAGTATGAAAATACAAGGTACGAATTGTGCAACAATATTGACATACTAATTCAAAATGTATTTAAATCCATTAAAACGGAAATATTTCTATTAAGATTGTATAATAACGGCTTTTTTTTTGAGCGGGATACTATCATATTTTTACTCCCGCCCTTGTGGGGCGAGAGAGAGTGTCAGTCTTACTGACTAAAAACTACTCTGTTCTCTCTCCTGCGCTTGACTGAGCCAACCAACTAGTAAGTATCTATTGTTTGTTTAGCTCATGACTGGCTTCACGGCTTAAAACCACCTATGGTTTTTTAAGCAAACTTAAATACAACTAATTTCGGGATTTGTTTCGGCTGTTAATCACAGTGATATGCAAATATCCATATACTTGTAATGTGTCTCAGAAAGTAGATATTAATAATATCACTGACATGATGTATCTGAAGTTTGCACAAAATGGCGGATGCCAATGCTAGATTTGGAATTCTTTCTAAATGCCTAACATACCATTATGATTTAACTTTCATTTTTATAATTTAAAATAATGTTAGATATGTTATAATAATAGTTAATTATGTATATAATTACATACATATCATAGTGTATAAATATTCAACACTGGCAACGAGTCACATTAACTATACGATATCTCAAAGTTGCAAGTCTACATGTACCATGAAAGGCCGACCAATGGGAAGCACGCATACTGACGGTGTCTTACAACGCGTAACTTGATCCTTAAAGACCATTCTATTATAAACCTTCACTGCCATAACTACAAGGTGGCATAATGGATGAAAAGCCAGGGTCTCAAAACTCAAGAATAGAAAACCTCCCTCTGATTTGGATCCTAGCTAAGTTTCATTAATATGTTCGAGTTTGTAATAATGGTATTATTTTTTTGGTATGTCTGTGTGAGTCATGGCTAAGCTAAGTAAGCTCTGCAAGACACCTCATCCATATATCTTTGACAAACAAAGAAACAACATTAATTGGCTTCTCTAGTAATTACATCATAAGTTCAGACCCCATAATATCACTGTATGTATACTATATTGTATTTAAATATTCATAACAAATCATTGTTCATAAAAATATGTCGTTTTACAATATTATATTCGGTTGTTGAGCACTGAAAACCTTTAGGGATTAGAAAATAATGTGCCCTAAAGCCAGAAACGTGGATTAAGCAAAACTTGTTGTCTGTTGGGATTTCTTATGTACGCTTATTTGCGTGATTTTTGTGACGTTATCTCTGATTTTGATCGTCGTCCCAACACTTTTATGAAAACACATTATAATAACGTGATTGGCTATATGCCTAATGTTACATATGTAGGATAATTAGTCCGACTTGGTGTTAACCAGTCATAAAAGTATATATGTAGGTACATACATACACTCATTTTCTTAACAATAAGAGAAGAAGCGATATACGAGCACAAACAGCATGAGTAAAACATTGAGTTGTATTCATTCGGTTTGTGGTACACACAAGGCTTTTCAGGTGTTACTTCAAGCTGTTTAACTGTTAAGGATCGAATGTTTAGCGCTTGGAAAATTCGAATGGAAAATAATTGCATTTGTAATAGAAATACATATCAACAAAAGATTTATACGCTGATTTGAATCTCCGAATGTACTACTTGAAGAGAATAAATAAGTTACATATTTTAATTAATCTTTTTGTTGCAATTATACAAAATAGTTGATGTATAAGTGCTGCGCCAAGACCTGTCAGACGGGGGCTGCCCCGCGTCCTATGTGGCGGAGTTGTTGTACTGCGGCCGGCCGGCCAGCTCCAGCAGGTAGCGGTCGGGGTGCTCGATCCAGTCCGCCGCCGACAGCTTCACCTACACGTACACTAGTATATTTATTCTCTATGTACAACATGACACCAATTTTTGACTTTGTGGTATACCATCGAAAAAAAATCAGCGTTCATTCTAAAATGCCTGTACCCACATAAACAGTTACACGTTTGAAAAAAAACGTTCAAAAATGCAAATACTACACATAAAACTTTACAATTTAAATAGAACCATGGATTGCAAACATAGTTTCACATCGTTTTCTGGGTACTCGTAATAATACTCCACTGGAGCCAACTCTTTCAAGCCAAAACCCACTTAATTGCTTCATTGATTTTGAAAATAAAATATATAAAAAAAAAGCAAAATATCTCACACAGCGCTGCCTCTCAGCCTCCTTGACCTGCCACTTCTTGATCTCCAGCTGTACCTCGCGGGACGACTGGTCGCCGCAACCCCACACCTGGACACACCGACAAACTTTCAATACGTTAAAACGCAAAATAATACGAAATTGCGATTCATACATATTAAAGAAGAAACTCAACCTCAATTTTTAGGCCTTAGATAGTTGAAGTCGCCTGAAGTTGTCGAGCGACATTCCCAAGAGAAGAAAGAATTTGTGACATGTTTGCATATCTCAAAAAGAAAGCAAAATAAACCCTTAAAGAGTAACATTCTGGCTGATGTTGAATCCAAAAATCCCAAATATATTACGGAACCATATTTTAAGGTATTTCAAAATGAAATATAGCCTACGTTACTAGTAATAATTTTTTAAATTGGTCCATTAGTTTTTGTGCCTGTTCATTACAGATAAACATAGACCCCCTTATTACAAAACAAGGTTTATCTTTAGTCCAGGTTTAAACTATTGAGCCGGGTTTTGAATTTTGAATCTTATTGTCATCCACCTTCAATTCGAAATACGACAACTGGCTCAATGGTTTAGTCCTAGACTAAAGTAAAACCATGTTTTGTAATAAGGCCGAGAGAGTTTCCTCTTTATAATATTAGTATACATAGCATTCATTTTGTTAATTCAACAAATGCCAGTATTGAAGTACTTACAGTAGCTTGATTGTTATAAATTCAACATTTGAATATTAAACGAATACTGTATAGTTTACCTCAATAGTTTCCAGAGGGTAAGGCACTCCCTTAAAGGTGATGGAGTCGAAGTCCTCGGGTATAATGAGCAGGGGTTTCCGAGGGTCCGACCCAGCGCGGAGCCCCTTCGGGTAGCCGCGGATAGTGGTGTTCAGGTACAACATCTTCGGACCCTTCTCTACTACTGAAAACCTGGAAAGGTTATAAACTTCATATTAGGGAATAAAGCTGTATAAACAGTTCTAGTGGAGAATTAAGATGAAAAATGATTATGCAGTTCATATTTTTTGCAGTAATTTTAGTAAGTTCAGTTTATAGCATGTTTAAGTACGTACGTAGGCTGTATCTGCAGTAGCGCGGTATCAGCGCCCCCCCAGTACTGGTGCGTCTCCCGCCACTCCTGCGGCGCGCAGAGCGCCACCACCAGCTCCCCGCCAGATATTAGCACTATCGTCGGACCTCTGGCGAGACACACAAACATATCATATTATTACTATACTGTATAATTCCCCAAAGGCATTCGGCGGCACATGGCAACACATAATGTAACTCCTCTAATGATGTGACGTCTAGGCTGTGTTAAGTGCTTCCCATGACATGATACAACTGCTCGTGATACAACCGGTTGGCGCCCAGCCCGTGGTCGCGCGAGGCGTGAAGTAAGCTAAGTATGTGTACCTGTAGGCGAGCGTATGATGCAGGAACCGGTTGGCGCCCAGCCCGTGGTCGCGCGAGGCGTGAAGTAAGCTAAGTATGTGTACCTGTAGGCGAGCGTATGATGCAGGAACCGGTTGGCGCCCAGCCCGTGGTCGCGCGAGGCGTGAAGTAAGCTAAGTATGTGTACCTGTAGGCGAGCGTATGATGCAGGAACCGGTTGGCGCCCAGCCCGTGGTCGCGCGAGGCGTGAAGTAAGCTAAGTATGTGTACCTGTAGGCGAGCGTATGATGCAGGAACCGGTTGGCGCCCAGCCCGTGGTCGCGCGAGGCGTGAAGTAAGCTAAGTATGTGTACCTGTAGGCGAGCGTATGATGCAGGAACCGGTTGGCGCCCAGCCCGTGGTCGCGCGAGGCGTGAAGTAAGCTAAGTATGTGTACCTGTAGGCGAGCGTATGATGCAGGAACCGGTTGGCGCCCAGCCCGTGGTCGCGCGAGGCGTGAAGTAAGCTAAGTATGTGTACCTGTAGGCGAGCGTATGATGCAGGAACCGGTTGGCGCCCAGCCCGTGGTCGCGCGAGGCGTGAAGTAAGCTAAGTATGTGTACCTGTAGGCGAGCGTATGATGCAGGAACCGGTTGGCGCCCAGCCCGTGGTCGCGCGAGGCGTGAAGTAAGCTAAGTATGTGTACCTGTAGGCGAGCGTATGATGCAGGAACCGGTTGGCGCCCAGCCCGTGGTCGCGCGAGGCGTGAAGTAAGCTAAGTATGTGTACCTGTAGGCGAGCGTATGATGCAGGAACCGGTTGGCGCCCAGCCCGTGGTCGCGCGAGGCGTACAGCTGCGCCCAGTGGGAGGGCACGGCACACACCAGCCGCGTCAGCCACGCCGCCGACGCCAGGCCCCCGCCTGACGGCGATACACAATACTACACTATACGGTACCCCACACTTGACAGTCTCGTATACCATGACGTGGACAGGAAGGACAGAGTGGACGGGAGTGATCAAAGAGGATAAGTACCTATACTTTGAGCGGGAGTTGCATGAAAGTAAAAGTATTTTGATAGGGGAGAACGGAGGAAGAGGGTATCTTGGGACTCGGTACAATACATTTTATTTAAAAGAGCATAGCCGAATTTTTATTGTTCTCACGCTGGGCGAGAAGATGTTCCTGTCTATTTATGTCAGAAATATAAATGGTTGTGAGTAGCGTGTCGTACCTGCGGCGGGTTGCGGCGGGGGCTGCGTGGGGCGCGAGTAGAGGGGCGGCGCGGTGCCGGCCAGCAGCCAGGCCACGGACACGGGCAGCAGCGCGCTGGCCGCCTGCCACGCGCCGCGCTCCAGCACCGGCGTCGCCAGCTCCAGCCCCGACCCCGACCCGCTCGACTCCACGCACGCCGCCATGTCGCGGTGCCGCGTCGCCAGCATGTGCACGCAGTACCTGCCAGTACCCACACACATCACTCGTGGACTTCCTCGTACTAACAAGTTCGTTGCAGAACACTATTGCTTACTTAGTGATCTTCGTCGGACCTTACGTCATCCGCCAAAGGACTCAAGATTCCCTACTTACCTATGCACCGGGAATATAAGTCTGTGGCAGTGCTCCTCCAACCAGCGCACGACGAAGCCGACGCTGTGCATGTCCTTTTTGTTGAAGCATCCGTTCACAACCACCGACAACGTCTTGTTGATCTAAACATAAAATACCAAAAGTTATACATCCTGCGGGGCTGCAGTAAGCCACTTTATTACTGCAGGAGACTACAGCTGAAGTAAAAATCTACGCTAATAAATTTAGAACTGATTTATTTCTGAGAAGTAATTTTTGCCATTCTTGAACTACCTCACCCACTCACCATGAGACAAGTCTGCGGCCCTTCAGGGTAGTGGTCCATGGAAAGTTTGTAGCTGGTGTAGAGCAGACTGCGCAGCCCGTCCGGGGTCACCATGTTCTCGTCCGTCTCTGCAGCGAACATCCTGCACATATAGCCCTGTATAGCCCTTCCTATGTACTTATGAGCTACTATAAGCCTGCCATTGATACCTGCTACGTCCAAATCGCCAGACGCAGTGTTTTTATTGACAAGTATTTAACATTTCAGGAAGTTTGAAATGACTTTGACGGTACTAATCCGACGATTACAAACAAAAACTTAACACCAGCGATATGATGACCTTCCAGTTATTTATAGCTGATCGTCATCGTCATTGTTGCAGACTGCGACGAGACAAAGACGCTGAGTGACTGCGTGACAAGGTACAGATGACGCTGTACTCGGTAATAGGATGCTGACACTGATGGAGACTGAATGGAGACGTATTTGTCTTTACTCTGTAGAGGTCTACTTACTAGTTGCTAAAAAGGAAATAATGACTGGTATTGCAAGCACTAAGGCGTAATTATTTTCCGTGGAGACTTAAACGCTTTCTAACCGAACATAAATAGCTATCCAAATGCTATCTGTATGTGTACCTGACGTATGTCTCGATAATTATGGCGTCGTCCAGCATGGCAAGTATCTTTTCGCACTGCTGCCGGAACGTGGACAGTGGGATGTGCTTGTTCTTGCATTTGCCCACGCGATGGATGTACTTGAAGAAATGCCGCGCCAGATCCGGATACATTGGGAATAGGTATTTCTGGAGACAAGTATTGGATGGGTAAGGCTTATTCCCTGGTGAAAGTCACATGAAATTGCGTTCAATAGTTTCCGAGTTTCTCGCCAAGTGACACGCCAAATGCGACCACGGAGTGTTGCAATATATTAAGGATTAGTTTTAAAATGAACCAATCTATGTTAGATAACTTATGTTATGGACATTAACTTTAGTCTCTATTGAGGTACTATCAGTGTCATAAGTGCATGGATGATTCCAAATCAAAATCGTTTGTACGGCGTTTCATCGCCTTAATTATTTACCATGGATGACATAGATGGCGCTAGTATACTAGTGGTATTGAAAAATATACATTTATAGTTTTTATCAGATACAAAGTTATTAATGTAATAATTTTTTATACAAATTAATGCTACGATATTCCAAACCTTTTTGAAGCAAAGCACGCAATAACCAGGATTCGAACTCGGTAGCATAAAATTAACCGATGCCACTAGCCATTAGGCCATTGCGTAACCTTGAAACGTATTAAAATTATCCTACTGTTTATTATATTGAAGTTGTTGAGCAACTTTAACCCGATCATAAATCTCAAAACAGTTGAGGGTAATTTAATATTAACTAGTTAAAAATTAAACCTTTTTGTTCAATCATAACATTCTTTACTATCTTTGAGTGAGTTCAGTCACGATTTGTTTAACAAGTTTTTAATATTTATTTTTATTATGAGTTTGCGTTCAAATATTGATATGGCTACGAGGACCCAAATAATAGCATTGCATAATCAAAGCTTAAATTATACTGGAATTTCTAGAGAAACTGACTTAAACGTAAGTATTCTTCTAAAATGACCGTTTGTTATTTATTTTATTATCCATGGTTATCGATACATGAAAATAATAAATAATACACGTCCCTTACAGGTAAAGACTGCCACTTTATGGATATCTAAAGCTGTTTCAAGAAGAGGGTTCATTGGAGCACCGTAGTGGATCTGGCAGAAGACGTGATATTGACTCAGACCAGCTTCAACTTATGGGGCAAGGTTATGAGGGAAATTACTGGAGAATTGTCATCTTCAGTGATGCAAACAGTGAAAACTACATAGATGTGCTGAAAGACGTCATAAAGATGTGCTAGTGATAACGTTCGTGAAGGACAATAAAATTGTGCTATGTGTAATGTTCCATAATTGTGCAAGTGTTTAGTCAGCAATCAGACATACGGATTATTCCTTGCCCAGCGAGATAGGAGAAATAGGATCGATAAAAATGGCGGCTACACTAGTTCTTAAAAGAAAAGATATTGTTGACTATAGGATTAAACAATTACAAGACCGGGGTAGCTATAATTTATGTAATGGATAAATGTTCAAACTTAATGTTAGTAGGATAAATTTATTGACTACTTTATAACCAGCAACTGTTATACAGTAATGATTTTAATGTTTTACTAAATATGAGAAATAAAAATAAAAGCAATATTAATATCTACAGATGCTATTGATTGCAAAATAATAAATTATTTATTTATTAATTACTATAAACAATTCGTCCCATATCTAGTGAATGCTATATCCCGGTATTAGAAATGTTATTGATTTAAGGTCTAGCTTCAATTTCTTCCTTGTTCTGGAACGAATACTTAAGCTGTATGCTGCATGAGCCTTTGTCATAACATGATGCACAAAATGAATCACTTTAGTTAAATTTTATGGGGAGGTAAAATAGTTGCAGAAGTAAGGTTGCATATCATATAGAATCGTATTATAACATTGTGTTTAAAACTAACTAATAAATGACTAGCACAACACAATTTTGATTTAAAATACTTATTAATCTTATAAAAAGTGTAATAAATAATGTGTCAGTTAGCTGAAAAGTCGTTAGGGTATACACTATATAAGAAAGAAATAAATATTATGTTTTGAGAAATAAATGTCTGAAATTATAATGTCACTAAAATAGTTTTATTTGTTATCCTTTATGAGAATTAAACTTAGTATTAGCCTTAATCTGTAAGAAAAATATGTTACTTTTACATTAATAGTTAGCACATATTATAAAAGTTATTTATATATATTTATTAATATAATTTTATTCTAAAATAATCTTTTATAAATATTAAACGTCAAATATTTTATTTATATATTGTGACGGAAAAGTGGTTCAAACTCTTTGACATCATGACGTCAATGGATGGTTGTCAAACGTTGCCTAGAGATTGTAAATTTCGTCGTGAATTGTCAATACGAGTTGGTGTAATTGGTAAGGCGTGTGGATTACACCACAGAGACCCCGAGTTCGAGTCCCGCCGTAAACATGAAGTTTTTTAGTTGATGGAAGTTTTGTCGAACTTTCTGGAATTATTTGTGTGAAAGAGATGAAAAATTAAAGAGTGAGAAGGAGAATAAATAAAAATGAATAGCGAAATTATTGGAAGGTTCTGGAGGCATGACGATCAAAAAGAATAACGAAATTGAATGTTCCAGAACCTGACCGGGGGTATATAAGCAGAACTGCGGCTCGCCGCTGGCAGTTGACTTCTAAGTCTAAAGTGATTCGGAAGAAAAGGAAGAAGTGAAAAAAGAAGAAAAGTGAGTGAAATAGTGAAGTGCAGTCAGTTAAGTGAGTTAAGTCAGCGTGAACGGCAAAGTTGTGTCAGTCGGCCGAACTCTGCTGAAGAAGAACGCCGATAACTTAACTCCGTGGACGCTGTAACTTAAGTGCAATAGAAAGTCTGAAAACCGGTATTAGTGTTTCATTTCATCCAATCCCGTAACCCAAGCCCGCATAGTCAGGAACGTGACGTCAGGCACGTAACATTTGGTGTCAGAAGTGGGATTGGAGAAAAATGCCGCTAGTGCCGCAGGACGTAAGAGGAGTGAGTACCCGTGCAATGGCAGAAGCGCAGCGTGTGAGGGAAGAAAGTGCTGCAGCTCAAACCAGCGATGCAGAAGCCAAGCCTGTGCAGGTGGATCTACTGCTACAGCTGCAGCAAATGATGGTAGAGCAAGCGCGCCGCCAAGAAGAACAGCTACGGGAGCTGAAAGAAGATCAAGCTCGTCGCCAAGAGGAGCAAGCTCGTCGCCAAGAGGAGCAAGCTCGTCGCCAAGAGGAGCAAGCTCGTCGCCAAGAGGAGCAAGCTCGTCGCCAAGAGGAGCATGCACGCTGTCAGGCGGAGCAGCTACGGGAGCTGAAAGAGGATCAAGCTCGCCGCCAAGAGGAGCAAGCGCGTCGCTTGGAAGACATGCATAAGGATTTCACGAAGGGACTGCAAAAGGCTGTCGAACGGGTACAAGAAGTGGAGGAAGGGTTAGGCAAGTTGGAACATCGCGTCATGGCGATAGAGGAGAGAGTGGAAGAAGAGATCTCCAAAATCAAGCAGGAAGTGGCAAGCCCAAGCCCTTTGAAGAGCCGAAGCCGTCTTGCAGCCGTTTTTGACACCTCAAATGTGGCCTCAAGCGCAACGAAAGGGCTCAAGATTCCCCATTACGACGGAACAACATCCTGGACCGCGTTCAAGCTACAGTTTGAGACACTTATGGAGGCTTATGGTTGGACTCAGAAGGAAGCACAGTCAGCCCTCACCCTGGCCCTCCGTGATCAAGCGCTCTCAGTGCTGGAAGCTATCGGCGCAAGTGGGGATCTCAGCTTTAGTGCCCTCCTCGACGCACTTGAGGCACGTTTTGGAGACAGCCACTTCGAGCACGTGTACAGAGCGCAATTAAAAGAGCGTACTCAGCGTGCTAATGAGAGCCTACAGCAATGGTCCGTGGAAATCGAGAAACTTGTACGTCGAGCTTTCCAGTCGACTCCGTCAATGATTGAAGGCACGCTTCTCCAAGCCTTCATTGACGGTATTCGGGACCCAGAAGTACGAGCTGCTGTTCATCTGGGCCATCACAAGAACATGAAAGAAGCTCTGGCCCATGCATTGGAAGTGGAAGCCGTGCGTGGCATCTCCCGTACCTTACGTCTGCGGGAAATGACGACAACGGAGCAGGTACCTCCACGCCGTCGGAACTTCATGTGCTATGGATGTGGAGAGCGTGGGCACATACGGAGCGACTGCCCGAAGAAGATGAACCGCCAGGACGCGGCGGTCTCAACTTCTGACCAGCAGGGAAACTTAAATTCAGCCAGGGCTGCGGGGTGGGCGCTGGCTGGTAGTGGAACAACCCCAACAATTTACATCAAGCAAACCAACGACGGAAATACTCTGGTGATAGACGGTCAAGTAAATGGGAAAAACAGTCAGCTAACATTAGATACTGGAGCTTCAAGGACGGTGATAAATGTTCGGCTGCTCGAGCAAAACATCAGGAAACACCTTAAACCAATTGTTGGCCTACAAATGAAATCAGCTACCGGCCAGTGCATACCGATAAGTGGAAAACTGCATGTAACAATCAAAATTGGGGAACGTGTTTATCGACATGAGGTTATTGTGGCCAGAATTCTGGATGACTGCATCCTAGGACTTGATTTCCTGCGAGGGCACCAGTGTAACATCGACTTAAAATCTGGAGTATTACTATGTGGAACTGAGGAAATTCCGATGAAGGGTGGAACCCTGGGAAAAGTTTGCTGTTTAAGAAGAACTGTTCTTGCACCAAAATCACAGACTCTCGTACCAATTGCATTACCTAGGAGGAGGGAAGGAAGTTTACCTCGAAGGTGCGCTGTGATTGATAAATCGGAACACGTAAACTCATGGCTACCGGCAAGAACTGTCGTGGGGTCATCTGATGTCAACCGCATTCCGGTATTCAACTTCAGTGATTCAGAAATTACGATTGAAGAAGGAGAGCCTGTGGGCGTATTGGAAGAAGTGGCCTGGATAAGAAAATGCTCGGAAAATCTTGTGAAGAAGGACAATACGGGAATAGACTTTGTAACGAAAATCTTAGACGAAAACAAAAGTCTGACAAAAGTGGAGACTATGAAGGCTAGAAATTTACTTCTTCGATTCTCTGATGTGTTTTCAAGAAGCGATGGTGATATTGGCCGAACTGGTTTGGTGAAGCATAAAATAAACACAGGTGATACAATGCCAATTCGTCAAAGGCCCAGACGCATACCATTCGCTCGTGAGAAAGAGGTTGAAGAAATGATTGACGATATGAGGAAAAATGACGTGATAGAGCCCTCTTCTAGCCCTTGGTGTTCACCTGTCGTGCTTGTCAAGAAGAAAGATGGTTCAACGAGGTTTTGCGTAGACTATCGACGATTGAATGATGTAACCAAGAAGGATAGCTACCCGTTACCAAGAATCGATGACACACTTGACACACTGAGTGGCATGAAATGGTTTTCAACGCTCGATCTAAAAAGCGGCTATTGGCAGGTGGATTTGGATCCCAAGGACAAGGAAAAGACCGCATTCTCAACTGGGAAGGGACTCTGGCAATTTAAGGTGATGCCATTTGGATTATGCAATGCACCGGCAACCTTTGAGCGTTTGATGGAACAGGTGCTGGCGGGACTGCTGGGCGAAACCTGCCTAGTTTACCTCGATGACATCATCATTGTTGGACGGGATTTTGACGATCATCTAAGGAAATTAGAAAAGGTACTCGACAAGCCGCGTGGAGCAAATTTAAAGTTGAGTCCAAAGAAATGCTCTTTCTTCAAGCGCGAAGTGAATTATCTAGGACATGTTATTTCTGAGAGAGGAATTGAGACTGATCCAGCCAAGACTGTCGCTGTTAAGGAATGGCCAACACCTAAAGACAAAACGCAAGTTCGGGCATTTCTTGGATTGTGCTCGTATTATCGGCGGTTTGTGAAAGGATTCTCGGACATTGCCAAGCCTTTGCATCGATTGACAGAGGAGAAACGTGCCTTTATCTGGGACGAGGATTGTGAGCAAGCCTTTCGAGAACTAAAAGAACGGCTTTGTAACACACCAATTCTCGGATACGCCAGCGCGAAAGGAATATTCGTAGTAGATACGGATGCCAGCAATATTGGAATAGGAGGTGTCCTTTCACAACGCGATGGTGAGCAGGAGAAGGTTATTGCTTACTTCAGCAAGTCACTATCCAAGCCCGAGAGGAATTATTGCGTGACCAGGAGGGAATTGCTGGCCGTAGTCAAAACTCTGCACCATTTCAAGAAGTATTTACTGGGACGGAAATTTTTGATTAGAACTGATCACGCTGCTTTGAAATGGCTGCTTCAGTTTAAGGATCCCGAAGGCCAAGTAGCCAGATGGTTGGAACAACTTCAGGAATTTGACTTTGAAATCGAACATCGCGGAGGAAGAATTCATGGCAACGCAGATGCATTATCGAGACGCCCATGCGTGGAAGATTGCAAGCATTGTTCCAAGAAGGAAACTGCTTTTCTTAAGGTGATAAGGACTGATACTGTTGACGAGGCATGGGGAGATGATGCGATGAAATTAGAACAGGAAAGAGATGCAGATATTAAACCAATACTGGAGTGGCTACGAAGTGGTAACAAGCCAAGTTGGAGTGACGTCGCCCAATATAGCGCGGTAACGAAAGGTTTATGGGCACAGTGGAAAAGCCTTACGCTGCATAACGGACTTCTGTGCAGGAAATGGGAATCAACAAACGGCAAGGACGAGCATTTGCAATTGGTGGTGCCTCGTTCCAAAATAAGGGATGTATTAAAAGCGTTCCATGATGGATCTTCTGGAGGACATTTGGGAATTAGGAGGACTTTGGTGAAGATCAAGGAGAGGTTTTATTGGTTGCATTGCAAATATGACGTCGAAGATTGGTGCCGGAAATGCACTAGTTGTGCAGCTGTCAAGGGTCCACAAACAAGAAGCAGAGGGGCGATGAAAATCTACAATGTTGGTATGCCTTGGGAGAGAATAGCCTTAGACATCGCTGGACCATTTCCAATCACTGATTCGGGCAATCGCTACGTTTTAGTGGTTATGGATTATTTTACAAAATGGCCGGAGGTCTTTGCCATACCGAATCAAGAGGCAGTAACTGTAGCCACGAAGTTGGTAAACGAGGTATTCACCCGATTCGGAGTGCCCTTGGAGATGCACAGTGATCAAGGACGGAACTTTGAGTCCCAAGTTTTTCAGGAAACTTGTAAACTTTTGGGAATCCATAAGACTCGAACGACCCCTTATCATCCACAGTCAGATGGAATGGTCGAACGTTTCAACCAAACATTGGAACGACACTTAGCAAAGGTGGTTGACAGCCATCAGAGAGATTGGGACACTTACATACCTCTCTTCTTGCTTGCCTATCGGACTGCTGTACATGAAAGTACCGCAAAGACGCCTGCATTTGCAAATTTTGGAAGGGAATTGAGATTACCGGCAGATCTTGTATCGGGCTGTCCACCTGGCGACTCTCGCACCGAATTTAGCGATTACATAAGCGAGTTAAGGGCAAAAATGTTGGACATTTATGAGCAGATCAGGGAGGCCGGTCTTCAAGCTAGTGATCGCGCAAAGACGCGCTATGATCGACGAGCCAATTCTGTTGGGTTTGAAGAGGGGTCATTGGTCTGGCTTCATAATCCAGTCAGAAGGAAGGGAAAATCTCCGAAGCTGCAACCGAGTTGGGAAGGTCCTTATGAGATAGTCACGAAGATCAATGACATTACTTACAGAATTCGGAAGACTTCAAGGAGCCCTTTGAAAGTTGTCCATATAGACAGGTTGGCGAGGTATTACGGCAGCAACGATGCTCGGGACGAGCGAATCTAAGAGGGGGGCAGTGTGACGGAAAAGTGGTTCAAACTCTTTGACATCATGACGTCAATGGATGGTTGTCAAACGTTGCCTAGAGATTGTAAATTTCGTCGTGAATTGTCAATACGAGTTGGTGTAATTGGTAAGGCGTGTGGATTACACCACAGAGACCCCGAGTTCGAGTCCCGCCGTAAACATGAAGTTTTTTAGTTGATGGAAGTTTTGTCGAACTTTCTGGAATTATTTGTGTGAAAGAGATGAAAAATTAAAGAGTGAGAAGGAGAATAAATAAAAATGAATAGCGAAATTATTGGAAGGTTCTGGAGGCATGACGATCAAAAAGAATAACGAAATTGAATGTTCCAGAACCTGACCGGGGGTATATAAGCAGAACTGCGGCTCGCCGCTGGCAGTTGACTTCTAAGTCTAAAGTGATTCGGAAGAAAAGGAAGAAGTGAAAAAAGAAGAAAAGTGAGTGAAATAGTGAAGTGCAGTGAAATAGTGAAGTGCAGTCAGTTAAGTGAGTTAAGTCAGCGTGAACGGCAAAGTTGTGTCAGTCGGCCGAACTCTGCTGAAGAAGAACGCCGATAACTTAACTCCGTGGACGCTGTAACTTAAGTGCAATAGAAAGTCTGAAAACCGGTATTAGTGTTTCATTTCATCCAATCCCGTAACCCAAGCCCGCATAGTCAGGAACGTGACGTCAGGCACGTAACAATATTATTATTATTGATTTTATATAAAAAAATATAAAAAAACCATTGTTACAAAACCTGAATTTAAAAATGATAACCCGGAATTGAACCGGTGCCCTTTGACTTCATTATTCTATCAATCTTATTTATCCGAGCTACCGATCGCATATTTTATGATATCGAAAATGCGGGTTAGTTTATAACTTTTATTATGGTCTATTATTAATTATTGACGCCATCTTTTAATTGGTTTGCTTGACTTGACTTAGATGGCGCTATATTAAGTCCTCGGAAATGAGAAAATTAACATAATTCATGTGTATTTCAATATAAATATATTATTGTTTCTTAATTATTATTTTAACCATTAAAAACCTTATTGTGTGCCTCTGCGGTGTAAAGTATTCAAGCTTTGTAGGGTTATTTTCATTTAAAAGCAGCGCCATCTAGTTATCAATGGTAGCGTTATGCAAAACCTGTCAGTCAATAGTCGACCTTAAGCTCTCCATGCATTTTTGTCACCCTTAGTACCTAGGTACAGTGAAAGGACATTACGATTAGCACTCACTGTGAAAGAATTCTCTGTGACTCCGTTGACTCCATCTTCTTTTTGTGACCTCTGGGCTAGTAACTGCAAAACAAGAAAACCAATATTATATTTCCAACCTGACTTTCGTTGACAAGCTTAAAATGCTCAACTAAGCAAATATCATCTTTATTATTAGACTGTTTGAGTTTAAAAATATATGAACGTTATATTATTTAATATTTGCACAGATGGTTTTATTTTGATAGGCAAAGAAGATTTGTATGCAGAAACAATTTGAGACGTTACTGAAATATAGATACACGATATAAATACAATGCACATTAGACTTCTGTCTACAAGTACTGATGTCCTGAAATTGACTTTCTAAGCAAATGGTTGCCCAACCACCGCGCAGCCGGCAGAATACCCCCGCAATATTAAGATGTGTCGCCTGCTAAACTACAACACTTTTTGACTTAAAACCATCGATCACTAATAAAGAACAATTGAAGTTCTTTATTAGTGATCGATGCTTAAAACACATAATTGTGCTACATCTATATTGTATTCTTTTTGTCTAGTCTCTGAGGGATGCATACACTTTCTTTGACAGGGGAAATCATCAAATGACTTCTCCTGCCCAGGTTAAGGAGAGAGAGAGAGAGAGTGTCAGACTCTTACTGCTTAAAACGCCCCCGTATTTTCTCCTGGTTTAGGCCGAGGTCTGAACATCAGTTCTGTAGGGCCCCGTCCGTGGTGATCTATTGGCTCTTTGAGCCTGCTATACGTTCGGGTCTGGCTAGGGTCAGGCGGCGAGCTACCCTTACTCGACATCCGCGGACCCGCCCTTATGGTGGCCGGAGATCGTCCCTGAATCCCCGACGCCCGGAGTGTATGGTGCAGCTGGGGCGACTGCTGAGCTGACTGCAGAGGCTAGGGCGTTAGGAGGAGGATAGCTCCCTCACACGGTAAGCCTTCTTTGCGAGCATAACTGCTTCACAGAAAGAGGAGACAATTTCCCAATTCCTCTTGCTCCGCACCATGGCCTCGACCAATGCCGGGCGCGAGAGGTCACCGCTGCCAATAATATCCCGGAGGACACGGCAGTGCTTAGCCCAAGCAGGGCACACCGCCACCGTATGCTCCACCGTATTTTTTTTATTTAATAGGTCGGCAAACAAGCAGACGGATTATCTGATGGTAAGCAATCAGCGCCGCCCATGGACACTCGCAACGGAGGAGTTACGAGTGCGTTGCCGACCTTTTAGGGATTAGGGATTTGGAGATTTAGGGATTTAGGAGGGATTGAGGGAGGGGAAGGATTGGGCCTCCGGTAACCTCACTCACACGGCGAAACACAACGCTGTGGTTATTTTACGCCGATTTTCTGTGAGGCCGTGGTATCACTCCGGTCGAGCCGACCCATTTGTGCCGAAGCATGGCTCTCCCACACTTGCCGGGTGTTACCTCCCGCCGAATCCGACACAGGAACCTACCGAAGCTGCCGTGTCCGGGAAGCAACTACATCAGGCGGAAGGTGAGGTCGCCATAGCGTCTGTCAAGCCACTCCTCAAAGACCGCTGCTATAACAACGTGCCCGGTAGTATGAGAGTTTGATGAGAACTAGGTGAAGTAACTAATAATATCCGGTAAACGAAGGCCGCGGGATTCGAGCGTTATAAATAAAGTTTGATAGCCACATGCTACAGATAGCCATGATCCCAAAATCTGTTTATTATGCTGGAGTTTGAAGCTATAAATAGCTGCATTGGAGCTCAATGTCAAGAGCACGCTCTCGTAAAATGAGTTTACACTAGTTTATAGTAGTGACGTCACGTTGAACAATGGAAACTCGTTAATCAGCTGATTGCAGCGTCACGGACTGTTAAACATTTGGAGTTAAAGTGCTGCGAGATTGCGAGCAACTGCACAGAGCATTTCCTTGTAAACACAGTAGCCTGGTCAGGCATGGTATAATATCGCATGTGATTATTACAATTTGAGCGTGATAATAAGCAATAGGTACATTTATGAAGGCCCAATCCTTCCCCGCCCCCAATCCCTCCTCAACACCTAAATGTCCAAATCCCTAATCCCTAAAAGGTCGGCAATGCACTCGTAAATCCTCCGTTGCGGGTGTCCATGGGCGGCGCTGATTGCTTACCAATAGGTAATCCATCAGCTCGTTTGCCGACAAATTACATAAAAAAAATTTACAAGTTATAACTCTTTAACATAGTATGTTAAGTATAGTCTTTGTCACCATAGATCACTTCTTAAAACGATATTCATATATTATTATGAAGTATATTTACACACAAGTGCATGTACGAACACAATACGCAATCGGTCATTAACAATGATTATAAGCCATCAATTATGTTTCATTGATAATTCTGTCAGTTCATGCCACGCCGGTAGTTACGTAGCACGAAAGACTTTTTTGAAGGTACTAATTAGATTCTAAAATATAGGCACAGGCGATAAAGTGAAAATCACAAGGGATGGACACTTTTTTCTTACGACAACGTACTGGTTCGAGGAAGTAGTCCAACTGGTTGACATTGGCCCTTAACGACTACGGACGCGACACTTGTACATATTTCATAATAGTATAGGTACCAGTTTCTGATATCCGCTTCGCTTGAATACCACCTTAAAAGCCTATGTGTTATTCCAGACTATATTCGATATTTATGCCAAATGATATAGAGATTCGTTCAGCAGTGTTTATGTGAAAAAGCAGCATCCATCCATTCATACCTAATTCTTTTGTTTATAACTATAGGTAGGACGGGTAGACAATACGGTGACATAATTTATTGAAAAGAACCATTTACTCTTGTTAATGAATTGAGAAAAGCTCTACTAGTTTCAAGTCACAACGGGACTCTTATCATAGACCATTTTAAGCACTTTTGAACATCAAACAAAGATTTAAGCTATTTGCTCGTTCCAATACGTAGGACTCGGATTGAGAAAAACTATCAAGAAAGTCTATGGTGACTATTTTTCAATCAGTTTCACAATAGGATTCTTTGTTACATTATTAGTTGGTTTCATAATGTAACAGCCATATTTAGCCAAAAAACCCAAAAAGAACACCGAAGAATCCTCCAGTTTAAAAGTGCAAATATCACAGGGCACATCTACAATCGCTGTTACATTGGCTACGCTCCCTAACAAAATCAAAACATCGAAGAGATAAAGGCATGGAATGATGTTGTCAGAAGTTCTATCTACATACATACGTACTTTACAGGTAGGAGAAGCTGATTTCTTCTTCTTGACCCTGCTGACTTGTATGCCCATCATCGAGAACCGCATGTTCCTCATTACCCGTCTCCATCGCTCCATGGTGACACTTTAGCGTAATTAAGACACTGAACTATTAAACCATTTTTATAGTATTGGACCACAAAATGTTCCTTAGTTTTAAGTGGCTTAAAGTTTATTATTCTATAATTGAAATGTTTCTTGACTCACATTTACGTAATTTATTTACTTAGCTCGTAAACACAAGTCGCTTGTGACCGACACGCGACGTTGAGGCGGGTGAGGGCATACAATCACAGCTATCAATCACGGGCTGTGATAAGATTGTCAGCGAGCGAATTACTCGATATTAACGCACATTAAGATATGTTGTCATAGAGTAACGGATAACTGGATATCAGGAGACAAAATCGATTAAATATATCGAGTTTGTAATTAGTAATTTATGGATCGAGAGGTAAGCATCTACTATGATTGGGCGGATAGACTATCACACAATTGTATACATAATTGAGAGAAAGTCGCCTAATCTGTGCGATGATTTCGTTTTCGTGTTCTGGATATCATCGTACGACCTTCCATGAGGTCAAAGTAAAAGAACTCGTTAGCATTAAAGCTAGATTGTTTTTGATATAATCATATGAGGAAACCTACTATAAAAAAATAATTGGTTGAATAGGTTCCACAACATCATAAGATTACATGTCACTTTCGGCCTGCTCTTTGAGGTTCAGATTTCTAAGGCTGTAAGCACTGGCTTTTCTGTATCCAATACTATGTACAAATTCTAAAAATATCAGATGTTTTCATTAATTATGATCCTAAAAATAAAGTATGCTCCTTCATTATTTGAATAAATAAGGAATCATGGTGGTTATAATGATCTCGAATCAATTAATTGGATAAGAGAAATAGAGAACCTTACATTATGTCACACCAATCTATAAACTTAACTAAAGCCATTAGTATACTACAAAATAAACATTTCTATAATTCTGTGCATAATTAATATTCATAAATTCAAAATCGTAAAAAGTAGATATTTGTAGATCATTTAATTATATCAACATTTTGTAATCGATTGTAAATCCGAACTATTTATTCAATCGCTAATGTGCGAATTGGTTCGGTACATAGAGAGCGTCAATTAGTGCATCTCTATGTATGTATTCATGGGCTCAATCAACCGACAAGCGACATCCGACGTCGAGGAGTCGCGGCGGAGCGGCGCGCTCGTTAGACGCGAGCCACGATGTCATGTGATGGCTATCACATGATACTTTAAACTTGTGATAATATATGCTAACACATATTTGCAAACTGGTAAGTTTTCATTAATACAGATGAAGAGTACTGCCATTAATCCTTTCTTAATATATGTATAATGCGGAAGTCATCAAATATCATACTAAAATGCTGGTTCTAAGAATAGAACTTAGTGATAGTATGTGTCTCTGATTTGAGCTGAAATGATTTTAAACTAGTTTCTACCCGTGTGGTGAATAAAAAGTCTCTAAAAGTGTGTCTGTTAGTCTAGGGTATCATCTATCAACATATCCAAATTTTAACCAAACGGGTCCAGCCATTTTGGTGTGAAAGACTAAGAAACATACATTATCATACATTTTCACATTTATAGTACCTATAAGAAGGATAGTAGGATTTGTGTGTGAACAACCCATATAGTTCAAAGTTGTTTGAAAGTATAAAAGTTTTATAACACTTTCATTCTTTTTTTCCAGTACATATCATTTCATTACATCATCATAGATGACACATCAACAGATAGTTGAGTACAACTACCTGTTGATCTTTCAACTTATAAGAACAACAGACTTAGCAAAGTTGTGGTGTAATATTAAAAACTGGAAATGAATATTCACATAAAATAATATCACTTTGAATTAAAAATAATTAATGAATGGCAGCAGCTATGCAGCTGCAGTGTAGATTTTATAAGATTCTTGGGAAAATGTTTGTAAAAGTAACAGGAAGACACAACCCTTGGCAATGAGGAATGTGTCTCATGATAGTTATTATAAAAACAAAGAGTCTTGCATTACATTTGTTTGTAATTGTATTCTAATTAATTTTAGTTATAGCTGCAATAAAACAGACACATGTAAATCTCAAACAAAACTACCTATTTCCAATCATACACAATATAATTATTTATTTCCTTATTACATTTACAAAAATAATTTGTTAATTTAGAAAGGAAATATTTGTATTTTGTTAACAATCATACTTGATTTTAGGGTCACTGAATTAGATAGCATATAGTAAGGTAGTCCAGTTATTTTTTGAAACATTCGAACAGTGTATTTCTATTATTGGTATAAGCAATACAGGCAGCATGTCAAACAGCCATCATGTTAAATTAATAATGATTCCACAGACACTTGAAACAAATCATAATTGTATGAAATGTTACAGACGACCTTGTGTTGTGTGCTCAGTGTGGTGTCAGACCTCAGGACAATGACCAAGGTCAACATCTACAGCAATACCAACCTTTGTGGCAGCTGGAATTGTCTATTGTAATGTTTCATAGACAAGCCTCACTTGCTGTTGTACAGCATTGTATCAAGTGCTAATGCTCATTAAGATCATAATTCCCTGTTATTTGTTGTCAAAAGTCCAAGATTAAGATATTAAGATAAAGAATGTGTTACAGATCCTTGTGAATCATCTTTATCTAGCACTCATAAATATCACTTGACTGCCGAGATTACTCTTTGTAAACGTTCATGTAACAATCATGTATCTATTTAGAAATCTCAGACGAATCCTCACGTTAGTCACACGTTTTCTAAAAACATTCCATGATTCAATCATTCGCGACCCGACTCAAATCTGTCAAACGTCGAAGATTTACCGATACTGTCGTTATCAACGCGAATCAAAACAAACATACTAACAGGAAACGTCAATCTAACCCTGACGATGACCCTCGCTAATTAAATGGGCATGCAAGTGTTTCCTCACCTTGCCGAGCTTCTCGATGGGCACCATAGACGGCGGAGGCTTTTCCTTAGACTCCGCTAGGCCTTGCAAGTCACCACCAGAACCGGAACGAGAGCCAGCACCTCGCTGGGAACCTCGCGGCGTGCTAGTTCCACTACCCGATTGATCTCCCCCGCCCTTAGTATCATGGCTGTGGTGATTTCCCATTACTTCCGCACTACACTAACACCTTAATTACGTAATTTGAGCAGGAACAGACCCTACAATCACAACAATTTGCGTGTTATTAACACTGGTCTGGTCCAGTGATCACACGAACTAACGTCATACGCGTGACAGACGTCTGACTGACGTCAGTCAGTTGTCAATGTCAGGTTTGTACGTTCCAATGCACTCACAGTAATTTTTTATAGCTCATATATGGTGTAGAATGGACAAATATATGTTAAAAGAAACATCGAACCATCCCAACATCGTAAGTACTTGTATGTTTAAAATAAAATAAAGATACCTTACTCTATTAATTTTCTTAGTGAGTTAGTGATATAATGTGTTTACGAGAGAAAAATTTAAAGATAACACATTATTCAGCCTTGAATTTATGGTAGTTAATAGAATGAAACACATTTTTTTATTATTTGTTTATTATTATATACATCCATTGATTCAAAAATGAATCTTTACTGTGTGTACTGGTTGTCACCAATATCAATTACCTAATAGCTAGATTTCTTACACCTAGTTTGCATCTGACGCAATTTACTGCAAAACTTAAATAAACATGAGTACCTAGTACTTATTGCCTATAACCCATAAAATATAGAACAATAGAAAATAGAGGCAAACACTACAAGCTTAATTACAATATCACAGATGAAATGACCTACAGTTATGATGTAAATGTAATTATCTAAGTAATATTTAAAAACATTTGAATGTTAACATTTTAAAGTTCCAACAGATTATGCGGCAAAAGATTGTAAAAACCTCATGGCTGGCAGTTCGACGAGCAGATGCAAAGGTACGGCTGCGCAGTAGCTCAAAAATATTGTGCCCAGCCAGTGACATCCCTGTAAGGTAAACATATTTCTTATATAAGTTAAGTATACCCAGGTAAGTGGGTACATCACAAATCGCATATATGCAAAAATATTAAGATAGAGATTAATTTTATATAAGTTTAATATGACCTGTTTATAGTAACTTAGTTTTGTAGTGTGAATGTAATTAGAATGGCTGGTATTCTCACAATGTCAAAGACAGCAGCTCTGTTAGTGTTGGTGCGTTGCGCCAGTAGAGTGAGGGATATGAGCCAGTGTATGAGGTAGATGGACAAAGACATGCGTCCCAGGATCTCCCAGCCTCGCCAGGACAGGAACTTCCACCAAAGACCTGAAAACAACGACCAATTGCCACGCTCTGTAACACTCCCTCCGCGTTGATACTTGGACTTAAGGATTGGTTCTCAAGTTACTTCCCTCACACAGCGAAACACAACTTATGCAGGTACGTTATTGTTGTTAGACGCCGGTTTTCTGTAAGGCTGTGGTTTTCTTTCGGCCGGGCCGGCCCTACAGTGCCGAAGCATGGCGTTGTAACATTTAAAAAATAATAGCCACCTTTCCATTTAATACAATTTAAAAATTAAGTCTCATACTCACTATCAATTTTATTGATGAAGCCGTACATTGCAAAGGCAGTCAGCGTCATGAACACAGGCCGGTCTACAGTCGCATACAGTGTTACTACCACGGGATGGGTGACACCCTTTATCCAGTAGCCCCCGACGACCCATAGAAACATACATGGAACTGACAGACGATACAGTATTCGCATGCACTGGAATATAAAGGGCATCTCATTAATTTTTACCTGAATGCTTAAATGTGGTGCCGAAATTCTACTTTCTACATACCCTACTCTTCGCTGGCTGGTATCCGTCCTCCTGATGACAATGATACAAGAAGGCCGTCAACAGACCAATTAGTGCTGCAGGTAGACTGTCCCACGGCGCGGAGTACAGCCATGTGAACGAACGCTCGCCAGGGAACTGTGTTCTCATCAACCTGGGCGTACGAGTAACTAATTGGTTGTGCTCTTTGTTAAACATGTGTTGATAAAATAACTAATTTGAAATCAGAATATTTTGTATCAGAGGTTAGTACTTCTTTTTTTTATGTAATAGGTCGGCAAACGAGCAGACGGATTACCTGATGGTAAGCAATCAGCGCCGCTCTTGGACACCCGCAACGGAGGAGTTACGAGTGCGTTGCCGACCTTTTAGGGATTAGGGATTTGGAGATTTAGGGATTGAGGAGGGATTGAGCCTCCGGTAACCTCACTCACACGGCGAAACACAACGCTGTGGTTGTTTCACTCCGGTTTTCTGTGAGGCCGTGGTATCACTCCGGTAGAGCCGACCCATTCGTGGCGAAGCATGTCTCTCCCAAACTTAAACTTCGGAGAATTCTTGTCATACCATTATTACGGAGTGTAGCAATTAGTTTTTTTTTTTTCGAAAGATAAGTGAAAAACTATTTAACTATTAATACTAGGATATTCACTTACTCTGGTATCATAAGCAATACCATTGGCTTCAGTTGCCAGTTGTATATAATTGCGAAGTTCATCAACATTGACCCGAAAATACAGACAGCCAGGATCTTGACAGCCACTCGCGGCCACCTGCCCAGCAGCAGAATCAACACCGCGCAGATGATGTATAACTGCATGTCTACGGCGAGGAACCTGGGGAAATTATATAAAGTTACGAAAGAAGGTTTGCCCCTGGGGTTTGCTCTGGCCAATGTATCAATATAGAGCTGAAGTAAAACTATTTTAAAAGATCGTTATTCATTTTTATGCAAGTTCACTAAATCAGTAACAGTTATTAACATGCCCAGGTACTCCTAGGCCGTTTTAAATCATTTCGAAGACCTCGTCCAAATAACTTAAAACCATAAGTACTGTAGTAAAGTAACCATGACCACTAGTAACAAGCTGATGAATGTGGCCAGTACAAGTACAGTATGATAGCATCAGGATATTAACATAGTCAATTATTACAACAAGCGTAATGCTCGGCATAGCAAAATACGACGTTAACATGTTGCAACGCAGTTATATATTTCAAGCTGAAGGTAAACGGCATAATGTATGGTGGCGATTTATAAAGTTAAAATCAGAAATATTGTTTTCCTTAAGTTTAAAATACTTTCATGTGGAACTTACCACGTGTGTATGAGGCACCTGTCGTCTGGCTTTACAACGTTATTGACAAACAGTACTTGGGGCCACCATTTGTTTCTGCAGCGCGCCGCCTCATCTTCTACCATCGGGCTCCAAAGAGGTCCGTCGCCAGCATGCGCCCACCAGGTTGCGGCCAGGCCCAACACGAATACGTACAAAGGTGATATTCTGTTGAAACAGGGATGGTATTTATTATTCAACACGAATGAAGACACAAAGTTTATTACTTTAAATTCGATTGCTTAAAGACAGTGATGTAGCTATCCTCTGCAAGATGAGATTAAGATACTCCGCCAGAACAACAACTTAATATCTGGGAGGAATAAATTGTTTCCAAGAGTGACCTTGTTAAGCAAATGCGTCAATCAAAAATCTTGCTATTTTTCTTAAAGAAGTACTTGGAGAAAATTTGTGAACCCCAGAGACAACTCTTTAACTATTTGTTACCTGGCAATTCTGTGCACCAAGCAACGGGGAAACATTTTCAAGGAGAGTTGCTTCTTAGGGTTATCAGCGCTGTGGAGGAGCAGGTTGTACGCCAGAAGGAAACTTGAGACCATGATGAACGTCTGGACTATGGATGTGCCATTCTGCAAGTATGCTGACAGGATGTGGTGACTGCTCTGTTAGCAAATAAAACATAAGTATTAGGTATATCAATGAACATATTCTGAGTTTTTTAATTGACCTTTAGAATTTGTTAATACGTTTAAGTATTCAAAAAGTCAGAATCTTTTAATACATTTTGAACTTTATTTTAAACTAAAAATATACAGATTGTAGTACGGTGGTTTAATCTGTAGAGTACCTTCCTTCAATAGCAAATTACAAAGTACTGAAAAATACAAACAGTTGCTTACTTCCTCGAAGAACCGTGGATTGTAGAGGTATGTGAGGTGGTAGGCAAGCACTGAGTGAGCCAACATCACCAGCACCAGCGTCAGGGCTCTGCAACATATGGTGGTTAGTGATTGGTTGTGGACCTCATTATAGCATGTTCTAGGTGCTGATATTTTATTAATGAAATCCATAATTACTTCATCCCCTGTATAGGCTTCAGAGCTGATAACCTGGCATCCCCACCCTTACTGTGGTCTGCCGTCAGTCGTCGCCAGTTCTCCACCAATGACCAGGCCATGAGCTGCTTGATTACTGTCGGAGGCCAATAACAAAACGTTAAGTTATTAGTGGTGCAGTGCACAAATTGGATATACACGACGTCTATACATTATTGTAGGGTATTAAGCTCAAAACACAACAATACCAGGACCAAATGTTAGCCTTAAAAACATTCACTAATCCACTCACATATGCCATCCTTGCTTGCCATCACGTGGTAAGCCGTACCCAAAACATTGGCCAGCAGGAGTAATCCTGCCCCGTACAGAAAACTGAGGTCCCATTGGTCCAGGGGCCTTTTCTCTCCAGCTGTCTTGCAGTACTGCAGTTCTGTGAGGTTAGTCTCCAAGCCGTAGAGATCTTGTGTCATGTTGGTCACGCAGGCGCTGAATTGTGCTCTTGGAGAATGCTCGTGGAAGTGAGCACATGATGACGGCAGGCACAGCCCTCGATGCAGGCGCGTGTGGTTGAACCGATATCTGTCCCTTGACACGTGCTGGAACATATTGATTGCGACTACAGATGTGTGATTCAACTTAGCCAGTACCTAACAGAAAAATTTAATAGATCAAGTGCCTAAGCATTTAGTATTAGCAACATAGCTCTATCTTGTGCTTGCGTCACAAATGGTTGAAGATTTTTTTGCTCTATCGTGAGTGAGTTTACAGACATAAAATTTCACATGCACTTAACACCTAGACCCTGGACAACAACGTGTAGATCATATAAAGACTTGTTCCGTGCAAAAATCGGATCCACAACACGTTGTACATACTACAGCCGACTGGTGAGCCATTTTGATAATCTCCACATTCGTTTTATTCATATTTTGTTAATGAACGTGTACGTATAAGTACCTGTATAACGTTGTAGAGCCGATCGTTCTGATGCCGCATGAGGTCGAAGGTCCCGAGGCAGTACCTCCCATCTCTCGCCGCGCACTCCTCCCAGTCGTCCAGGTGAAAAAGCCTCGGTAGTTCGTAATAGTACCCCACATCTGTGACATACATTATTATTTTAAGTAGTTTCTATTATATGCCATGCCCACCATCATCATAATCAAATGGGATAGGTACAGCTATTTACTTTATTAAATAGCATGTATCATAATTTTCACTGTAAAAGTAGGTACCTATTTTCGGTTTTATAGTCTTTAGTTATCACATTTAGAATCCAAACTTTGTTTTTCCTTTTTTGCAATTAGGTACTTATAGGTACAGAAGCTGTTAGTATACCTTTATTTAAATAAATAGATAAGCGTTCATTAAAACAGGAACAAAAAGGTCCACATTCTAATTCTCACTAAAAGATTTTATATATAGTAAGTATAAATACTATAACAACAAAAACTTTTATTTGGTACAAATCCAAAATAGTTTTTGTTCAATTTAGCTATCCACAGGCAATTAATAAACAAATCAATAACTATTTATGTAAAACGTTGTACCTAAATATCTTTAGTAGAAATAAAATGCTAATTTTATCAATTTTTATAATAATGTTGACGTAGCATCATGGCGGTGACCTGCACAATCGTATAGTTCGGCACGTACAGCTACATACATTAATAAATAGGTAGCTACTATACTTTTGATATGATTATTATTTCCTTACTTTCTAATTATGTGTCAAGAAGAACTTTAGAGACTTTAGAGATTCTACTACAATAAGTAGTAAAGGCAATCTATAAAGTATGGGTGGCTAGTCATCCATTATCGGTCACTAGTTCAAAGTAATTCCAAACCTACACTCATTGCATAAAGTCTTTTTTATATTACAATGACCCATTGTATTAAACCATAGTGGGTGGCTAATGACCGCGCTATATAAATAATAATATATTATAATATAATAGATAATAACTCATTAATTATGCTATAGGCAGTTTGCATTTCACATCTTATTTCCGTTTGCAATTTTACGTCCGAAGATTTGACATTTTTTAAGTCTTTATTGGATCATATGACACTAGGCAACACGACTGGTTCCAAGCCACGTTAGGGGCTATTATTTATGCCCTTAAATTTTGCTACTGGGTACCCTAAGCAACTTGGGCAAATGATTTCCCTTACAAAAATAAAATAATCTCACGTACTGCTCTGCCCCCGATTTGAATAATGAAATATTAATTAAATAAAAATCTGAACGCAATAATAGTCACTAAACTTTGGTTAACACAAGGAAGAACTACAAGCCTGTAAGAGAGGAATGTATAGAATTTTATTCTGTTTCGGGATTTAAGGGCATTAATACGAATTGAAATCTCAACATTTAGCCATAACAACCTGTAATCTGTAACACACTTTAAACTTTATTTTAACAAGAAAACATTACAAATTACAATAGACATTGTCCTTGTTAGGGAAAATAACGTTTTCAACTATCATTTAATTTTATGACGTCTATCAAAATGGACTCTATTATCCCCCATGATTTAATAAGACTCCTAGACGGTTTTACCCGCTTCTCGGCTTCCAATAATCGTAGTTTGATGTTTTTTAACAAATACAATGCGATTTATTCAATTTGAACCAGTGCTTCCTGAGATTAGCGCGTGCAGACACCCAGGTATTAATTTATATAGCTTATTAAATCTAGATGAAGCTTACCAGTATCTTGCGCTGCAATTGCAGTGGATGTCACCACCGCTAGAACCACCAGCGCGACCATGATAATCTTTCCCGACAAATTTTGTTCAATACTTCCTCTTCGTCTGCAGGCGTATTTAGTTTTTTAATCAATCCAGTTTAGGCTGATGTCTGTATGTACACTACACTATTGTTATTAAAGCAAAGAGAGCATCTACCAAATAGTAATCACGTTTAAGAGTATCACTGACACATTGATGGGCGCCGGCGACTCGCGTCCACTTTTATACAACCGCTGAGCTGCGCCTGCGACCCGCGGATAGCACGTCATTAGAGGTTACAGATTCGAGTCCTGTGACGCTACCTTCGTAAAGTTATTAAAAAAGCGTGATGTGTGCAATTATTAATAAATGATAAATAATAAAATCAAAGCATACATGTGCACGGTTGGTGCGGTGGCTGTGCAACTGCCTTGCAACGTGTCGTGGGTTCGATTCCCGCACGGAACAACACTTTGTGTGATCCACAAATTGTTGTTTCAGGTCTGGGTATCATGTGTATGTGACATTGTAGGTATGTTTGTAAATACACCCACAACACAGGAGAAAATCCTAAAGTGGGGCAAAGTTTTTACTAAAAAAAAAGATTTATTTTTATATTTTTTCATTGTCATTGGATATTAATTGTCGAAATAATCATAATTATCAGACCACTGCTGGGAATAAGCTTCTCCAATTACACGCCACTGAGCTACCAAATATCGCACGGTTGGCGTAGTGCCTGGGCAACTGGGTGCTGTGTATCAAATCAAATCATTTATTGGCATATAACTTCAGGCATAACAGATGTTACATATATCTATATATATAGATAGAGTGCACTGTCTCATTACCTAAATGGATGTGCAAATAAATATTTATATAGGTAGCAATCATTTCTTTCAACAAAATTACAAGCTTATTCAGTGCTTGCGACTGGCCCCGGCTTCGCTCGGGTGCGATGCTGATATTAAATTTCTCCACTATTTTATGGATGTTATTATAATTTTGAGTAAGTACATTCGGCTACCTGTAAACAGAGACGGTAAAATAACTAAACGGTCCATTCTCACAGTATTGTTATCCTGTTGCATGGCGACGCAAACGTGCACGCATCCTTAGCGTATTTCATGTACTTAGTTTGGTGTTTCTATACCGATTTCTATGATTATTTTTTTATTGAATTGGTAATGATCAAAGAATCTGTATGTGAAACTGATTTAAAAAGAGTAACCATGGAGTTTCTTGCTCGTTCTCCTCCATCGGAATCTACACTATGGAACGAGCAAATAGCTTCACTAAGAGGACTGAACGACAGACTGACACTATATCTTTAAAATTTTGTTTGACGTTCAAAAGTGCTTGTGTGGGTCTAATTGAAATAAATGATTTTGAATTTGACTTTGAAGAATGTTAACTTTTTAAATTTGGGACGGGTGAGAGCATCATGGACGTAAGAGTAGACAAATATACCTACATAGGTAATCAGAATACTCCGAACTGCCAAGCTATCAGGAGTTACGTGTTATTTTGAGTCAACCATAAAACGTAGATATATGCTGTGGTGAAATATTTATGTAGAACATTTCCGTGTTACACGATTTCTATCTAATTTTAGCCATTAAGGACGAACGCTTAAAAAATGGAGTAACTTCTCTCATTTTCCCAACATTTCCCTTCACTGCTCTGGTCCTTTTAATTGTAGCGTGATGAAAAGTTCTCATGTATCCTATAACACATGGTTGTATATAAACATAGACTTCCAAGTATCCTATAACCTACATAGGAATATAAAGAATAATTGCACCGAGTTTCGTTAGAATCTGTCAAGTAGTTTTTGTTTTTAGAAGGAACATACAGGCAGCAGACAGATAAAATTTTTACAAATTGCATTTTTGGCATCAGTATCGATCACAAATCACACCCTGGTAGTTATTTTAAAATTTTCATGTACAGCATGGGCTGAGCAAAGGCTTCTTCTTCTCGCACGGAGAAGATTTGAACATTAATCACTATTCAAGGCTCGCTCGAGGTGGATCGTCTATTTCAAACTTATTATTAGAAAATTATAAGTCCATGAGTGTGGGAGAGCCAAGCTTCGGCACGAATGGGTCGGCTCGACATGAGTGATACCACGGCCTTACAGAATACCGACGTGAAACAACCACAGCGTTGTGTTTCGCCGTGTGAGTGAGGTAACCGGAGGCCCAATCCTTCCCCTCCCCCGATCCCTCACAATCCCTAAATCTCCAAAACCCTAATCCCTAAAAGGTCGGCAACGCACTCGTTACTCGTTCGATGCGGGTGTCCATGGGCGGCGCTGATTACTTACCATCAGGTAATCCGTCTGCTCGTTTGCCGACCTATTCCATAAAAAAAGACATGTTTTCTTTCACCGTATGTCAATGGTGTATAAATAATCATAGTTATAACTCGGAAGAACTCATATTGGTACATGCCAGGTTTCGAACTTATGCATGAGAAGCTGTCTTCCTTGGGTTATATTGGAAAAAGTTGAAAAATTCTCCAAGAGTGGCGATAATTGCAGCAAAGGAGAGGAGAATTAATAAAGCAGTTGGTAACAAATTGGGTTAAGTAGCAGAGTCACAAAATTAAACTCTGTTGCTGTTGTAGCGCCATTTTTATTTATCCCATTTTAGTGGAGACATTTTTACAAGAGGCTGTCCTTCTTTTACCGTAACATTCCTTACATACATAGTGAGAGAGTTATATAGAAACGCATTTACATCATTATGTTGAATTCAGTGCCATCTAGCGTTTTTGCGCGAAACTCAATGATCCAGTATATTTTTTTTTAATTAAAACTATTATTGGAATAACACAGCTATAGTGACAGTGGGCATACCTAATATTGGTGGATAACAAGACATTTTGTATGTTTCAATATAGGTATTCCATTTTACCAGAAATCTTTTTTTGAGGGGTAAAAATTCCCTAATGCCTTAGGTGGTTCGAGAGAGAGTGTCAGACTCTTACTGATTCAAAACTATCCTGTTTCTTCTCCTGCTCCGGGCCGGAGGCGTGCGGCATCATTGTCTATGATCTTGATTGTCCGAATATCAGTCCTGTTGGGCCCTAACTGTGGCGGTCTGCTGGCTATTTGGGGCTGCTGGCTCTCAGAGACCTCCTTGTTAGTTGTACAATACACAATATGGATCACGCCCTGGCTATGTTAGCACATGCGCGCACAAAGGTACATTAAGGTCTTGTAGTTGGTGGAATTTTCCTAAAAAGCCACATGTCTGCCTGTCTTCTGTATGTAATTGTAGGTACCTCATTAAATCCGGAATAGATGCTAGATTAACGTCAATACTTTGTAGAAGGTTCCACACACATATGTAATTAATCACATGTACTTACGCAAACACATGGACACGTAAATAACATGAACCTATAAAAAACAGTTAAAAGACATAATAACAGAACAAATTATATGTATACATATATTCACGGCTTCTTGTAAATCATTTTCATAAGAATTTTGTAAGGGTTTCAATGGAATATCACATAGAGTTACTTTAAATATTAAAAATAGTCAGTTGGTCTGGTTGGGGTTCGAAAACATGGTATGGTCATTGTTTCTGCGCTTATTCTCTCACCTTGACTCATGTCGGAATATCGCCACATGCGATCGAATGTGTATGTACATATACTAGTAGTACCTATATATATAAGTCCTACTAAAAACAATAGTAATAAAACCTCGCGTAAGTAATCCACCACAATGGCCCCGCTGAGCCGAGGTTTGAACCCTCCCCCTTGAAACAACCACAGCGTTGTGTTACGCCGTTTGAGTGAGGTTACCGGAATAACGCCCCTTCCCCTATCCCTTCCCAATCCTTATATCCGCAACCCCTATCCCCAAAAGGCACTCGTAACTCCTTTGGCGCCGATTGCTTACCATCAGTAAATCCGTCTGCTCGTTTGCCGATTTATTGGTACCATGAAAAAAACATCCTCCACAATGGCCCCGCTGAGCCGAGGTTTGAACCCCACCGTGCGGCGGTGCTCTCAGCGGGGTGCTCTTTTAGTTTATAAAGTAGATTTTTTTGCCCTTACTGGGGGCCTTAGCTTAGATGCCACCGCAGGGATTATTTCGGTTGGGCGTTGGGGAGCGAGAGACGATCTCCGGCCACCGTAAGCGCTAGTCTGCGGACGGTGAGTAAGGGTAACTCCCCGTCCGACCAGAACCAGACCCGAGCGTACAACGCCTCAAAGAGCCATTACACCACCACAGACGGGGCCCTATAGGGCTGATGTTCAGCCGGGGTTGCTGGTTAAGCGCAATGAGTCACCCCGGCCTCGGCCCACAGCAGGAGAAGGAACGGGGGGTTTTAGTCAGTAAGAGTGTGACACTCCCTACCACCCGACCCCGGGCGGGAGAAGTGATTTGAGGATTTTCCCCTCACAAAAAAAGAAACAAAAATAGGGATTACTTCGATTAAATAGTATCGTGAAAAACGCCTTATCAAATCAAATCAAAATCATTTATTCCAACTAAATCATAAATAGGTACTTTTGAAACGTCAAAATAGAACAGTAGTCTATCAGTCTGTTCGTCAGTGAAGCTAGGTGCCTTAGTATGTGGTACTACTAGCGCAGTCTTTATTTCATACAGTATCACCTAACTGCCAGTATGTATGTATTCCACACTACCCACACTAGTTCATCAACAGAAAACAAAATGTTCCAGAAATTTCCGGCCAGTGTAAAAAGTTGTTTGCTTGTGGCTCGGTAGTAGGTGGCGCTGTGAGGCTCTGACGTAAACAAACAAACAAAAACTGGCCACGGATTGACATCGTAAACATGTATTTATGTAATGTAAAACTCTTTAATCATACTGACAGTACTTGATGCTTCCTTACACTGTTATTGCCAATATACATTGTAAATGGATGAATACCGAACACATCATATCAAAAACGTACATCATTAGTCCATGGTTGGGAAACGCACAATAGTAGGTACTGTTTTTCTAAGTAATTTTTACAGTAGTCACGGCTCGGACAGGAGAAAGGGTTTTTGAAACTGGGAAACCTCCTCGCAGTCCACAGATGGGGCCCAATAGGGCCGACGTTTAGCCGAGGTCGCGGGTGCAAGCACTATTATGTACCGTGGCCTATTCTTTACATACAACGTGCATTATAATACATGTACCTACTACATAAACTTATTACACTGTATGCTCATGCATGATTCATGGATGGATATAAGTGGATGGAGCACGGATTCGGATCGGATAGGATTTGTGACGCATTCAAAACAAATTACTGTCTAGATGTCTTTTAATTCTCATGGTGATGGTACACGATATATATTTTTATTTATCTATATGTGTATATAAAAATCAATGCCACTTTTCGTTGTAATATTATAACTCAACAATGCCTTTACCGATTTGGCTAATTATGGTCTTGAATCATTCGTGGAAGGAAAAAAATCTTGAAAAAGTTTAAAATCAACACCCACGCGGGCGGATCCGCGGTCGACCGATAGTTTTATCATATTTTTCAGAAGTGTCAGGGGATTAAGATATAATTTTTATGCTCTGGAAGAGCAAGAGGTGTCTCTTGCTCTTCTTCTTCTTGCGCAAACTATTCATAAATATGCAAATATTATATGCTATCCATAGCCACAACCACGTGTAGGTTTGTTGAAAAATTGTATTGACTTCTAGACTGTTAGTTCTATATTGACTGATAGAAACTGGCCCAGGGCCTCCCGACACAGTTTACCCACGTCCAGAGTCATACAGAAATGCAATCATAAGCTTATTGTTCAATAAATCAAATTTTTTAACCCCAACTTTGTTTTGTTTTTAATACACATATCTATCAAGTTCCAAAATTATAGTTGTGGAAAAAGGGTAGATAAGGGATTCGTTTTGTTGCCATTTGACTGAGGAGTGAGGACCCATGAAATGTGTCGGAGTTAATTGAAAATAATTACAAAACAGAGCACACAGGACGACACAGGATTCATTCTGGTAAAAATAAAATATTCCAATGTACATATTGAGAGTTTATTACGAGTAGTGCACAGCTATCAGCCTACCCGACGGTGGCGACCTAGCTGGCCGTAGAGTTTGTAGTAGTTTGATTCGTTTTGTAGACGTCGTCTTGTGTTTTGGGACTATCGATGCTGCTATTGTTGTTCGTATTGTTTCTGATTGGTATGCTTACTGTCAAACAAGTGTCGTTTGTTTTATTTCCTTTCGAATAATCAACGCTTATGTCAACATTGAATACTAAATTAATGTCTTTGTTTTTAGTTGGGATTCCAAAGTTGCCCAAAGCGCCTATGTAACCAATACAGGCAATTACCTGAAATCAAAGAATTTTGCAATAAATGATTTGATTTGATAGTGTAAAGTTGGAGAGAGGTGGAAACATGTTTGAAAAATAGGGTGTAATTTATTCTCTGTAGGTACTTCCGCCCCCCACACCTTAAAAGGGGGGGGAGGGGTAACATTTGTAGGTAGGGAGCTAGATTTTAAACACAAGCTCTTTGTAGCAAACGCAAATACTTGAACAATTTTTATTTTGGAAATTTACCCCAGCTCCAAAAATACCCGAATTCCTTGTTACATTCTATACACAAATGGAATGACATAATGTGGCTGTATACGGAATTATCTTCTTCAATTCCAAATCTAGTTCCCAGTCCCCAGTTATACTTCTACTACTCCGAATTTAACGCGAGCGAAGTCCCTGGGAAAAGCTAGTACATAAATTAACAGACACATATTCAGGTGACATTGTTCTTGCTCGCTCTCCACAAACACGAGCTTATGGCGGCTGGAGATTGCCGCAAGACCCCCACGTCGGGAGCGGATCGTGCGACGGCTGAAACTTGAGGAGAATCGTACCTTCCCGCACTTAGTTACCTCTGTCTTAGCGAGCATGGCTGCTTCACAGAAGGAGTGAGGAGGATCTATGTTTATAAATGCACACCACGGCAAAAGAAATGTGTACCTATGGAATTTGTGTGTGTAAACGAGCCCACAATGCTGGCAGGAGAAAATATTACAAATACTCACAAGTACGAGTGTTGCGGTCCTCATGGTGATGTTGCGACGGATGACGGTGAGCTGTGCCTGGCGCTGCTCCAGCTGCAGTTTATATACGGCGCGCTGCAGCTGGACACACACTCCAGAGGACACCAGCTGGGTGCCATCGAACTGTTTACATCTGATCGAGTGACGCACTGCCCTGGCAGTTTATTGTTAAGCAAACATTATAATAACATAACAACTTGACACACACACTTTACACTATTGTTTTGATAGAAAACTTACCTATTTAGATGTTTTAAAACAAAAAAAAAATGGTAAGAAATTGTTAATTTTGTACTGATCCATGCTATCAGCCCTCGCAGGACGTTGTTCTAATTAAAGGGATTACAACTTACTAATTTACATTTTTTTTATGGCATGCAGAGGCGGTCTTGCTCAATGGTATGGTAAGCAGTGCTTTATTGCCTTTGGACGGTTATAGATTAAGGTATTGAGAATTGGACGATGAGTCCCCAACCGCTTGCGTTGTTTCACGCCGGTTAAATAAACCGGCGTGGTGGAGCCAAGGTTTGTAATGAATGAATGGCCTCAAAAACACTGGAATGAAGTTACCAAAGGCCCATTTCAGTGCCTCCATTCCCAATCCTCCGATTCTTAGGAATCGGAGGCATAGGCGTATTAGGGTTAGCCCTAATACGCCAAATTCGGCAATTAACTCGAAGCTCCTCTGGTGGATAACAAGGTTTTTTAAGGGCGGATATAACACAATTATTAATGACTTCTAAGGGTCAAATACCTTACTGGCTAAAACCACCCCGTTCATTCTCCTGCTCCAGTCCTGGGCCACGGTACATGATTGACCCCAACCCCTGCTGAACATTGCCTTATTGGACTCCAACTGTGATGAAGATGCTGTGCGTGCCATCCACTCGGGTCTGGTTCTGGACGGGCGGCAAGCTACCTGTGCTCGATGCTCCTCGATATCGATATCCCCGGTCGGAAGTGCGGCTGCGGAGCTACGGATTTCGGGTTCGATTTCTGAGTGGGTCACCGTGTTAATAAGACTACGCGTTGACTCCCTATACATAGTACTGATAAGTTCATAAAATATAGTTCAAGGTGGAGGTTGCAAATTACACGTATCTACATACGTCGCTGCCTATACTATTTTATTACATAGGGGGGCTATGTAATAAAAATGTATAACACACGTGACATCAGGACAGGCAGATGTGACCGGCGACAGAAGTCACCGTTAAACAACTCATAATAGGTTAAGTTCTAGTAAATAATATTAGTACAAGTGCATATTTATTCAAAGTAAACAATGACACAATGAATTTATTTTTGTAAATAGGCCATTAAACAACACTTAATTACACGTCAACATTATAAAAATAAAACTAGATGAAGCTAGTATTTTCAGTATTTTCTGTCTGACTAGAAGAAATGCCGAAACAAATTAGCAAGTCTCTTTTAAAGTCCAAACAATGTACAAAATGTTGTGTGTGAACCGTGCAAGTTCAATATGTAGTGTTCTTTTGAGAAAAGAATCACCACACCAGTTTCGAGAGACGATCTCCGGCCATCGTAAGCGCAAGTTTGCGGACGGCGAGTAAGGGTAACTCGAAAGAATCAATGGACCACCACAGATGGGGCCCTATAACCAGCAAGCGCAATGAGGCACCGCGGCCTCGGCCAAGTCTGACACTCCCTGCCGCCCGACTCTGGATGGCAGAAGTCATTTGATGATTATCCCCTCACAAAAAAATCACACCAATTTAAATTGACCCATGCTGAAGACAGACTTGCGAGTCAGTTTTCTACCAGGTAACTAACTGGAGTAGCAGGTTTGTCCAACGAACAATACCGACCGAAGAAAATGGGATACTTCGTGTCGGAATCTAGAGGGAAAGGCCTTAGCCTCGACGAAGCTCGTAATGAGGTACCGCGGCCTCGGCCCAGCAATAGAAGGAACGGAAGGGGGGAGAGGGGGGGGGGGCTTAGTCAGTAAGAGTCTGACACTCCCTCTCGGGAATACCGCCAACGCAACGGAGGAGTTATGAGTGCGTTGCCATCCTTTTAGGGATTAGGGATTTGGAGATTAAGGGATTGAAAAGGGATTGGAGGAGGGGAAGGATTGGGCCTCCGGTAACCTTACTCACACGGCGAAACACAAAACACAAAGTTGTGGTTGTTGTGATGTCGTCCACTGCTGGACATAGGCCTCCCCAATTGCACGCCACTGAGCTCGATGTTCAGTTCTTCTCATCCAACCACTGCCAGCCACCCTGCGGATATCGTCAGTCCACCTAGCTGGAGCCCTCCTCCTGCCATCTACGTTTGCCTAGACGTGGTCTCCACTTTAGAACATGTTTACCCCAACGGTCATCGCAGATGTGATGTCGTGTCATGTGATCGAGATGTGATCTGCCCACTGCCACTTCAGTTTGCTAGTCCTTTGGTCTATGCCGATAACTTTACTTCTCTGTCGGATCTATCTGAAGGATCGTATTCGAAACGACCTCGTTTCAGAGAGACTACAAGCAATGCTTTCCGTGGGTACACGTACAGCAGATTAGATCTGCTGGACGTGTTTACTTCACTGCACTTTTCCTTAAGGGTCGGTAGAAATATATATTTTGTTTTTTTATTTATTAAAATTATTCATAACTCTCTCTATGCCTAGAGCTCTTGTTTCAGTCTCTTAAATTTTAATATAAAAATAAAAATATTTAATTTTTTTTATTTTTTTACCCTTATAGTTATTATGCACAATTTTCTTTCTAAAAACAAAAAAATCAAATCATTAGGGCCGTTTCCGATGTCCCATTCTTTTTCAAGCAATCACTTATCTGTAAATCTAAACCATCCAGGGCACGCATACAGAAAAAAACATTTAAATCGGTCAAGTCGTTTAGGGGGAGTTCAATGTCATGCACACGGACAGCAGAGTTATATGTAGATATTAATAATTACCGGCCGGGAATTATCTTTATTTCAGGTCAGACTCAGAGTGTGAATACTCAACAAAGTCGATCAGCACTGGACAAAAAGCAAAATCCTGCCGCAAACCGTCTGCAGAAAGCAATGGGAAACGCAAGATACAGTCACATACAACATCAGCTCGAGCAAGGTAACTAATATTTTTCCTTTGCTTAAATTATAAAAATAAATTGTATGGACACGTATCTACCATTTGAATTACATACCTATAATCTTTTAGTTATGCATAAGAGAGGAGCATTTTCAAAGGAAATATCTGAGCTGTCTTTCATAAAATATTAAATTATATTTTTAACCAAGTTGATAATATTTATCCCCTTGTACTTCTCGTACTAAACATTAACTAATAACATTTTTTTTTGTTTCAGTAAGAAAACCAATACTGGCACTGTTTTTGGAAAAATGTTACATAGGTAGGCAGTTCTGAAATTGTTTTAAATAAGTGGGTCCCGAAGTACAACCTGATTAAAATAATAATTATTGTACTACTAGCTTGTCTACTAGTTTTCGAGACTTCTCAGAAGCATAGCTTAAGCTTAAGTCAAAATGTCGTTGTCAATGCCGCTATATGAAATGATCCATACACTTGTACACCGAGTATAATTGAAAGAGATATAAATTCAAAAGTAATCTTTATTACCATACAATATTCCCTCTTAACAAGCTTATATTATAAAACTAATTACATACTAACACTAACGTCACAGTTCTATAATTACGTGTGTCGCAGCCTTATTTGCCAAATAAACACTAAAAACAATGCAGTACAAGACATTAAAACAGCTGAGTAAACGCAATATATCATGGCGTACATTTGTAGCGAAGTCATTACATGTTAAGGTAGGTTAGGCAGCTATAGACATCATCCATCTTTCTTGTATCATAGCTGTTGTAACACTAATTTATCCCCTGCTCATGATTATGAGCCCTTCGCGTGACTTGAAATTAATCAATTTACCTTGTCAAACAGACATTGTGACGCGTGACGTGTCAAACACACTTATTAAATTCAAGTTTTCTTCTAATTTGGTGGCAAGTCAGTTAGTTGGCATTTTTAATAACACATACGGCTGCGACATGTTATATAACAAATAGTTGAATACATTGTATGAATACAATAAAGAGTCAGTCACCATCAGTACATCTGCATTGACACAAATAACAACAGGCAGTCAGTGCTGCACTCACATAATTATAGGTAAGGCACGAAATGGTTCATTGTTCTACATTACACATACCATTTTACAATTATCACAACACAGCTCCAGTGTCCTGGGATTCCACACCACTTCATCATTTGTTTGAACAAACGTGCGTCACCGTATAGTCCAGGAACGATTGCACTCGCTCTTGAATATTGCACAATTAAGAAGAGAGAGTTCCCTGCAAGCAGCGGGGGCTACGACTGTTTGGTCGCCCTTTGGATGAGCAGTGCGGTGACCACCCTCTGCACCGGCATCTCCACCATGATGGTGAGCGGCACCGCCACCATGTACGAGCAGAAGCTCGTCGCCACGCAATCGACCACCTGTTAGCAGGAACATGCAGTCACGCTATTAGTCTCGGAAATAGCCACAATTTGTCTTATGCGTCCTTAACATTAAGACTATTAACAAGAGTAACCATAGCGTTAACTTTCTGATTCACATACAAAAAATACGAATATACACTTTGGCCTATCTTCACAAAGAGCCTGACTGACAGATTATATGTCATTCTTTTGACGCCGAATGTAGATGCTAGCTTGGTAGTGAAGTGATGCCTCACCACGCTGAGCAGGGATGCGGTGGTGGGCTGCAGGCGGGAGGCGGCGATGTTCATGTTGATGCACCAGTGCACCATCAGCACGGACAGCGACATGCGGCCCAGCGCGTGCCAGCCGCGCCACGACATCAGCTGCTGCAGCCAGCCTGCCCACATATACATGTACAACCTCGAATTACTTGCCACGACCGATTTTTGCCATGAATAAGAATGCATCTAAATAATGTATTAATTGACATAACGCACATTCTAGGCCGTTGATCATGCCGAGCAGGAAGCCGGCGGCGAGCAGGCTGAGCACGGGTCGCTCGAGCGCCACATACAGTGCGGTGAACCAGGGCTCGTCGTACCCGCGCAGCCAGTTCCCTGCCAGGATCCAGGCCACCACCAGCAGCGGTGTCATGCTGTACAGCCTACGCAACCACTTCACCCCCTGGACACACAACAAACATTATGCTTGTTGCTTTACAACATGCTACTTTGCAAAATGTCACAAAACCATAAAAAAATATAAAATCTCACGAAATAGGTGCTGGTTGAGGTTATCATATTGAACAAATTTTGATTCGCAGTGTAATTGATTGCAGCAGCACCTTCAATATATTTTATTATCAACAATATCCACTTACTTTCAGAGAAGTCACCTTTACTCCTGACTCCTGTAACTCAAAGTGTACGAACGCCGCCAGCAGTCCAATGAGGCAGGCGGCGAGGCTGCCCCACGGTGCCTGGTACAGCCAGGAGAACGATCGTATGCCCTTGTACATCGTGTTCAGGTTTCTAGAAGACAAAACGGTTGTTTCGTCACGGCTCATACAGTTTTGGAATTTAGAGAGCCGATGCACTGAACCATACACAGTAACAGTTACGTGGTTACAACGACTTCGTGAGCTTACAAAAAGGGTTGTAGTATGTACTTGAGGATTTTTTAAATAAACCTAGTCTTTTCTTGTAATTGTAATGAGCAAAAAGTGAGGCCATACTTGGGATACGCGTAGTACACGATGGATTGCCAATGGAAGACGTAAGCGAGCAGGCCGGTGAGCGCGCTGGCGGCGGCGGCCAGCAGCAGCAGGCGGCGCAGGGCGAGCGCGCGGCGTCGGGCCAGCCACAGCGACAGCGCGCCCGCCACTATGTGCAGCTGCGTGTCCACCGCTGGGAACCTGCACTCGTAGACCAAACCAATATGTAACAGCTGCCATTTATCTTTGCCATAAATCCTCCAGACTGTAACGGTGAAAAAAGAATGTGTCACTGACCATGTCTGAACGAGACAGATGTCGTCAGGGTCGACGAGGTTGTTGATGTAGAACACGTGTGTCCAGAATTTGCGGCGACAGATGGCGCTTTCGGCGCCGGCGAATGCCGACCACATCGGGCCGGCCCCACTGCGCGGCCACCACGTCGCCGCGTACCCCACCACCAGCAGGTACACCGGGGAGATCCTGCCGACACCTACTTACTTGTACAAATCTCCTTATACACACTTACATGTATGTAGATATTCATTAAAAGTCTCGTTGGTCATGTCGTCGTCGCGCGCGACCAAAACCTTTACCTGGCTATCCTCTTAATGATGATGTACGGTAGCAGGCTGAACGAGGGCTTGTGATCCTTGGTGTAGAGGAGCAGATTGTAGCCGAGCAGAAAGTTGGACAGCATCACGAATATCTGTACTATCGAGGTACCGTTCAGAAACAGCATCAGGACCGGGTGGCGAGATACCTGGGGACCGTGCCATGAGTTACATCTCTCTATTCATTCAGTACAACTATAAAAATAGGAGGACAGGTGTGTTGGTTTTGTCGGTCACCTGTTCGATCCACCTCGGGTTGTAGAGGTACAGCATGACCTGTATGCAGCCGCTGTGTGTCGCCATAATCAGCACCATCAGCAACACCCTGGAACATTACATATAACCCAAGTAAGTGTGGCTACTTGTCATTCTACGACATGCTGCATCTTTCGCCAAGAATGTTGCTGTGGATGCTGTGCATACCTGACTCCCTGGACGGGTGTGAGTGCAGACAGCCGAGGGTCTCCGTCCTCGTGTGTAGCGGTGAGGCGGCGCCAGTTGGACCGCAGCGACCAGCTGCTCAGCCAGTTCTCTGTAACCAACGAAGTAAATGTTTACATTAGATCTACCAGACAGATGATACTCGGATCTTCAGTCAAGAACCCTAGGTGGTCCACACATGTGATCTTATACGATGGTCTCAAGCACGGCGTCACGAGGCTCGCTTGTAGTGAACAATATAATGCGAACACAAATTGTTATTCTTGTAATGAAATTCGTTTAGTATAGGCCTATTATATTATATGTTTTCTATATATTTCCTAATTTTTATCAATGACCTTCCTCAGCGAGTCAGTCTTTCCCAATGTCTGCTGTTTGCTGATGATCTCAAGCTTAGTCTGGGTGTTGAGACATCGGCAGATTGCGAAGCTCTGCAAAGAGACATAGACGCGGTAGGAGACTGGAGCAGCGAAAGCCGTCTTCTATTTAATATCGACAAATGCAAAACAATCTCTTTCTCACGTAAGCGCCAGCTGATCAATGCAGCTTACACTTTATCCGACGCTGCCCTTCAAAGGGTATCAGATATTCGTGACTTGGGACTTCAATTGGACTCTAGACTTAACTTTCATGACCATGTGACGGCAATATGCAAAAAGGCAAACAAAATGCTTGGATTTGTCATGCGTACATCATCCGAGTTTAATAATTTAGGAGTTGCTACTGTTCTCTATAATGCCTACATACGTAGCAAACTTGAGTATGGTGGCATAGTCTGGGCTCCATCTGAGGAAAAATACAATATTATGCTTGAAAGGGTACAACGTAAATTCGCTCGTTGGTTATATAAGAAAAGGTATGGCTACTATCCTTACTTATACCCTTCCTCTTTTGTAGCTGGTATGGTGGATCTGGAGACCCTCAAGTTCAGGAGGGTGGTGCAAACAATAGTGCACTATCTGTCAATAGTGCACCATAAAGTGGACAACCCTATAGTACTAGGCATGGTGAGGTTACTTGTTCCCAAACGACTGGCATGGAATGAGCAAGGGACAGTTGCGCCGAGGCGTCGGCCTCGCCTTTTGTGGTGGCCTCAAACGCGCACCAACTATGCGTTGCATGCACCGACTGTTCGGGCACTGGGCCTTATTGAGGATATGATCGCTCGTGACAATGATATCGACATATTTGCTGACCACTTTAAAATGCTATATGCTAAAACCGTAGCATTTGTCAATAATTATTTAATGTAATTTTATAATGATGTACTTTTGACCTGTGTGTGTGACTTCTACTATTGACATATTGATTTTTTTTATTTCTAGATTTTACTTTTGATATTTCGGACTAATTAATGATTTTGACATGTATTGTAAATATTTGACATTTATTATTGGATCTTGATGTTGTATTTTGTATTGTTTTTAATTTTTTCTTGTTTTAATAATTGATGTGCTTTATATTTTAATTAATTGGCTTGCTGGCGTTTTGGTGCTCACTGTGAGCCAGTAAGTGCATGTTTAAATAAATAAATAAATAGGCCATGCAGACTCCTCCAAACGAACGTAGGTATCTATTTAAAACAATATGGAAGTATGCGAAGCCTTACTTTTAGGGTTATCATGAGTAATAACATCATACGTCGTGCCGAGCACATTGAGCGCTAGGATGGCAGCGAGCACGTAGAGGAACAGTCGCTGCGGGATGTCGAGCGGGTCGGGGCTGTGGGCGCGCGCCACCTCCTGCGCGTGCGAGCGGCAGTAGTGCAGGCGCGCCAGCGAGGGGCGCAGTCCCAGCCGCCGCGCCCACTGCGCCGCGCAGCGCTCGAAGCGGCGCGACACGTTGCGCTCCGCCGCCAGCGCCGCGCACCGCGAGCTCACGCAGTACCCGCGGTGCAGCTGCGTGCGGTTGAAGTGGTGCGCCTCCAGGGAGTACTCCTGCAACACAAAGCCTGGTCACTACATGCACCGGTTCAAACGAAGGACAAAGTTCCTGAACTGAAAGTTAAAGATATTAATCATTGTGAACAAAAAATATAATTTGTAATAATGAACATAAAAGTCACCATTATGGTCAGTATATTTGTTTTACAGCAAACAGCTCGACATTAATGTACGACTTTAATTTATCATAAACTTTAAGGAAATGTTTATCATACAAGTGATCTAGGAACCAAATACAATAATATTTAACACAACAGCTAGGAAGACAATAATTCACTATATTTTAGTTTAATACAGGAGATCTGAAAAGATTATGAGTTGTCACCTCGAGCATGGAGTAGAGCGGGCTGTGGTCTGCGAGTGGCGCGAGGTTGAAGGAGCCGAGGCAGTAGAGGCCGTCCTCCCGCGCCAGGCACGCGCTGTAGTCGTCCAGGTGGTACAGCCGCGGGAACCGCGCGTACTCAGCGTCTGTATGATGAGTGAGTAAGGGCAATTCAGAGTACAATGTATTAAACAACAACATTTTTTGTGGGGGTATAATCTTCAAGTGTCTTCTCCTACCCTAGGTGAAACAAAAGGGGTAATGGTCTTGTTGTCTAAAAAACATATACAATGGGCCGCGGCACATTATTGTGCTTGTAATGGTCAACTCTTGCTCGCCTTCCACAGATCCCCAACACCGGTAATGTTTCCCGGGGCGTGAGAAAGAGAAGGCTTCTCAGTCCCTCTTGTTCCGCACCATGGTGACACCAGAGGTCATGACAGTGCCCTGCTTGGGCTGGCCACCGTGGTGTACCTCCGCATATGTGTGGTCCTTGCAGTGATGGCTGCACAACAAACGTTTGAACAGTAGTTGGTCTTCCAGCCCTACACCAACCATGCAGTCTGTGATTAATGTGTATTTACACACACACACACACACACATTACCGGTGTCCGTGGCAATTTCAAGAGACTGTCACATCTTGGACCTCGTTGCGGATGTCGGTACGTCAAGGACAGCCGATAAAGGCCATTGAAGATTCCAATAATTAAACAGACAAAAATTTAAACACGCGGATACTTTGAATGCTTTATATTTTACACTGTACATTAAACCACATAAGTCAACGTGTTAAGTTGGAATGTGCCAGCCAGGTGGCGGCCGGCTCGCATTCTGTACACTGCGCGATACATTATCACAAGATTCTTTGTTTACTAAAGTAAATTAATAAGATCAACACAACATAATATATTACATGTATGCAGCAATGCAGTTCTTTTTCCGCAAATAAAACAAGTAACTCATAAAAAAAATATGGATCGTGCGGTGACAGTCATGTTGCTTGGTTTTGCAAAATATGTAAGAGAGTACGGCAGGCGGCAGGCGACAGGCCGGAGTGGCCGGTCAACTGAGATAGCGATCAACTGTGTAACATTTTACTGTTTATGAATTCTAGAAATAATTTTACCATATCTCACGAGTAAACAAAGTCATGTGCATTTAATTAATAAGTAAGTGGATAGATTATCTGTTTCCTTAATGTAAAGTATGACCAGTGTTACTTACTACGGGATAATATTTCCTGCTTCTACTTTACGTAACAAATTGATAGATGGCTCCATAGGTAAATACTTTTTATCATAGGCCACCGAACGAACTCATTTATTACCTGATAGTAAGCAATTGGCGCTGCCTATAGACATCCGTAACTAACGTGGAATTACTCGGCCTTTTGGGATTAGGGTTCCGGAGATTTCGGGATTGTAGAGGAATGGAGGGGAGGATTAGGCCTTTGGTAGCCTCAACTACACGGGGAATCAAGACATTGTGGCTGTATAACACCGGAGTGTTATATGTAATTGCTATTTTATAATATGTTACATAATCTAAGTGTGGGAGAGCCATGCTTCAGCACGAATGGGTCGGCTCGACCAGTGTCAGAAAACTGGCGTGAAATAACCACAGCGTTGTGTTTCGCCGTGTGAGTGTGGTTACCGGAGGCCCAATCCTTCCCCTTCCCAAACCCGCCCTCAGTCCCTAAATCCCCCAATCCCTAAATCTCCCAAATCCCTAATCCCCAAAAGATCGGCAACGCACTCGAAACTCCTCTGTTTTTGCGGGTGTCCATGGGCGGCGCTGATTGCTTACCATCAGGTAATCCATTTACTAGTTTGTCGACCTATTACATAAAAAAAATCGTATGAGAGCTTTATTTTTATTCAATCAATTGATACCATAGAAATAAAAAATAGCTTATGATTGATTGAATAATCTATGATTGATACATTGTGAGGAAAATCATGCTAATATAAGTATATATGACTCTATGGTTGTTAAGTTTCGTACTTATAAACTTTGCACAGAATACGTCATTGTTGTACTTCATGATATACAAAGTATTTGCTTTGAGCTGACGGATTGGGCAAGCTTCGCTCAGGACACAAGAGCGATAGAAACATCCAGAAGAATGAAATAGCCTCGTAATGCAGAATGTTTACTAGCAGTGGGGTATTATGATTGAGCTCTCGCGGTGTGATAGGGAATGGCAAGATGTGGGATGTTGCTCGAGTGTTACCTGTGTGTGTTACCTGGCGGATCCAGGTCAATTGCTGAATTCGAATTATCTGCACTCTCCGAACGAGCACAGAAAAACAGATATGTGCTCTCAAACATACGTATATGTACGTCGTATTCATTCGTATTAGATTCAGTACACAATGTATACAGGATGTAAAAAGACACTTAACGAAACCGTTAACTACGCATACTGCAGTTCTAACTAAGTAGCTTTACGCTAAAATTATCACTGGGAAACGACTTTTATTTTTAGGTATCAAAAATAATAATAATTTTATTGCGCGCAATGTAAAACAAACGGGCTTCGTGTCATTGTGTCCGTAGGTTCACAGCTTAGCATGAAAGCGCTGTGATAAGTACGTAGGTCGACGTTTTACTTCGCAACAACAAAACAATTCTGTAAAATAAAAATCCTACTGAGATGCACGATGTTTTTTGTGCGGGTCTGCATTTATTTATTACGTACATTACTGTTCGTAACTTCAAATGCGTAATTTATTTAGAAAAGTCGAAAATTCAGGTAATGCTTGTTTGGAAAAAAGTTTTGTAATAATACTTAAAATTCGATCGCGCAAAAAATCAAAATGCATCTTTGACCTTCAATATCTCGGGAACCCGTGGAGTCCCAGCTATGGTCTTAAAGAAAAAAATGATCCTGAATACGTGGCTTTCGGTTTCGTTAAGTGTCTTTTTACACCCTGTATATAAACTAAGATTGCCTTGTGATCTACTCTTCTAGACAAGTGAGAAATGGCTGACCGTAGAAAAACTTTAGTTTTTTATGCATAAACAGGCTCGCCAATAGGCGTCAACTATTTAGCAAGCTTTTTTTTTTCACTCGGATATTTAAATTGGTTAGAAAGAATAATCACCTATCACATCATCACTCAAAATATTTTTTGGAGATCCTGCATATGTCTACATGGACTAGCTGACATGACAACCGTTTTTTTGCCATTTACGTTATTTTAGAAACGGTGAATAACTCGATTCTCAGACCTACTAAGAGAATACTTATGCATATAAAACTGTGTAAAAATCAGTAGAGCCGTTTCGGATAAATAAGGTAACTAACATTGTGATGCGAAAAATCCAAACTAATATTATAAATGCGGAAGTAACTCTGTCTGTCTGTCTTTTCTTCACGCCTATACTACTGAACGGATTTCAGTGAAATTTGGTATAGACATAATTTGGAACTCGAGAAAGGATTTAGGATAGATTTTTATACGAAAAATCTGCAGAAGGTCACTATTCCACGCGAAAGAAGTCGCGGGCAAAAGCTAGTTTATATATAGCTATAAATATAGATAAATTAATACTAAAACGTGTAATCAGAGACCTCTACTTATACTGAAAAATGGAGTATAAATCACTATACTCGCTCAAGGTAGATAAACGAATTCAAACTTACAATGAGAAATTATAAGTGTAGGTCACGAGGCTTTCTTTTCAGTATCTAAATTATTTTAAAAAGTGCATATATATTTTAGAAAAATAGTTATCCGTACTTGCCAATCCTCTTATACTTGAGAGGCCTTAACTTACACCTTAAATCCAAATAACTAAACTACTCAGTGTGCTCTCAGCTTAATGTGACCGGGACCTGCGCTAGCGCAGCTACACGCGTATTGTTCGCTGTTACACCCAGATATTGCAATTTTTCGAATACCTAATATATCAAAGTAATATTTCATTTTATTTGCTTGTGTTGTAATATGTATTAGTTTTATTTATTTACTGACTTTATTTTATGTTCCTATATTATGTATATGTATTAATCTCAATGTACGCCATTAACTGCTCGTTTCAAACCCTTCTACAGTCAATTCCATCTAAAGGTTGTCTGGAAGAGATTGCTTTTTCGCGATAAGACCGCCTTTGTGTTTGTTTGTTTTTTACTATCATTTGTTTTGTCCTTATGGTTTATAATAAGGAATATGTAATAATAATAATAATTCCTATTTCTGTTCTAATGTAAACATTTTTCGCACATCCGTAACACGAAACTGCGATCTAGAAATAGGCAATATGATAACTCACACACACGAGTAAGTCGTTGTTTTCAATAAAACACAGGTGAGAATTAATGGTCCTGCAAAATAAACATATACATATATTGCAAACTCAATATAAGCTGAGGTTGACTGGTAGAGAATGCCTTCGGGCATTAAGTCCGCCTTTGTATATATTATTTTGTATGTACATAAAGTGTTAAATAAATAAGCTTGTTAATTTTTTTTTGTACTATCTACGCACTACGCGTTGATTAAGTTTTCTAAACCAGTCTATTTTGGTCTGGCTTTGCTAGAACTTTCTGCGTATTAAACGGTCAGAATATACTGGTTAATAATATTAGCCGATTCCTAGCTTTTATTGGTTCACGACTCAGCCACAAGATGAGCACTACTTATAGTTTTAAATAGTACTTAATTAATGTAAATAATTTCACGTACCTAGTAATTGTATGTAAAATTATTCCAACTGAGCTAGATCTAAATTTATGCGAAAAAATAACATGTTTGGGAACTAAGGTTGACGATATTCCTATAGATATATAATTATTTATGCAGTAGGCATTTTGTTTTTTCCTAATTGATTATAAATCTGTATGTAAAGTAAGGGGTAATTATTCAAATATGTCAATAAACCTCCAGATAGCCACATTAACTTCTAATTAGAATACACGTTTTTATCTATATTTAGACTTCCAAATTGGCCACAGCTCTCGAGTGGGAGTTAGAACTATTGGGCTATTATAACGCCGCAGTTTTTATAGACATAACCTCCGTTGAAGGCAAGTATAATAATTGCCTTCAATTAAATAATACCATCGAAGCCCTTTGCTCGGCGAAATGAAGATAATTATGGCATTAAAGGCCTCTTCAGCCGGGGTTGCGGGGCAAGCGCAATTAGGCGACGCGGCTTCGACCAAGAGCAGGAGGAGGAACGTGGAGTTTTTAGTCAGTAAGAGTCGGACACTTGCTCTTGCCCCACCCTGGATGGGAGAAGTCATTTGATGATTTTCCACTCACGAAAAAAAGGACCTGTTGCACCACTATCACACATGTGCTCATGATAAACTTACGTGGAAGATATATTATACGGAAAATTAAATTGAATAATTATAATTAACTAATTCAAACTTATCTAGCACATAGTGGGTATCCAGACATTATGAAATATGTCCCAAGTATGGCAGGACCGGTCACACACACCCAGTGTACCTATCACGTAACGACTGGTTAGCTGGTTGGACCAGGAAACATAAAAACAGTTAGCTCGCACTAGGATTGCAGCATTGCTTATGTAACAATATTCATCCCGCATTAGGCGCAGGCGCATGACACAGTGGCGCCCTCTACAAGTCGCATCCAAACATCGAAACTTCAACACGTTGCAAGTTGCGGCGATCTAAGTTTTTAGTTGCATGATATAAACTTAATACTTATTTAAATACACTGTTATTAAATATTTGGAAAATAAGCCACGAAACAGGGAAAACTTTTATGAAAACTTAGATCCATCGTGAAAAAAAGTCTATCGGTTAAATAAACACATAAACAAACAAAACGTTGTATTAGATTATACTTATTGCGTAATATTGCCATAAGATTATGGTGAATAGGATTACCAGCGCGATGGACCTAACCTTGCCCTCAGTGGGCGAGCCATTTATGTAACATTACTGAATGTTATCAAAATTCGACAATAAAACAGATAATGTTAAGGCCGAGCATTATACACCGCACACCAGATTGTGCCAGGTTCAAGTTTTGGCTAAGAAAAAACTAGAATGTTCTGATTTTTCAGTAATGTGGGTTATAAGGTGGTGAGCTTGTGAACCTGAACTGTTTTCTGTTCTCCTTGTAATAATAACTACACACAACGTTACTAGCGCAGGGTGCAACGTTTCCTTACATTACACATATTATAATTACAAGCGAGAATCGCTCTCAGAGAAAAGGTCACCACTTCTCTATAATAATTAATTCTGGAAAATGTACACACAGACTGAGGCACAGTAATGAACATTGAGGTACCTAATACATATTTGTATACTTTACAAAAAAAATATCTTTCACATGATTTGAATTCAGGTACAATAATTATGAAACTTGTAAAAATATGGTATTCCATAATAATATGTAAGGTAACGTACCGGTAACATCTCTCGCTAGTGCCGACGCCGACGCCGCCAGCAGCAGCAACAGCAGCGCTGTGAGCCCCCTGCGGGCCATGTCTCGGAGTGCGTGGAGCTGGGAGCGTCGCGAGCGGCCCACTGCTAGCCGGCCACTAGCCGCGCCTGCCACCGGAGCACCCGTTGCTACAACTCACTCAATGCCACACGCTGCTCCGACCTGGCATTGGTTGCCAGAATTACGATGGAAATATTCAAACTTTTATGGTCGGCTTTATGGTAAGCATGATTCAGAATATGTATGGCAGGTATAGAGTGCGGGGCGCTCGGGAGTCGCTACTCACGTCGTGTTTGATAAAGTTGATGGTTTCAATAATAAAGCGCTTAATAAAGTTGACAGTCTCAATAATGAAGCGGTCGAGCTGCATGGACGCGACACTCGGCCACCACGCCGCAGCAGCTTGTGGTGCAGTGAGTGCAGCGCAGGAGGTGCCGCACTCTGTGAAATGTTGCTGCATTCAATGTCACGGCCGCGAGCTTCTGAATCTGCGAAAGCACTTGCGTCAGTGTGGCGACTCTATGTATTATACCCCGCCACCTTCCGAGCTCACGTAGCAGGCCCAACTGATACACTACTGGCTCCTGTTGTCTCTGTGTGAAGAATTAGTGTTGTACTTCTAAACATGCTATCCACTAAATCGTAGTATATATCTACCATAACCATACTATGTGGTGGGGGTACAATACATAGTATGTTAACGCTACGTTATTCATTTTTCATCAAACATGTTATGAATCGCTTCCATGATATGGAATTTCCGCGGTCGGGCCATATTGTAACATAAAGGAGACAGTTGATATAAATTAAATCGTAACTTAATATTATGGAATTTTACGAACATTCAGTGAGTGGATGTACAAACACCATTAAGTTTTATTAACAAGAAAACATTGGTGACTCGTTGAATCCTGTTTACTATGGAAATAGTTTACAAGTAAATAGTTTTTTTGCTAATGGGATAGGTCAGCAAACGGATTACCTGATACGCAATCGGCGCCGCCTATGGACACCCGCAACACCAAAGGAGTTACGAATGGATTGCCGGCCTTTTGGGGATAAGGTTTTCGGGTTTCGAATATTTCAGGATTCGGAAGGGATGATGAGTAGAAGGAGGGATTGGGCCTCCAGTAACCTCACTACACTAATACTCTGCGCTGTGGTTGTTTCACGCCGGTTTTCTATGAGTCTGTGCTATCACTCCGATCGAGTAACCACCATTGTCTCTCCCACACACAGATTAAACCCCGGACAGTTTAGATAATTAATATGATGAAAGCTAAAAAAAGTGATCATGTAAGGATCATACATAGCGTCCATCTACCTGGTTGAGACAAAGGCATGACTTAGTATCATACGTAAGTATTAACACACATATACATACAAATACAAATGACTCATGTTAAGTAGCAGGGACAAGACCTGATATGTCCACGAATTGACAACAATTACAGACCAGTGATAATAAACACAATCATATTGTTACGACGATACAACCAGTTAGCGATGCGACCTTGTAAACTTATACTTTTAATACAAATAAATATTAAAACTTAAAAATATATAGCCTTTGTTTTGTTATTTTCGGAATTGAGTATACTCGGGACAATGAGGAGCTGAGGAGTCATCGACTCTTGTTGAGGTACCAATGAGGAATGTTGCAGGTAGATGACGATTGTCACATCGTTTGGGGTCTGTTAATGTCCGTCAAATCAGGACCCTAATAATAATAAATAAGGCCGTCTCGCTGGTTGAAAATGCAAGTCAATTTGCCGAACAAAAGCTCTCGGATTCGATTCAAATAAAGTACGTCTGTTGTTTTATAGGTTATCAAAATCAAAAACTACTTTGTCCGTCGTCTAAATGATGATATATAAGACAGTGTTTTTTTTTTATAAAACTCTTTAAGATTAGGAGGGGGGGGGGTGCTACGTCACTGCTCATTTCAAAATGCAATGCCTCGTGACGTCACACAAAATTTACAATCAACATAAAGTCAAAAGTATTTAATTATAAAAGAACAAAAGAAAAAATATTGTGACTAATGTTTAGAGCGAAAAACTGACTTTAAAATTAAAATTATTCATCATTATTTTGATATATGTTTATTAACTTTGACGTAACGATATTATCTTAAATTTATATTTGTGATATAATAAACATTTCTTAATTATTGTATTAAATAGACTTATGTTGACGTTTAATGTTGTCATTACTATAATATTTTAATTTAATACTACTACTAATTTAAGATGACAGTTATTGCAATGCTTGTAAAATGTGTGTGGCTGCTAAGTACTTTATCATAATGTTACACCAACCTTGCACGCTTAGTTTGCAATATCGCTTTGGTTTTAACTTTGACATCCCTATTGGGGCTGGTGTGTGAAAATAAAATTATGCTCTATTTTTTGGGAGTTAAAAGCAAAATATTGTAATGGTAAGAAATTGTTATAATTTTGTATATGTATATGCCTACCAAATTTTAATATGGAAAGTATCTCGGAATCGGCACGATTGGATCAGCTCAACCGAACTGAACCAACGTTTCCCCGTGTGAGTGAGCTTACCGGAGGCTACATCCTTTCCCTCGCCCATCCCTCCCAAATCCTTAAATATCCGAAAACCTTATCCTCGAAAGGCCGGCAACGGACTCAAAACTTCTTTGGTGTTGCGGGTGTCCATAGGCGGCGCCGATAGCTCACCATCAGGTAATCCGTCTGCTCGTTTGCCGAACTATCTCATAAAAAACGTGATGTTATGTTTAAATATAACCAAAACTTACACAGGTTGCGTCACCCGAGGCATCGCAAAATATGCCTATGTCGAGTTGTCGAGTCTGAATTATTAATAGAATGGTGACATTCATTGGCGATCATTTATTAATTAGGCCCGAGTTCACCAAGAATAGTTTTTAAGCAATGATTCCGGTATCGGCCTTTTAATAATAAATAATAAGTAAACGAAAAACGATTTTTTCTCATTCTCGGCTTGCGCTCGGTTATAAAATTGAGCGATTTAAAATGTTTGTGAGGACATTTGAAAAATTCTGTTAATTTAAAAAATTGAGTTTATTAAGTCTTGTTGAAATAAAAGGAATGTGTACGACGCCGCTATCGATCTCAGCGCCATTTAATTTGCGTCGGAATAAAGTTAACGTTGATTGAACCTCCTTGCAATAAGTGAAGATTTCTTTTTTATTTATTTTTTATGTTATAACGGCAGACGGATTACCTGATGGTTAGCAATGAGCGCCGCCCATGGACACTCGCAACGGAGGAGTAACAAGTGCGTTGCCGATCTTTTAGGGATTAGGGGTTTGGAGATTTAGGGATTGAGGAGGGATTGAGGGAGGGGAAGGATTGGGCCTCCGGTAACCTCACTCACACAGCGAAACACAACGCTGTGGTTGTTTCACGCCGGTTTTCTGTGAGGCCGTGGTATCACTCCGGTCGAGCCGACCCATTCATGCCGAAGCATGGCTCTCCCGTACTTAAATTGCAGATTGAAGATGTAGTATTATAACCTTCTTTGAACAATTTGATTTGATTAATCTATCAAATGACTAGTTAACCAAGATTTAACCAACCACAAGATGTTCGGTTTAAGTAATCGGTCTAATTCTCCTCTCAAACAGCTATTAGTGGTGAACATTTTGTTAAACAACCGATTAATCATTTGAAAATCGGTTGTATGTCGGTGAACTCAGTCCTTTACATATATACCTACAATCATTACTGAGAAATCATTAATTTTACCCATAATAAAGGCATGTACCGAGTGCAAAAATATCTTTCTTCCAAATCCTTTTGTTTTGAATAGTTTAAAAAAATTTAACAATTAAATGGCATTTTTGACTGTAAGCCAATCCATCCAAACTATGACCTAGTTCGGAACTCAGCCCACTTCCGAACTCCCTAATACAGGCGAGACCTTGCACGCATTTCATTGAAACCTGTCCACATTAGAATGAGGACCTTGAGGGAACATAACCAGTAATGTATTCGGGGTTTTACACAAATATCGTATTTTACGACTGTCTAATGGTATTGATTACTAAGGACGCGACATAAAGAGAGTTGTTTTAATTATAATAATAAATAGTACATTAGCCATACTAGCCAAATAACGATAATTCCTTTTACGTTTAAGGTCGATTGATAGTTCCCACGTTGTCCAAATTTGCGCGTGACCCTAAGCTTAGCCGAAATATTTGTCTATTAAGGATTGTCAAGTTAAATTGTTGCATAACATCTGTAATATTCATTAGCTATATGTTAGACGCTGGTTATTGTGTGTGTTTGTGTTTGTGTACACTACCTAAGGCAGGCTAGTTTATTTGTAGGCTCGATGTGTTATAGACCCGCTTTATGGCTTTTATCTTTCATCGACTTTTTTATTTCCAGGATTTTTATGACGGTTTTTTTTCTATGTATAAATAATAATTATCTTATGTTTAATATGGAAATACAATTCTTTAATTTTTTTTCGATTCCGGAACAACACTTTGTGTGATCCACATATTGTTGTTGTGGTTTGGGTCTGGGTACTTTTGTATGTGCGTAAACTTACTCACGACATAGGTGAAAATCCTACTGTGAGGTTATATTTATATTAAAAAAAAACATTTGAACACTTAGACTTATTCACGTGCTCCATGAAGTTGTTTCGAAGTCGTTTTCCCTATCATTTTCAAAATGTAGTAAATAATGGTAATTTGTGCTGCATTATTACTTTAGTTGTTGTTGTTGTAATATCACATAGCGTAGTTGTTTATTGTTCCTTTTTTAATAAAATACAGAATACCTTGCCAAGAAAAGTCGAAGCGAGATATTCGTGAACAAACCACTAATGTAACATCTAGTCGCACCGAACCCGCTCTATAGATCTAGTTTATCCTCTTGGTCCGTTTCTCATCGATCTTGTCCTTATAATTGCTGTAGTCAAATGTATTTTTAATTACAGTTTTAATGTGATTTTATTATCATATCTACATAAGTTAGGTTCCCCATACTGTGGTGTCTATTTACCTTTATACATATGTATATACCTGTTTGGAGGTTGAGGACCTAAACAGTAACTTGTGACGTCATAGATTGCGAAACCGTGAACTAATCCCGTTGACATGGTTTTAATGATTTAAACTATAATAGTATTTATTACATTATTTGAATTATGTTAAATATAGGTTACTGGACAGATATTTGCTTCAAAGCCTCTTTATTCATTAGAACATGCAAAGCAAAAGCTGATTTTTTTTATTATAAAAGTTCAAAATAATTTCGTGCACGATTTAGTCTGCCCTATTTAATTTGCCCGCTCGTGCTACGAACATACTACGGCGTAGCGGCTACGAGAATTTTCGGCAGACATAATCTGCGACTAAACAGATGTCAAATATGATCTGGCATAGTCCTAGATCAATGTAGTGCGATATAATAATAATAAATGTGTCTGTCCGTTGCAGTGATAGCTGTGAGAGCTCTTCCCTCTCACTCCAATCCTTCAACCTGGCATTATGCATGAGCAAGGTTACGCACTTGCTTAAATGTAAACCACCTCACCGGTGATGGAAATGTTTCTGTATGTAATTATTCTTTTATTACA